ATTGAAATTGCCATAGCTTCACATAGCATCGCATCACATCGCATCGCATCGCAGATGTGACAATTGTTTGAGAAACCGCTCTGCCCTGGTGGAAATCAGTGGAGCGACGGATTTATATAGTCGGGGCGTGGCATGGCGAGATTTTTGCAGTGGTCCGTGTCCCCACAGCGGACGACAGCTTTAATTACATTCGATTGGCAATCAATAAGAGCCAATCAGTGCCATATAGACACTCGCTCGTACTTTTACTTGTGTGTCGCACGAGTTTCAATTCAATTTGCACATAATTTTACATAATCTTTTGCCGCTGCGAGAAACTGTGTCAAGTCGAGCAGTTAGCCAAGTGCGAGTAAGTATCTAGCAGATACTAGCAGATACTCCACAGATATGCTCATTGTTGTTTTTACTTTCGTTGGCTGTCAGAAGCAGTAGAAGAAATGAGCAAGCCCATCTGGTTTTTACTTTCCTTTTATGCCAGGCCAAGCGCGGACTTTCAATTACTTCAGACTGTCGAGATTGAGATACAGATACTCTCCGCTTTAGCTACACCCCAGAGAGCGAGCCAATTGCGATTATCCCATGGATACTTGCTAAATGAATTGCTGCTGCTGCTGCTGTGGCATTTGATTTGATTCGGTCTCTCTGGCGGATGATCTTCTAATTAGCAACACAGAGGGTCCAGTGGCCAGTAATTAGTGCTGCCTTTTGCTTTATTTTTAATGGAAATTACTCTGTTTGTGGTTTGGTGACATTTCTGCCTGGGGTTGGGGTTCAGTTTTGGCGTTTTAATGGCAGTTCGAAACGCTATTCGCTTGGACTTTCGCCCTGCCAAAGGTCAACCACGTGTGCTTGATATAAATTGGGTTCGAAATTAATCACAGTCCCGGCATGTAATTGTCGTTAAGCCGGGGAATTATAGTAGTTAAAGGTCGTTCTATATAGAGAAATAAGGTAAATAATACATTACAGAAAGCTAGGAACATTTAGTATCATATTATTCCTTGAAAAAACATTTTCCCAAGTAATTCTTCATAAATTTGTATGATATTTTGAAATATTTTATATTATTTTCCTCAAAGTTTATCCCCATTTATTTATTACAAAACACTTAACTACTTTAACCTTCACAAACTGATTGATCTTGAACGATCTTTGTCTTGTAATTTTCCTATGACAGAAGCTTTTTAGATATGAATGTATATTGTTCATCCATTTGCTTTGCTATTAAAAATAATGATTCTTGATGTTTCCTTGGAAGTGAACCCTTGATAATTTCAAGTAAAAACTTTATGGCCAAAGAGCAAACTTGGCTTGAAGTTCTGTGCGGATTGTTTTGTTGTTTTTTGGGGTTCCCTGAGGTCGACGAGCGAGCCTAAATGGCGAGTTAATGTTCGCTTTGGCTTTGGTCAGCCGGAGTTGTGCCTTTCTGTGGTTACGCCCGGCTGAATTCTGGTGGTGCTGATGTTGCCGGTGGCACTGCTCTAGGTACTATATGTGGCCCTCGTCAGAACCTTTATCAAGTGTCATACTTTTTGCCCCCTACTACCCTCGTACTTGTCGCCGTTCGATCTGAGTGCACAAAGAAAAGCAGCCACGGATGTGTGGCACATCTAGGGGTACCAGTACCAGTACGACTTGGCTTCGGATTCGGATTCGGGTCTGGGTTTGGGATACTTTGGTGCTTTCCTTGGCAACACTTGTACTCGCACTCTTACCTGTTAATAACTTGTAACTTGATGCATCGCCGGATCGCGTCCCTTGGGCTCGTCTCACTGGACTGACTTTTCGAGTCTTTGCCAACGGTCGAGCGATCTTGCAGGGGAAGAAATTATAGGATAGTAACTATATATTGTAAAATAATAAGACAAGACTTTTTTTGAGGAAAGCTGAAATTATCTTTCTTAACTCTGTGAATTTGTTTGATGTTTTTTAAGGTATAGGTTTGTTATTGAAATACATTTGAGACCTACACTTTTCTCTCTGTGCACGGCTTGTTCCGTTCCGTCCCGTCTCTCCGCACTGTCTGTACAGGTATATATGTATAGGTACATATATTGTATCTGCAATCTGCGAGAGTGGTCTTGGCACTTGCGCTCGGCTAAATACAAAAGTATCTGAAGGCATGCACATCTCGCCGCCGCTCTTTCTGCGTCTGTATCTGTATTTGCAGCATGCGAAATGCAAATCTTTTGCCACTACGGCGCCACATTTGTTTGCAAAATGTTCAATAATAAACAAGCGGAGACGCCGCCGTCATCCACTTTGGTGCCTTCATTTGGACAAAGATCCCATAAACATTTCAATACCCGGTACTCGTTAAGGGTCGACTGTTGTTTGTGGATAAACATTGGCTGGATATAGTAATTTGATCGGGACATAAGGAAATTTGGGAAAAATATTAATGATATTTTGGGAGACTATTCCTTGTTATATTTAATAACTGCATTAATTTATCTAAAGCTTAACCAGGGTAAAGTAGGTTTATTATTCAAAAATCTGTTTAACTTACATTATTTTACCATTTTTATTTCTGTGCATTTGCATTATTTAATCATATTTAACGGATATACTTTTCCCAATTTAATGCAGGATATTATTTTAGTCAAGCTCCCTTGTGGCCCCACCTGTTATATCTTTTTATGACTTCGTCTGAATCGGTTGTAAATAAACAAAAAATTTGTATAAATACCCGGTACAGATAAAGATACGGCCTCTTTTGGCCTGTTTTGCTGGTCACCGAACTCTCCGATCGCATGTTAAAAGTTGATTTTGTTTTCTTTTTTCTCCCGCCACTTTTTGCTCATTTATGCAAGCATGCATAATTATTTGCAAATGTGCATTTCAGGTGATTGTGATAAGGTTCGCTCTCAACTTGGCTAAGATAAATGTGTGCCATTGTGCCGATAAGATGTTTGACTCTTGATGCCAGCAGTCATTAATATAATGACACAACCTTAATAATCGAACTGTTGTGTTTGTGTTTGAGTTGAGTCATCGTGTGGAGTCCGTTGGAGTTCGTTCCAGGGAATCGAAATATATAAATGCCAATCGGCGAACACATTCATGCACTTGGCTTAATTAATGTTTATTAGTCGCATATTTTTGGTTAATTTGTGTTGCCAAGGCTTAAAGACGGTAGCCAAAAAAATATGAGGGGAATCGATTTGTATAATTATAAATGTCTTTAAGGCTTTTATTTATCATCCAGTGAAGGCAAATTGACAGATTTATATGAAATAGTTTATTCGAAAATGGGCTCGTAAGATAAGTGTTGAGTGGTTGCCATTTTTGGACTTTTATTAGTCTTTAATGGATTAATTAAAACAAGTTCTCAGGTTTATCACGTCTTATGAATAAAGTTGTTAATGAAATTCCATTTAAAAATAAATTTAAAAATATATTTGGCAAGGTGGAAGTGCTTAAAAATGTTATCAAGAATTTATTAGTTATTTTATAGAATGTTATCAAGAATTTATTAGGTTTTTTATACAGTTCTTTGCTAAAATTTAAACTTAAAATAGCAAATATAAAATATACTTTATACAAATTTAGTTGCACTTGCTCTTTCATCAGCTTTTCTCTTATGTTTTTAAATAGTTCTCTGACATTTTGTTAAAATCACAGATGAATTGAGGTTTTATGATATTAAAAAAGTTCTCAGACATTTCGTAAATTCTCGGATCAATTTATAGTAGGCCCCCAATGGGTTAAGCAATATTATTGGAACGCTAAAAATATATATTTTCCCCACACGAGAAATTCATTTTCAGGTCAATAAAATAAGTTGGGAAACCGAAAGCCCAGCAACTGATAGCGCTGTCTCTCGCTTTATTTTGTTTTCTCGAGTTTTTGTTTCTTAATGTTTTTTTTTGTTATTTTGCAATGTTCATATTGGAACAGTTGTTTTTACGACTTTGTTTCAGGGGTCCCTCTCTCGCTCGCTCATTGTTAACTTTCGGATGTTTTCTCTGCCACTGACTGATAAAAAACAACGCATTTCAAGCGAAATTTCGACAGCGAAAAACAGTCACCTGTCTTTAGAAGAAATGATTTGCTCTGATTTGTGTAGAATTGAATGACAATGGGCCAGCCGAGTGCAGAATATTTGGGTAAACAATGTCATAATCATAATCCATGGCATAATGGGACTCTGATCAGTATGCGGTAGAATGGCCAAAAGAGGCTTTCACTTTCACAGGCCCCGCGAATTGTGGCCACTTTTCACTTTCCTATATTGTTCTCTCTTCAAAATTCGATTCGCATGCAAATCAAAACAAAGTCAACCCAACAGCCAGCAAATCTCCCATATGAATCATTTCGTTAGAAAAACAACAGCGGATATAATTCGTATTTCGTATTTTTATACGATTTTTGGGCTTCGTGTGAACTCCGCCGTTTGGAGCTGGGCTTTGATGATATTTTGATTATTTCTACGAATTTGTATTCAACGCTCCGAGGGAAAAAACTTGAAGATTTCTTTTGATATTATCTTTTAAATGTTATAAATTATTTTTTATTATTTTAAGAAATAGAATTATTCTTATAAGTGTAATAAGAATTATATGAAATGCAAACATTATAATAAATAACTAAAAGTTTAACCCTCCTCAGGCTAAATATTAAGAAAAAATGCATTCTTAAGTATATGTTAGGTTCCCTAAAATTAATATTTACATATTTTTAAAAATTATATTAGAGAGTTCGTGTTTAGTTTGGATTTTGATGTATAAGCTACAAATGAAGTTTCCAAATAAATAACCCAACTTTTAAGTTTTATTGTTGGATAAATAATTACTGTGCATTTCCGAGCCAATCCTAGATTTGTATCATTGGACATGGGTCTAAAATTCGGCTGAAAGGAATGTGTAGGGCACGCCCAAATAAAAGGTTTTCGATCCCCAATTTTAAGCGTTATTTTTCACAGAACTTTGTTACTTTTTCATTGACAAATTTTGGCTGACATTGTTCTTTTGTTATCTGTTTTTATTGCTATCCAACAGATCTGATCGATGAGCAGCAGCTATAAGCCCCGAGGCAGCGACGAGGCCCTTGCCGAGCAGCTTAGTTTAGCCCGGAACCGCACCGGAACCGGAAGTGGCGCCCAGGTACCGGTCACGCCCATCTATCGTCACATATCCGGCGCCATGGCGACCCTGCCACGCCACGATAACAACCATCAGAGTCACAACACAGATAACTCTACTCGCCTGCGCACCGATTCCACGGCCACATCGAGGACCTGCGTCTACATAGGCGGAGAGCCAACAGGAGGAGGTGGAACAGGCAACGGTCACATCTCTGTGACCTTGGATCGCCGTCAGCCGCAGCGGATGTCCTGGCTAAATATGCGACGAGCCAAAGCCAATGAGGCGGACCCACCCGCCGTCACACCATCTCCGCAGACGACCCGCAGTTGCATCTCCACAGTTTCCAGTGTTGTGGACAGTGGCGGCGGACGCACCACTGCCACCTCTGGCAGGATTAGCTCCAGCGGCATTGTCACTCTCAGCGGGAGTAATAACACACTATCAGAGATCCAGGGGGGCTACCACGATCTGGAACACGATGCGGTGTCCAAGAACTACTCTGTGTCGGCCTCCGTCCACAACATCACCACGGCCAGCAATGCCAAGCTGCTGCCCGCCGTGGAGGATGAGTCCAACCAACAGGTAAGTTGTTTTTGAGTAACTAAGGGGAAGCACTTGTAGTAGGTTTCTTTTTTATGATGGGAAAACAAAACTTCGAATTGGGTTAATTGGGAAATGAAGACCACTTTACGAGTGCTTTATTGATACCTATTTTATGGCACTGCGTTGCTGGGAAGTTTTAATTAGCTAAAAATTATAGAGAGAAAACTGTAATGAAAGCATGTTTGCTGATCGAAAATTTATTCCGTAATAATATAAACAAAGGTAGATGAACGAAAGGAAGGAGGAAAATATATAAAATATTTCTATCATTATCATTAACTTGGAGTTGAGGTAAAACAAATTATTTTAACAAATTGTATTCCCTTAAAATATGTGGAATATAGTTACTTAAAACTTTTGTTCCCCAACAAAGATTTATTTACTATCACGACTTGTTAGTCAGGGCTTAGACTTATTATTTAACTCCAGGCTTAAAGTTCACCGAACGGGTTTAATTCTAAAAGATATATATAAGCAAGGGACCCGCAGTTGTTCTTATCAATGGCTAAAATCCATTTAATTATTCTTCCTTTTCATAAAAAACCCAAATTCGCAATTCCCTGAATCGCAAAAGATGCTAGATTATGAAAAGCAACCTGAATTTTTGCTAAATCTAAAACAAAAAGCGAAACAAAAACAATAATATATAAATGTATTGTTAATGTGCGATAATTTAAAAAGGCTTCCACCTGAAATTCGAGACTCAAATCTTCAGATTCTGTAGCCTGGCCATCGCAATTAAAATGTATATTTATTAGCAGGTTTGAGATTCATTTAGCATTCGAATAGATTAAAAGTAGTTCATCTTTGGAGCCATAGTCGAAGCTAAAACTCGTGTATGCAATTTATTCCGGCTTCCAATCGAGTGGCAGTCTTACCTGTTTTGGCTTTTTAGAAGTTATCTGCCAAGATCTTTCAAGTTGAACCCCTTTTGTTCAATGTTACGGGTTAGCCAGAAGCGATTTTGATTCATCTTCCCCTCGAGATTTCTGTGAGAATAAATGAGAAAGAATGTGAATGAAAATTATGATGATGAAGATGATGATGATGACGATGAGGGGTTATCACCAGGTGAGGTGAGTCTTCTGAATGACTTTCGGTGATTCCGGCTATCGATTGCTCACGAGTCGTTGTAAATTTTATTTCTCTGCTTAATAATGCTGAAAATATTCGAAATGAATTTGTGTACGTGCTGGAGGTCTCAAGATAATTTTTACATTTTTTTTGTCTGCGGTGTGAACCGATCGATTTGTCTAAGCAATCGGTTACGTGAGCGATATAAAAACAGTTCCGCACACTGTGAAAAGTATTTTTTAATGATTAGAAATGACTTGGATGTTATCTTCAAAACCTTTCCTCTTATAAAAGTGTTTCGATAATTATGATTTAAAACCATACAGACAGGAATTCAGGGATTATAAATTTATTTTTAATAGCATATAAATTAGGAAACCAAATTTTATATTATTTTCTAATCTTTTCCAATCTCAAAAACAAAACCCATAGAAGTTTGTCTTATATATATTTACCTTTAGTGCACAGACTTTACCAACTCAGTGTAACATCTTCTAGTGTTAAAATGCGTTAATTTTCGCGCGTTTTTGTTTGTTTTCTTCTCCTTTGTTTGTCGATCTCCAATCATTGAGGTATTTGAATAGTTTTTAAAATGAGGATTACACAAACTCACAGCAGTTGCAGCAGCCGAGAAGAAGGCGTGGCAACCTGGCATGGCAACCTTCAAACACCTGAGGTGCTTTTGTTATTGAATTTTTATGTATAACCCCTGGCAAGGGAGTGCAATAGCTCTCAGATCTGGTATCCGATCCTACCGTGTTAATAGTCTAATAGTTATTGTTTATAGGGTTGTCCGGGCAGCGGCAACATCATAAACACGATCATAAAACTAGTTTCGGCATCGCATTTTGTCTCCTATTTGGGTTAGTAAGGCAGCAATCACCGGACTGGATCGGACCGGATAGGGCCCAGCAGCTGGCCATTGTCTTTCGCCTCGGCGATCCGCTCGATTGTTCCCGCAATTGGCACCCATTCAGGCCGGGTTCTTTGCAAGTGCAAGTGCAAGTGCCAAGTCCAGTCCGGATGCTAATTGGCCTTAATTAGTACATCACGCGATACTAGTTTTTTTTGTGTGTGCAGTCAATTTGATTAGAATCAGCGTCTAGAGACCTATATTTAAGTGCTAGAAGAAAAGTGAAAATAGTTAGCCGGTTATATCATTGTCACGATTATTACTTTATATTCTAGCATAAGGAATTAGTTTTAGGTTTTTTGAAACATATTGTAATATCGTTCGTTAAAGAAATATTTAAATATATAAGAAAAGATTATCTTTTATCCTCCTTATAAAATATTCATTCCACATTCTTTGGCTTCCTTCGTTCTTCTAAATTAACAGTTTTAATAAACAGAAAAATATTAAATATACCAAAGAACATTAAAAATTAAATGTTATATCTTTTCTGTAATACGAAAGTAAAATGTAAAATAATCATCCCCAAGATAGGCTTGGCTTGCTTTTAGATACAAATGCGATGTTCATACTAAAAAAAGTGCTGCATACTTTTGAGCGAAATGAGTTCGTGGCTTAAGTCTTTTGTTATTTTAATAAGAAAAGATTTATGGCTACGTTTTAAATTAAACAGTTTTTAGCTGAGTAAAATGAATAATAGTTTATGACTAAAATTCATTTAATTTGCTTATAAAATCTGTATTAAATGCTTGTGCATTTAAAATTGAAACATACATTTGTAATATCTCGGAAGAGACTCTCATCAATAAAATCCGAATCTGGTTGAAAGGAAATAAATGTGAATTATTTTATGCCAAATGCATTCCCTAATTGGCTTGCAAATTTGTGGGCAGTAAAACAATTAATGGCGGAAAGAAACTCAGCTGGAATAATTATTTGCTTCCAGCATTACGAATTTATTGACCAATTTCATGGTCTCTCGGGTTGAACTGTATCGGTGGCCACTCGCATATTTGTTTGCTTATTTTTACTTTTAACTTGCGACTTTTCGAATGTGCAATTTGCTTACCACAATCGATTTTACCTTTAGTTTTTTTTTTCTTGTGAGCTGCGCATGCGAGTGGCCAAAAGCCAAGACCCAAAACCGAATACCGAATACCAAAGCCCAAACCCATATGCATGTTTCTCGAGTTGTTCAGTTACTTCATCTCTTATGTTATTTCGTTTCCAATTCGCTGATTAACAAGTTCAACAAAACACGGTGGCAGCCAAAAAAAAAGCTAAACAAAAACAAGAAAAGAAAATGACTACAATGTTGCAGTTACTTTCGGCGCAAATTCGGCAGTGGCAAGACGCACGTTTTGGCCATAAAAAAGAAATGGCAACCGAATGCCAAAGTGACGTCACTTGATTGCACTCCAAACTGGTTGACTGCAACACTAAACAATAATTGCAGGCTATTAGAATTGCATCGAAATGGTTCGGGGAATTTATTAAAAATAAATAATAAATAAACTATATAAAGAGCCAGTGAAAGTGGGTATCACCGAGAATTCCCTTGAATCTGTTTGGAAATATGAACCTAATGTATACACGGTACACTGCGCTACCGGGTTTTGGGTGTAACGGAGCCACATTTGACGAGTTAGCGATATCACATGGCTCCCTGACTTCTCCTTTCACTGGACACCACCACCAATCCGACGCAATCCGAGTCATAAAACAATAGCCCAGATATAGAGTACTTCGTGGAACGAGTGCCATGGGTACTATGCTCCAGTGCCCAGATCCGTTGGGTCAAAGAGATTGTCGCGTCGCGTTGCTTATTCAACAGAAAGACACTGCGCAGACAATAGCCTTATTTCGGACACCTTTTGTGGCCATCTCAGCATTGTGGGGACATTTTCATTTTACACTCCAGTTTCAGTTCAGACTTCGAACTAAAGCTAATTATTGTGCAGCCTACGAGGCCTTTCCATTCTGAGGGCCCCCGTACATTCATCGAATCAATTCTCGATAGAAGTGATTCCAAGCCCAGAGAAACTCAATTTAATTGGCCTACTGCCCACGCTTTTACTTTTGGCTTTTCATATTTCATATATACATATTTATACGCTTTAACGGCCACTTTAGACCTCATTTCATATGCCGGGCACAAGCTCAACCGTCAAAAAGCCAAAATCAAGCAATTATTTATGCTAAATGTGTGGAAGTTCTTGATGCGATCATCATTGGGAAAGTTGTCGTTTTTATTTTGTATTTGAACTTCCGCTTGATATGTCAGAACTTTGATGCCAAATATAAATCCTAACTACTGAATAGTTGTATTTGAATTTACCATTAGCGACCATTCATTCCTCGCTAAGCGCTAGCTCGATAATTTTCTTCTCATTCCCCCTTTTTATCTTACAGTGAGCTCTGTTAATTACGCGCCAGTTTCGCTCGCATGCTTACATAATAATTAGAAAACGCCGCGCTCTTCTCTCTTTCTGCGCCAAAGAACGTGTTAAAACGAAATTTAATTTAAGTATGAGAAGCGGCCCAAAGAGCCAAGACTAATAGACGGTTTCTGCTCTTTGTGGTGGCCATTTCCTGCTGTGCCAGAAGACAGGTTAATTATGCAGATGTATCTCGGGACATGGGAACGCGGCCTGGGGGCGTCACTCATTAGGCAATAGAAATGGAGTCACCTCCAGGCCAGCATCTCGGGTTGCCGGTGCCTGTGCCCATGCCCTGTTCTTTCATTCTTTATTTTTTATTTCAATTACCCCACGTGGGCGCAGGCTTGAAATGTTGAGAACATTCAATAAAACCTGTGATGATTAAATTCCCAAAAGAAAAGTGGGATGCACTGGGAAAAAAGAATGTCTCTTATGAAGGTTTATTTAGTTAGATTAAAGGAAATGTGTAAGAGATTGTAGGGAATTGGAGATTGTTCGAAAAATATATTCCATTTCCAGGAAATATTATTTCTAGTAAATATTATTAGATAATACTGAAAGAGAAGAATATTGTTCGGAAGGTTTTTAGTAATATAATCTTATGGTTTGATATAATTTTAAGAAAAAAAAAAAACAAAGAAAAAAATATGAGGAAGAATCACTTTTATTAATTCAAATAAATTTTTTATTTAAGAAAACTAAATATTTCACTTAAATTCACCTGCAAGTAAATGGAAATAAACTTGAGAGTTCTAGTGGTATACAAACAATTTATATATTTGGTTTTATTGATTCTGTTCTTTAAATGCCTTGGACTTTATTCCCTTCCCTTGAAAAATCTCCATAAGTTACGAATTATTGATAATAAAATGAACTGTATTTAAGACAAGCAGTTTTTGATTAAAGAAACGTATGTTAAATTCATATACATATGTATATATTTCTTTTCATTTAGTGTAAGTACAAGTTATGTATCTTCAAGCACAAAATGATTGTCTTAAATATAGTTGTTATTAATATTGTACATAGCAACTTGTTAAATTTTATTTAAATATGTTTTAATAGTAAATATTAAATGAAGAACTTTTTCTCTCTCTGATGCTGTAGGAGCATGCATAAATTTCCAAAGAAACCCAGTGAGGCGTAGCGCGCGAAGCCTCGCATTTACTGCGAAGGCAGGCGTTCGCCAACTTTGCGCAGCCACTGTGCATAGAAAGCCACGCTTTGGTGCCGTCGCTGCTTTTGTGCTGCTGCTGGTGCTGCTGCTGGTGCTGCTGCTGCGAAGTCCACAGCAACTGCCACTGCCGCCGGCTACGTCAGTCGTCAGTTCTGCATTAATGAGAGAGCAGTTAGGTACGCTCGCTCGCACGCTCCGTGTGGTCGCTCCTCCTCCCCCTACGTAACCAAGAGTCATCAGCTCCAAGCTCCAGCTCCAGCTCCAGCTCCAGCTTTAGCCAGCGTGTGTGTGTGTTTGTTGTTGGAATCTGCGCCCGCTCCAGATGGAAACGCTGTGATAGGGGGGAAAATCAAGCGGAGAGAGATGCCAAATAAAAGTAAACTTATTGGGGGGAAACTCGTTTGGGCCATTCATCTCTCGGTGGAAGCTCTCTCATTCGATTTTGATTTTCCCCCCAAATCAGATGCGTCTTCTGCGCAGTCGCAACACGGCGCTGCTGCGATGCGCTTCGGGAACGCTGATCGTACACCATTAATTGGCTGCAAATAAAAAAAGAAAGAAAAGCCTAGCCAGAGCCAGGAAAATAGAAACGCAGTGCGATCGTGAAAATGCAAAAGTGTGAAGTGAATCGCGTGTCCAATGAGTTCTGTACTAAGAAATGTAATTGAATTCCGGGCCATATTCGTAACCACAAGCGACGGCTCTATAGGCAATGGGAGGAGGAACTCCTCCATATAGTAATAATCCCATAACAACTGTCATTGATATGCGTTGGCGATTTGTGCGGGATGGAAAAAAATACAAATAAATAAAATAAAGCAATAATAACTATAACAAAAACGCAAAGCTAAATACCATATATATGAAATAAAAACAAAACGAGAGAGCAAGACATTCAATAAGCGGTTCAGGGCCAGGCTCTGAAGGTGTTGCCAATTTATTTTAAAAGTCTGCGCTTTTTGTTGCCTTGCTGTCGTCGTTGTCGTCGTCACGTGATAACTTGTTCGTTCCACTTGCATAAAAATATTGTTATTTTCTTGACACACAAAAGTGCGCCTGCAAGTGGAGGCCTTAATTAGCATGATGTTTTCGAAAAAACAAAAAACATAAATAAATAAATACAAAAGGCGAACTGTCGCTAAATGTAAATGATTTCTTTTCAAGTGCGGTGCAATTAAAATAATATTCCAACCTCCATTTTAGCTGGAAAAAAGGGAAAGAAACCTCGCAATAATACCCACAAAACCCCGTCGAATCGAATCAAATCCAAACAAAATCCGTCTTGTATGCACCGACCAACAAATGCAAGAAAATGACAAGTTCTTCTGCACTTACAAGCAATACAAAGTCTGTCCCAAGATGGAAATACCAACGACTAAGTATTTAGCCGATTATCTGTACGTGGTGCACGAGGATGTTCCCTTCCGATACTATCGAAAAGTAAGTGGGGGGGGGGGGGGGGCTTTATGGCCGTTATGGGAGGGGGCCATCATGCATGATATGGCATATGATATATGCCCCTATAACGCTCGTCATCTGCACGCTCATAAACTCCAAATGCCGCTTGGCTGGGCGATATATATGTATATAGTACTTATGGTATGCTATGTCTGTGTGCGTTTAATTTTTTGTTTACATTTTCACCGTGCGGTTTTCGCTTTATTAACTGCGTTTACCTGGGCGTCACGTTGTTACAGCTCCACCTTTGGGTAATGCTGATGCTGGGCGATGTTACCGTCGCTCTCTTGAATGAATTTCACTTAAAAGCACTTTGGCTAACGATTAGTGGTACCCTGTAGGAAAGGGAAAAAGATTCTGGGGAGTAAAGCTCAGTTTTAGATTCATCTAATTCAATTTTTATTTGATTTATGTATGGAACCTATGATCAACATTGGGCAAGATATTTCCCTTACCTCTCAAATATATTATGAGAAAGTAAAGGTATGAGCTAGATCAACCCTTTCTTGGTTTAAAATTTCTTAAGATAGTTCTAAGAACAAGTTCAACAATAAATGAACTTTATTTATAGTTCAATGAAAGAGGGAAATCAGAATAAGTGAAAGAAGTGAAATCTATGCTTATAATTCTAAACCTATTAATTTCTATAGATGGTTCCAAGGTATTCCTGTAGTTGTAAGACCTCAAAAAGATTTTTGTTCGCTTTATTATATATCTTTTTCCCGCTTTGAAAGCAAACCAGACTTTTGTTAGTGGCTTTTGCTGATTTTTTCTGTATTTTTTTTTGCGAGCGCACATCTAATGGGCTTATGCTGTACATTTTGCAGATGACTTATTAAAGCCATGAACGAATTTTGTTCGTCGCTTAATAAGATCTCCCGTAAGGGTCGCCGCTCGCTGGCACTTTCTTTTGTCGCTCACTGTGAGCAAATACAAAGAACTAAGGCGGCGAGGGGAAACTCGGAGCTCGAGGAATATGAGTCGTAAGACAAATAAACAGAAAGCAAAATTGTGTAATTAATGAAAATAAAGCGAAGCATAGCGAAATTACACAAGTCGAAAGCGGAAGTGCCGGAAATGGCGTCTACACTCTTCGCTCTGTAGGTGTATCATTTTGCTTTTGATTTTTATTTTGATTTTTATTTTCTGTTTGTTTTTGTTTGTTGATGTCGGCGGATGCGGCAGCTGTGACTGTGACTCCGAACGCCGCTATTTGCCTGAGTTACCTGCAAAAAGCAAATTCAACTGGGTTTGCATATGCCAGCAATTTGTCAATTTTCTATTTTGTCATCAGCTGAGTAAATTTTTGTAAATCTATAAGAAAAAAATTGTTTCCTCTTACTTTCTTTGTACGGGAAGGGAAATAATACCTAAGAGCCAAGACTGAAAAACGTTTAAACCTGAGATTTAATTGGTTTTTTGTAGATTCTTCTACCATATATTCAAGAAATTAATTACTTACAATAAAATTAGAGAAGTACCACGCCCTTTGATGTTGTTGTAAAGTTTCAAGAAACATGTTTATAAATCATACTTATGAAAATTGTCTGACTTAGTCATTTTAATTTATGCTGCCAATCAATCAAACAAAATCTCCTAGTCTATAAACATATGAGTATTTTTTTAAGACAGTCACATCCAATCGTAAAATACACAGAAAATAAGCAGAACTAACTTTATAAGAACTAAATTCATTAATTAAACGTAAAATATTCATACTTTTTTGTATATGAAATTTAAATTTATCTGGTTAGTTGATTGGTAAGTCTCTTTTTATGGGACTATAAAGATATTATTTTTAACAGGCAAAAACAGCCACTACGAGTTTAATAATACAGTTTAAATCTTTTTTAAAATTATTATATTCCCTCTGCCATTATTAGCCATATTAAAATACATACTTATATAGAAACTTCAATTTTTTATGATATTTATTCAAAGCTTCTTAATTAGTACTTAATTATTTTATGAATTAATTCACTTCTATTTCAGACGAAATGCTCTGTGTTCCGTGGGCTTGTGCTCTGCCTGTGTTTGAACCTGAGCTATGCAAATGTGGTCCGCTTCCCACGTGAACTGGATCGCTACGGATCGGCGTACCTTGTGCCCTACGTGGTGTTGCTGTTTCTAGTCGGCCTGCCCATGATCCTGCTGGAGATATCCGTGGGCCAGTTCCTGGGCCAGGGAGCGGCGCACACCTGGCGTGCCTCGCCCATCTTCAAGGGTAAGCCAATGTTCACTAAAATTAAACAATTAATCTTATGTTTTTAAGTTTAGTTTAGTTTGGGGATATCTAAAAATGATTTAATGATTGTACTTTAGATTTAATACAAGTAGTTTAGCTTAGAGAGCGGATCAGAGCAAATGAGAGGGAAGCTACAGGTGTTGCATACTTTTCGGCGGGCAACAGGTGCACAGAATGATGGGGCAGTGAATTATGTACGCGTCGTGGGGCGAAATTTTGGGGGTGACCGGAAAGCTGCAGCTTTTTGCATCCCCCATTGCAGGATGCAGAGCTTCGGCGAAAGCTCTTCGGTGACTGCGCTTGCTGCACTTGTGCACCTTGCGATTCCCAAGTCACTATTCCGTGCGGGGTCGCATAAATAGCCGCATCGCCAGGACCTTCGTCGGGCGGTCGCGCATTCCGCAGCAACGACGGTTGGACACATCCCGTCTCATCCCCCACTCTCTCGAATTGTGTCCGTTGGTAGCCGAAGTTACGATTGCAAAAACTTTCGTCATCCCTCTCTCACTCTCTGAAGCAAAAACAAAGCCAGGAGCACAGGAGCAACTAAAGCAAATAAAACAGAAAATGAGCAGGCAAAAGCAAAATCAACAACAGCAAAAGTCTAAAACATATAAATACGAAAATCACGAATCGAAAAGATAAATGACAAAAAGAGAACAAAAAATATCAGACCAAAAGTATATCAATGCAAACAAAAAAATCTAAAAAATACACATAAAAAACACTACAAAAAGAGAAGACTAAACTTAAATGTGACCTAGTAGATAAATCATCATCGTGTTATCAGGACGACCGTAAGAAAATCTCTGAAAAATCGCAAAAAAAATATTAAAACCGCAAAATGCATTGGTGTGTGTGTCCCGTTCGTGTAATCGCTGGCGCGCCACGCCCCCCAGCCTCTTACATCCGCCACCCCCCTCCACCCGGGATCCTGGATGCGCCGCCTCCCATCCGCCCAGAAAACGCATCTCTCTCTCTCTCTCACTTTCCGCCAAGGACCTACCATCCTCTCCTTCTCTCCAACAGTGTCCTCCGTCCCACTTGCGGGGCAGACGGGGACGAATCGTTGGGCGGCGGCAGGACTACTCACAGGACATCCAAGTAATATCGTCGCCGCTATCTGAATAACAACAAATTGAAAATCGAACTCTGCCGCCCGCCGGCGCCCCCTCTGCCAAAGAGCTACGCGTATTGGGGCGGGGCAGGACCGGAACGGCGCAGCGGAAGTGTACGGAAAAATGGATGATGCGGAAGCGGAAATGGAAAACTGAAACGGAAACGGAAACAGGCGGCGGAGAACGGAAACAGGACATTGTGCGGGTGGCTGCGGTGTGGGCCGGGGAACACGGGCGCGTCCACAAAAAATAACCATAGAGACGTTTAAGGCAAATTCTAAATGAACAAAAGTATAAACCAAAAACAATTGTAACGAGAAACAAACGAATTCAAAAATGAGCAATATGAGAACAAACAACTAATAATGGCAAAAAGCAAAAACGACAACTGCAAATTACGACACAACACCTTCGAAAAGACCTCAGTAATAATATAAAGTAAAAACACCAACAACAAAAAACACGTGAATGCTTGGTGGCTGCAAAGGAATGCCTTCGTTGTATCGCCCTTTTTTGGCATTCAGTAAAAAAAACATAAAATTTATATATATAAGGTTTTTAAAGTTATAGAATGTTTTTAAAGATAGTTGCATAAAAGATAAAACATGGAAAATATATTAGCTTAGAAATTGTTAGAGCAATAAATTTATTAGTTTCGGAAGGACCCCTGTGCGTATGAGGAATTTAATAAGAAAACTTGTTATGGTTTTTATTATTAAGCTTATGGTTTTCCTAGTTTACCACCCAGTTAGTGTTGAAAAATGTGAATATCTTTAGGAGGAATAAATAATAAATCCCCCAAATTTTTAAAGCCACCTAGGCGTATGAGCAATATATTTATGAAACTCATTATATGCCTTAAAAAGGTTATAATTTTCATAGTTTATGCCCTAAGCTAGTACAAAGATATGTATATATAACCATAAACAATAATTAAAAAATATACATTAGAACGGACACCAGTGCGTATGAGTAATGTTTTAAGGAAATTTATTATAAACATTAAAAAGGTTATAATTTTACTTAGTTTATGACCTAAGTTAGCTCCGAATAATTTAAAATAGTTGCTTATTAAGGAACATCACCAGAAAGAAGAAGTAACAACTACACGTTGTGAAGGACACCAGTGCGTATGAGTAATGTATTAAGAAAACTCATTACCCCCAAGTTTATAACCTTTTCTAAGTACGAACAATGTGAAACAAGTGTCTACGCAGGAATATAAAAAATCACAAGAAGCCATAAGACAATTAAGCCCCTTTTAACACCAACATATATAAAACGTATAAAAAAGGCCGAAGGCAATGCCTAAATTTATTTCAAAATACCCAGACGTCTGCTCGTACACATATTCATTGCGAAATCATTGAGCTCATTGAGTGAAGAGCGGTTTCACGAGTGAGTGGTTTGCAGTCTATAATTACGATAAATGTGGAAAACGATTCGTGGCACGTGCCGATTGGTTATTATAAGCAGTGACTCCGAATGAATGAGCACAGAACGCTGATTTTTTGCTCCTTCACCTTTTTGCAATATGTGCAAAACGGTGCTTGTAACGGAGATCCACAGACACAAACATCAAGCAATAATCATAAGCATATAGAGGAAGTGTAAAGCTATAGACAAAACGGAGGCCATCAAAAAATACGGTTACTACCAATTTAAATATTTTATTCATATTTTCTTCGAAGCCATCAAACACACTCGCCAAACCCTAAAAACCTTTAAAACCCAAGTTATTGCTTTATTTTTGAACAATTATCAATGTCATCTTGGGGTAGTTCCCCCCCCCCATCAATTAACAATACAAATTAACAGCTTTTGGGTGTGTTTTTAAGGTCAAATCGATCTGGTTTGGCGAATAGTTTCTCAGTGGCAGTGGCAGACGCAGAATATGTTATGAATGTAAATGTAAAATCAGCGCAAACAAAAAATAAAATAAAATCTCATTCTCATTTATAACAAGTTTTCACCTGAGCTCTTTTCAAATGAATGCTTTTTGGTCTGGCTTTGGCTTTTTATGAATTTCGCAATTTAAATGACAAAAGTAATTTAATTAACTAGGCTTCTCCTCTTCCGCTCTTTTGTTATGAGATTTGAGTATTGTAATTTGAACTGATCAAAAAAGTGTTGTAGGATATGGATTTATATTGGAAATGTTCCATGAAATCTTTCCATTCTTAAGTATGAGAATATTTTCCCTTTAAATCTAGTAATTATATATTAAATAACTTTATTTCTCTTTGATTCTGTTTCCAGGAGCCTGCATTGTCAGTCGCTTTGCCTCGTGGCTCTCAGCCATCTGGGTGTCCTTGCAGGCCGTGCTGGCACTGGCCTACATCGGGATGTTCGCCTCCAATGACCTGCCATTCCGGGAATGCGCCGGACCAGTGAAGCTGCGAATGGTGAGTACTAATTCTCCTTTCAAAGCAAATCAACTTAATATTATTTCTTTCCCCTGCAGAGTGGCTACCTTCTGATGGGCATCAGTGGCCAGGAGTGCCTGCAGCAGACCTTCCTCACGCCCTTCTGGCGTAACCCTTTGTACTTTGGCCTACTGGCAGCGGGCCTAATAGGTCTCTGGATAGTGGTAATGCTGTGGTAAGAAAACTGAGTTAATATAAATTATATATTCATACAGAATCATTAGCTAATTCAATCTTTATTCCCCTAAACAGCACCCACAATGCCAAGATCCTGAGGCGAAGCATCTTCGTCTACGGGTTGAGTGGCCTGCTCCTGCTGTGTACCCTCACTGGCTGGGAGGTGCGCAATTCCTTCAGCCGTCACTATTTCCCGGAGCTGTGGGGCTTCGATGTCAGCCTGCTGGCCGAGAGCAACATCTGGTTCAACGCGTTGATGCAGGTGCTCTTCTCGGTGAACTGCGGCTTTGGGGCACTTCCCATGGTAACGGGCAAGTTCCTGTACAAGGGTGATGCTGTGAGGACCTCGGTGGTGTATCTCTGCTTCAACCTGCTGATCAATGCCATCGCCGTGACCCTGTTCATGGTGCAGTTCGATCTGTCAGCGAATGGTTACCAGAACATGGAGGAGCTAAAGCCCCTGACGGCCATCTACGACCGGGTGCTCAATGGCTCCAAGGAGGGCGACAGTCAACTGCTGCAGCATCTGGTACCCTCGCTGATCTATGTCCTGGTTATCCTCGCTGCCATGGTATCCATCACTGTGGCGGTGTATACCTCGACGCGGCTTGTGCCAAGACGCCCCAACTACGTGATCTGCCTGATTGGACTCGTGGTGGCAGTGATGTCCTTTGCGGCGCCCAAGTTCCTCATTGCCCGCGTCCTGGACTCGCGACTGGTTGGCACCATGGTGGTGACGGCCCTGGTGTTTGAGCTGATTGCCATAACCTGGATCTACGGGGCGAAGAACATCTACACTGACCTGGAGTTCTCCATTGGCCGGCCCATCTTTCGGGTGTGGATGTGGCTGTGGGTGACATGTCCAGCCGTTCTCACGGGCATCCTGGTGTGGTGGTGTGCCGATGATGACCAGTATGACCTACTGGCCGAGTACCTTCCACGCTGGGCACCCATCCTGTTCGTGCTGGCAGTGATTTTGATCATAGCCTGCGTGCAGATCTTCCGTCAGGTGGAGTACAACTTCTTCGGCATGATCTGCGAGGCCTCCAAACCAGCGAAGGAGTGGGGTCCAGCTGATCCACTGGCTCGTCACTCCTGGAAGCAGTGGCGCTCGGTGTGTCAGGACACGGGTCGCCGGGACTTTACCCTGCGTCGGCGTGGCACCCGGGACTACACGCACTCGATCAAGAAGGGTCAGTACTCGAGTGCTCCAAAGTATGGAGTCCAAAATGGAGTCAGTGGTGGTCAAACCCAAACCCAGATGCACCAGCAGCACTGGAAGTCCTCTACGCCGGGCAACAGCTCACCCAACTACAGCGGCTCCATGTTCGGGGACTCGGCCATCGAGGAGGACATCAGTGTGGACAAGTTCCCAGGCATCACGCAGCAGCAGTACGTGCCCTTCCAGGCGAGTGGCGACACCAAATCCAGCAGCAGGTATTCCCAGCGAATGCGACAGACTGCCCAGCCTCAGACACAGATTCGACCACCGCCCAGGGAGTCGGTGGAGAAGCACCGTGAGGTGGTCTACATACGTCGTCTGTCCGATGGAGGCAGTGGAAATGGTGGGCATGCCACCAGGATAGAGATTTCGCCCTCCAACGAATCGATTACCTATGGGAATGGTAAGAGCAGTCACATTCCATCGGCGGCCATGTCCCGCAATCCGCTAGGACGTTCCACGGGTTGCTTGGCGGCTCCTGTCCAGCCACCGCCACCCAGTGTCCATGTGAAGAGATCGGCCAGCTCTGTGGTCAATGTCAACTCGCACAAACTGCCACCTGGAGGAGCTGGTGACCACATCTGCTGGCGCAAGTTCAACGTCAATCCGCAGGAGTACTCCACGGAACTGTGAGACTGGCCGGAAACCCAGAGGAGGAAACGAAGCATTCACATTCAAAAAGACTTGTTGCATCCAAAACAAACGTATCTGTATCTGTAATCCGTATTCACTTAGTTGTAAGCCACGAGTAATGAAGCATGTCCATACGGAAAGTGTATCTTCTAGTTGCGAGCTGTACATAGAGCATCCCTAGATATAGTTATACGATCTAGTTCCTTAGCTTAAGTCGATGAAATTCCGTTGTCATTGTTCTTCATCATCTGGAGGCCAGGAGGAGAAACCAACCATGAATTGTAGCAATTGAATTAACCGTAGCCCTAAGTTAGTCCTTAGACCGATGACCCGCTATCCTATCCATTGTAAAGTTACACTGAAACACAACGATTTCGAAAACGATCTTATGTAATAAATAGTTGGATTAGTAAATTATGATCGACCCCGGGTGTGTTTTTTGTCGAAATTATATGGCTATTAAATATCAAAGTTCGGATATTTATCAAGTCGGGTGCTAAATTTGTTTCCTAATCACGGAACGTTCCTACTTAAATATCTCAGTCGAGCAATCGGGTTCCAGAATTTTTTAAGGAACCAGAATTTCAATTAGCATACATGCTCGAACATGATCGGTGGATCGTGTCGGATACTTCTGCTGTCGCTAACTACCAAAATCCAGCTTCAAATTTATATATTACGCTATTTTGAGCTATAAATTTCGGCTACAAATTTGCACAAAATGGTTTCGCGAACGCGATTTGTATTTTGGCAAGTGAACTTCCTACGATGGCAATTAAAATTGGCAAGAATCTCTTTCTTTTGGGAGCCTGTAGAGCAAGTTATGTTGACGCAAATGAAATCGAAAGCCGATGAAGTCAGATTCAGTTTCATTTTGGCTTAATTTATCGATTGTTCGATTATGATTACCGTTATCTCAATGGGTTTAGTCTTCGATTATATCAATGATTCTATTATTTTAGGTAGCTCTTTGTCTAGATTAATATTCCGATTCATGGCTTTTGTTTATCATATCCGAAGGCCTAAGAATCATTTTATTATTAAAGTTTATTCACTTGTTATTCATATTTCAAAATGACCATTGTGGAATTTCTAGATTTATACATAACAAGACAAGTCAGTGGAATTATTTTTTTGAATAAGATTTTAGTTGGCTTTGTTTTAGATGTCTACAAAAATATTTTAATGTGTGTATGACTAAGACAAGAAACTGGAGCAGATGTTATCTGATTCAGAATGGAACTATAAATATGTTATTTTGAAAAGGTCCTGGGCTCAGCCACAACATTAAAAGTTCACATTTGATTATAGATTATATTCTATTCTATTTAAAATTCGTTTTTTAAGAAGATTATACTCCGTGTTTTTAAACTGGAAAATTTTATGTTGGATTATATCACATATTTCTAAGATGTATCTTATGGTAAAACATAGTTAGAAAAGTATTAGGCAGTTTTGGTATTTAACAACAAAGTAATCTAGAAATAAACTAAACATGAAATGGCTAAAGCAGACTTTAACCTGCTGTGTTTGAAAAGCTAAAATACTTGAAGAATATTAATCATTCTACGTAATGTTTTATTCGCTTTCGAAAAGGTCACCTGTTCTAAAATTACATTTTGAATTGAAAGTATTTTTGTTACTTACTAATTACTCTAGTCAACTGAGAGATTTATGTAGCCGTAAAAAAGGATAATTGAGCAATTACAAGTTAATTTGCATCGAAAATGTGATAGATTCTCGAGGCGAATTAATAGCGCTAAATAAGTGCGAAGTTCGGCCATTAAGTGGTCATTCAATGGCTGTTTTGGCCACTTCTAAGCTGATTCCAGCTCTTGTTCGGATCACAGAGGGGGGCCTTGAATGGGGCATATCGAATGGATGAACAAGCGTGTGATGTATGGCTCGAGTTAATCGATTCCACATAGAAATATAGTTTGGTCGACGCGCAGAACTGCATGGCGGTGCGCGGCTCCCATGGCGGAGTGTCCATCATTAAGGCAGTCACTAAAATGCTAATCGATGCTCAACAGGTACAAGTGGCTATATTTGTATATATCTCTCACTAAATGTGAGTGTGTGAGTATTGACTGTGGTCTTCTTCCTCTGCTTTGCATAATACCCACACACAGAGGCTAGAGTTGGAGCTGGCCACAAACTATTTTGTGGCCGAAGCAGCCACGAATCTTGTATTACCAGCTGACGTATTTGCTAACTGATGAATTTTATACAAATTTGATACACTCGAGGTGAACTTGATTCGGTTTGTTGTCTTATGTTTTCGGATAGAAGCATCTATGTCTAAATGTATCTCCGTGCAGAAGCAGCGGCAGAAGCAGCGCCGCAACGAGTTTTGTTCGCGGTTTTAGTTTTATATGAAAATTCAAATTAAAGCTAATAAATACTTAGGCGTTCATTGTGGCTCTGGCCGGCCGAACTTTATCTGAAATTCATTAGAAAACTGGTCCATCTAACCTTCGAGTCGAGAAGATGCCACCGAGCGGGGACTGGACGGGGACTTCACACTGATTGACGTCTGCGGATTGCATAATACAATTAAGTTGGCGCTAAACGCCTGAGAGGCGATGTCAATCCGAGTTAATGCCGCCACTGACACGCAAGGATAACCGAGGATTATCCGGCGTGAAGATACCGGATTAAGGAGCGATTTCCAATCAAGGCCCAGAAAGGCGGAACTCCCAGTATTTCACATGGAATACCCACAAATCACAAACGACTTGCCGAAAATTAATGGGCAACTGTGAGAAACACGGCCTTTTGGGCGCCTTCACATCTGCAGAACGATGTTCGTGGCTACCAGCAATCAAAAACTTCACAGGCCACCACCGATCGTCCAGACATCGATAAATTAATAATATAAAAAATATATATATTTGGCTCTGGCCAGTGCGTCAGTGTGGAGACCTTATACAGCCTCTTCTTAAATCACATTGATATTGCCAAACGCAACATCAAGTCGAAGAGGGAATACTCTTTAAGTTGTGTTAAGAATACTTCTTCGTTATTAAATATATTAAAAATATAGAAATAAGGAAAGCGACTATGACCAATTCACAATAAATTATTTGTAAAATATTTCCAAGACCCTTAATTACAGACTCCTTCACATACAAAGTTTGTACACAATATATCCTATTTCCTAAAAGTGTCTCCACCTTTAATTACTGTACAAGAAATGTTAAATTATATGCCTAATAATTTGGATTAATTTTAGAACTTCCTATAGAATATACTTAAACAGAAAACCCACCAAGTCCCCTGTAAGACAAAGGGTGTGTTTGTCAAGAGAAAAAAACAGGAAAATTTGCATGTCTGACTTTTAATTTGGATTTTCGGGCGTAGAATCGCCGCTGTCAAAAGTGGTCTGCCTACAAGATTTAAGTAAATGGCTATGTATTATGTGCTGGGACGAACCAGTTGGCTTTTGAAATGAAATGAGATGAGCCGATATAACCAGTTGGTCGCAGTTCCCAGTCCCCCTCGTCAAAAACAAATGAATTTTATTCGAAATTAATTTTTTGGCTTGTGTTTTTATTTAGCTGGCCGGTCACAAATTTTGGCCAATACGTGTAGAATATAAGCATGTCCACAGCGACGGCTTAAAGCCTGAAAGCCTGATCTGTAGCTCCAATTCATACATTATATTTAACTCATTTGTGAATATAATTTTGGGCCCGAACAGCCTTGTGGCCGTCGACGCGTGTGGTTGCTCCAATTTCTGACTGTATTTGCACTCCGAGATCGTATTTGGTAGCCCCAAGTGGGCTAATTTACCGCCGGAGATGGCAGAGGTGAAGTGCACTCTCGAGATGGCCATTAATCAGCCAGCTCTCAAGTTCCATTTCGGGCACCTTCCGTTTTGACCCACGGAGCTTTTGAGTCGCGAGATGAACTTGAGACAAGGTGACGCCTCAAGTGAATAATTAGCTCAATTTTGGATTAGCCTAATCGTAAAGAAACTGGGTATATGGGTATTCAAATATCGAAATATATATTATACTTAATAACGATTAGTAAATATAAGTGGAAAATTAAGAGGATTATTTGGGATATTGATAAGAATAAATGAGAAAGGTAAAATAGCTCTTGCTAAGATACAAATGTTTATCATATTGATAAAGAATTAAATTGTTAATAAATTATCGATATTTATCGATAACGTTGATAGGTTCCTTGAAGAATATTTTGGAAAATATCATACTTATATTATTATTCATGAAAACTTAAAACTTGTTTTAAGACACAACAGACATTTTTTTAATAAGTTATCGGTATATGAAATATTATCGATAATAAATGTATTTATAAAATATCGATAAAATCAATGTAGAGCAGGAAAAATCTAAATAATTGGCAAAAGCGATTAATATTTGAATTAATAAAATATGGCATTCAAAATAATATGAGTATGTTTCGAAACAGCTAATGACAATCCTTGTTAAGTTTATATTGTTTTTGGAAATTTTTGCTAAAATTTGTAAACATTTTGATATGAATCGACAAAACTGAAATTTTTGAACTATATTTATTTTGCCATCACTAAACTAATTAACTGATCCCCCACCGATCTAAGCCTGATTAATGATAAATCTGTTACAAGATATCTGTTGTAAGATTCTGGTTAAACGCGGCACTTTCGCTTTAAAAGGCCAGGCCAGTTTGTTAAACTTTCAAGGGTCACTCGGTTATGTAATGGCCCGAGCCCAGATTCTGTGGAACTGGTTTTGCCACCAATGGCCAGGTCCCAGCAGCTGCCAACTCCAGCTCCAGCTTCAGCTCCAGCTTCAGCTCCAGCGAGATGACCCTCGACGGTTCCCAAAAAATTGAATGGGTGGTGTTTCATTTAGCGCAACAAGGATTCCAATGGCAATGGCCAACAATTGTGGCCCATAAATTGCTGGCCAGAAACTGGTTAACGCTCTCGCCTGCCGGTGTCCTTGATAAGGCTTATTAATATTTTTTGTTGTTTCTGGGTCTTTGGCGGGGAAAAACACGTTTTTTTTCTCGCACCCCAAAGCCGCCTTTAATTTTGAGTCGAGCTCAGCTGAATCGTGGCTGCAGGTTTTTTTGTTGTATTTGTTTTGAGTAAATTTATAATTTCACAGATCTTAAATGAATTTCAAACGCAATTTATCCATCGGCTGGGGAATATCCATTAACTAAGTGCCGTTAGCGGGTTGTTTATGCGATCTGTTGAGCCCGAATGTTAACAATTATTCAATGGCCGTGCAAAGATTTTACATTTTGTCGCAATCATATTCATAAATTTAGGGGGCAAGCTAACTGTACTTTATTATTGTTTTAACAAATTCGAGCAAGAACGTGTTTGGCGCAATTCATTTAATTTTTATCACCCGATCTAAATCAATTTAAGGTGAATGTTTCACAGATCAATGCAACGATAACTCAACTTTTATTTATATGCGAGCAGCAAAGACTTAATCGATATTGAATATATTGTGTCAGGCTGACAAATTAAGTCTATTAGGTGCGTTTTATTTCCAAGGACATTCGTTTGAATTTATTCTAATTTTAACCTGAAAGATTTGAATTAATACGAATATGAGATTTAATCTAAACAAATTTTAACTATTGAAAGAGATATATATTTTCATCTATTATTGCATTTAGTAAACATTGTTTTAGTTGTTAAAATCACAAACAAATTAAAGAGATTGTAAGTGGGAGCTAATCTTAAAATTTATGCATCAATAAAATATGCCTGAATTTTAACTTGAAAAACTTTATGAGGCTTATGAATAATTTATTCATTTAATTAAATCAAAAAGCCATAATTTATGAAACGAATCTAAATAATTATTGTACTCATTAATTTGTCAATTTGTTATATAATTTAATAATTAAAACTTCTCTTTCCTAGAACTTTCCATTTCGCTTTTTCGCATGTTGTAAAATTCAGAGAGAACCTGCCATAAAGCTCTATACATATATTTCTACTTCCTAGACCAGAATTCCAAGCCAAATATAAAACTAAACCCAAAAAAACAAAACGAAAAATAACAAAATAAAGTGGGAAACTAGTTAGTCCGGGTTTGGCGTTTGTTTGGACCGCAGATTTACATAAATATAAATCTTAAGCAGAAAACAATATAGTCCGCCTTGACTGAAGCCGTGTAGAATTCTTCAGAGAGACGCGGACAAATGCGTTATGTATAGGGATAAATTTGCATAAATCATAAGCACAATTAACGATGTTTCGCCGCTTGTTCTTTCCGAACTGCTGACGCAGGTGACGTGACATTTGACTCTGAAATTTATACGATCCCCTCAGAGACAAGATCCGCGAAATTTGAATAACCACGCACTCTGAGATATTGTCCAAATCCCCGCCTCCTTCTCCTCTGCCTCCTCATCCATTCAGAGATGCGTGAATCTTCTGGGTGGGAAGAGAGTCATCGGCCTTCTAATAAATATTCAGTGGCGACTCTTTCATCTGCCTTGCCCACGAACACTTTTCATTAGCCGATTTGCGGCTGAATTATATACAATTCAAAGATATATCTTTGTATCTCTACTCGAGACTTGATTTCAATTTTAATGGCCCGTGCGTGAGGGTATTTAATTTGGTCTTGGATTAGATAAGCCTCTTTTGTCTCTACCTGAATGGGTAGAAGTATTCAAGAAACTGTTCTAGGTAGCCTCAATGAAGCTAAGAAAATAATTATGATACATATTTATATATTCATAGCAAAATGTACAGGCAATATATTATTCTTTCACACAAACTTCTTCAATCGATACATTAATCTTTCGTCTTAAAAGATGTGTTAGTAAATTATCTTTTTTGACAGCAGGTTTTAACAAGTCCAAGTCAAATGCCAATGCAAGTTTTAAAAATTACTATCCACAAAAACATGTAAGCATCTAAGTTTCTTAAAAAATTCACAAGCACAAAAAACTCAAACAAAAAACTCCAATAAAAAAGCCAAAACGAATCCCTATGCAAACAAACTTAAATATTTGTTTATAGATGCTGGCTTTTGGCAAAAGTATTTTTTGTTGAAAGAAAAACTGCAGTAAACTCTGTGATTTAATATATGTTTACCTTCCACACTTGGCTTTTCTGATGATTCAGTTCAGGCCAGTTGACTCTATCAGATGCCATTAACAAGACAGTGGTGGCAAAATCATTCGGAAATAGCTCCAAGATGAGATCTTTTTTGGTGATAAAGCTGAAAGCGAATCTAAATATCATATTCATGATTTCCGCACCAGGAGACAAAGGCAAGAAATATACGAATGTATAAAAAAACCATCTAAAACTACCTGTGGATACAAAACTATAGCTTAATATTTGCTGAGAAGTAACCGGTCTAGAATGCGGCTTAGAACGACTTGACGGACTTGACTCGTCCTTCGCAAGAGTCCAAAATCTCAATCAATTCTCTCTTGAAAATAGTCGTTAAATAATCACCTGTTGCAATGTCCGATGATGCGACAAAATAAGGCTTTTCCATGCAAGTAAAAATATAAAAATCAAAGGGGGAAAAATAATAAAAACAACGAAGACGCTTCAGTTATCCGCAATGACAAATTTGAAATGTCAGCAGTCGTCGTCAAGTGTCATTGCCTTTGGCGTTCGCTTTTGGTGGGGATGTGCGAAGCAAGTTATGACCCGAATAGATGGCCAGCCGGAGGTTTCTCACCGGATTGTGCAATAAACAAATGCCGAGAATTAATTGTTGCACCGGCCACTAAGTGGGGTGACTTCCGTCTGAATTTATTGAGAGATTCTAGCATTAGCAGACCCTGAACGGCTGACCACGCACCTCTGGCCCAAAAGAGTTCAAAGTCACACTTCTATTTTGGGCTGGCCGGGCTCATGACTCCGTCCCATCAGTGGGTGTCACTCTGATTGGTTCATTAAAAGCTTGGCGTGACTTCGAAAATTAATAAATTCTAGTTATTATAAACAAAATGCGACGAAACACATACTGCAGGCGATGACAAACGCTGGCGAAACCCGTTTGGGTGTCGCTCGAAGAATGCAGCTTCTTCGCAAGATCGTCGATCGCGGATTGCTATTCGCAGATCGCAGATCGCAGATCGCCGAGTTGTGTGCGTTTAAAGGTCATTCGTTCAGAGGAGTCAGAGATGAGTGCGAGCTGAGATGCGCCGAGATGAGCCTACCTTAACATTCAACTCCAGCTGCTGACCCCATACGCATTTGGGCCTTTTTGGCCCAGTCAACCGGTTCAATATTCCACACACGGAGAAAATAGGTGCTAAAAGAGTGATAAATATAATAAGTATAATCTGATTTAGATATATATTAAATACTAATATATTAAGTAGTTATTTCAACAAGTTTTTAAGCAAGTTTTTGGAATCAAAAATGTCATCTTATCACGATGTCTTTAAGGAAAGAGGTTCAAAATAATCACTTGGTATTTGCAGGTTTACATTTATTCGTTTACCGGAAATTTATTCATTTAAATTGATAAATTATTTTGAATTATCTTAAAGAACTTAAATCAAAGCTCTAATAAATATAGTTTTAATAAACAATACTTTAGTTTAAGTAGCAACAATAAGTGAGATGAGAGTTGCTTGCGCTTTCCGAATAAAAACGAATGAATAGTTGGCTTATCGATCGATCGATTTAGAGTTATGGAAGTTAACATGGTTTCTATTTTTTTGTGAAATATTATTTTCTCTAAGTGCATACCCCTGCACTGCATGTGTAGGCCTGGGGACCTGGCCGCGTCTGGGTAATTGCCATTAGCCAACGCCTGATGATGATCTCGCTGCTCCCGAGTCTTATTTGCCTTGGCAAGCTTCGATGGGAGCCTTGACTTGGCTTGGCTCGCAGCGCGCATCTCTCGGCTGTCGCGCAGCGTCGATTGATGAAATTTCGGTGGCTCAGCGGCTCGGTGGCTATCCGGGGGGACCCAATTTACCAAGTTTACCAAATCTGCCGCCGAATGTACCAAATCGGCCAAATTAAATGCTGCACGACAACGTGTTTAACACTCGCCAAAGAGACTTCTGCACAAAATTATTTGCTGGCTAAGTAGAAATGCCAATAAGAGCGGCCGCTGGCCACCGGTTGCTCGCTCATCTTCTGCCATAATTGCTGGGCCGCACTTCGATCTGGGTGCTTTTGTTTTAGCCATGTTATCTGGCTGTTAACTCACAAACATCAAACACAAACAACTCAGACAGGTTGGCTGGCCTGGTCAGCCAGTCTCTGGTGCTGTCGCTGTCGCTGTCGCTGTCGACTTCGCTGCCGGCGCATCTTCATCTGGCCAAAACGCTTTCGATTTCGGCTTTTTGGCCGAGTGTTAACAGCTGTCGCCCAGGTGAAGACGCCGCTGCCAGCGCCGACCGCGGGCGGGCAGATGCTGCGTCCGAGTATATATAGAAAATCTACACGTTTTGATACTTTAGTTGGTATTCCACACTCGACCTAGAAGTTAAACCAACTTAGCTTGGCATCGATCAAATTCAATCGCCCATTGAATTTGATACGATCGGTCGCGTCTTCACCTCTCCTCCTCCACGTCCGCCAGGATTAAGCGCACGCACCAGCAAAGGATTACCCAATACAACTGCCGCTCGTAGCAGTCCGAAAGTGTACACCATGGTAACCGAACCCAGTTCCCAGTTCCCAGTTCTCAGTTCCCCGTCCAATCTAACGTAATCTCTGCCCCGAAAACGAACAATGATCGTGTGCAAAGTGCAACAAGAAAACAATATATACTGAAACAAGTGTGTCCCTCTCGGTGTGAAGACAAAACAAGACATTTCGCAAAAAGGAACACAGGGAAAAATGATCACTTATTGAAGTTTGCAAAAAATATTTTATAAAACAAAAGAGTTCAATTCAAATATTTGCTAAGACTTGCGAAAAATTTATGACAAGTATAAAGAGAGTTTATGAAAGAAAGTTATTTAAATGTGTGCTCAATTGATATTACGAAACATTTAAGATTAAAAGAATGGTCGCTAATTTTTTGCGCAGATTAAATATTTTCTTTTATTTAAAGATTCTTTTTTTTAAAATGTAACTACATTTAATTCGATTAAAACTGGTTATGAAAATTTAAAAAATGTTTCAATGTCTATTTAAATTACATAATGTTTATTGCTTAATATCATAACTTTGACATATGTTTAGCATTGACATTTCCCTTATATTTAAAACCAAATATTGTTTTTCAAAATATCACAAATTCAACTTTAACATTTTGCATATTTAATATCTGGATTCTTTTAAGCCATTACAAAATATTAGACAGGTTTAAAATGTTAGATTTTTCATAAACATGAAATTGTTAATGTAAAGTATGCATACAATTCTGTATAAAGAAGGAAAACTAAAAGGTGGAAACCATAAAACTTACATTTTCATAAATTTATCTATAAACTATTCATAAATGCACAATAAAAATTGCATTTTCTGTTAGAACAAATATTTACTTACTTATATTTAGCAAAAGAAAGAAAATCAAGTAATTTCCAAAGATTGGTAGACATCCTTTAAATTCCCCTTTAAACTTTTAGTCTTTTTTCGTTATAATAAAAAAATTGTCTAGGTAACTTTGTATTCACTGTCATATTTGTGGTTTTTCCCCCTGTGCACTCAAGGGCCACACAAAATTCCCGCAAGAGCACCGCAAACAGCAAGAAAAAGCAAATAAATTGCCAAAGCGACTGCAGTTCCAATTCAATCGACATCTATTTGCATTTCACATTTCGACGGGGGTCCAGTTTTGGTCCAGACCGGGGCTATCTCTGTCCCGCTGACCAGCTGCCCACCAGTTGACATTTAAGCCAACGGATCCGTATCTGTATCTGTATCTTTGTACTCTGTACCAGTGTGTGCATCTGTTGAGCAAGTGCCATCGGGTGCAATGTTACGCATACGCCGTGGTGGTCGCCCACGGTGTCCACGTCCGATTGCTCGAATCGCCTTGGCCATTTGCGTATTAAGTCATTAGGATGGACCAGCTGCATGTGCATTCTGGCATTCGGGCTGCCGTTTCTATGTCAGCATTGACATGGCTGAAGATGAAATTAAAACTTGTTTTGTTTTTTCCATAATTTTCGTTTTTGCATCTGACATTTGCGAATGGCAATTTGCGATTGGCGTAATTAGGTAAAGAGCCATAAAAACGTTTGACGCCTTAAGTCAGATTCTAGATGTTGCCATCAAAGTTGTCCAAGAAGAGCGGTCGGAAGGGCTTCTTCCCAGGTGCGAAACTCTTTCAGAGATTAACAGCGTTCCACACACACTCTTTTGGTCCAATTTAATTGCCCCGAAGTTTTTGGCATTGAGGCTCTGCCCTCGAAGCGGTGTGAATCGGATTAATTAGCCACCAATTAGCATAATGAACAGTCAAGGGAAACCGGGTTACTTCACCTTTTGGTAGGAATACCAAAGGCAATATCTCGACAAGTCCTTTCACTTTCTCGACATCCACACCCCACACTCTCCCCTGCCATCTGCCAAACCCGATTTGTCTCTTAAAATTCCTAAGCGAAATTGTGATACTTTGAAACAAGTTAGAACAGCCAAAAGTTCAGGTTCATTAGCATAAATTATTTAAAATCATTTACATACAAAAGTCAAATATTTCTCGAAATTAGCAAACCTTCAGAGGCGCTCGAGCACATATAATAAAGGAAAAAGAAGACAATGTAGTCCCAGCCACATTTGGAGGTAGTGGCTATAATCTAACAGATTTGGTTATAAACGACACCCGAGGCAGACTCTTTTTTATACTTTTTTATGGCGGTGCGTATGCTAATTTCGGCAGGCGACTTCAGATTTTCTCACTAGTTTTATGGCCCCTCTTTTCTGATTATTATATAATCATGGCTAGAACGGGTCTCGCCAGATCCGGGCAGGTTTCTGGCATAATCGGCTATTTATATAACCCACGAAAATTCTCCTCCGACAGCCATCGACTGTCCAATTAATTGAGCTCATCGACCAGCGATGAGCACTTTCATTAACTAGCGATGACCTTGCCGAAACTGCGGCGACAAAAATGCAAATGAGCTCGCCTCGTCGGAAGCGATAATTCAGGGGCTGCTTCCTCGACTCCAGACACATCGCGTATATATGTATGTATATTCATATATCTTGTGTCTGCATTAGCATTGTGTTTCAATCGAACCAATCTGCGAAATTTACAACGGCCTGACCTAGAGATGCTAATGCCTGTCAAAGTTGAATGTCTGTGTTAACATTTCGGGTGATTTTCAATGCATTATGCTAATGCGGCGTCTGCGACCGATCTCTGGCTGAACTTTACCACAGTTTTTAACTGCAGGCGTTGGGGTCGGTGATGGACTCTTGGATTTTGACTCGAAGTTGGTGCTTCGAGATGGAGATGGAGATATTGAGTCGGAACCGGGCCAAGTTGCCACGAAGCGTGAAGAGGCGATTAGCCTAGAAGGCGATCGATTAGTCGCAATCAGGTTGTTAGAGACAGTCGTTAATCTTGGCACCTTCAAAACAGCAATAAAACCATCGACCTGGACTATGCATCAATGCTGCTAACTAGGTTTTTTAAAAACGGGATATATCTTAGGGATAAAAGGATATTCCCTTTAGCAACCCAACTATTTAAAGAGATAGTAAAGAATGAAAAGATAAAGTTATAATAGAGGGAGACATTAAGCATGATTGATGAAGACACCGCCTAATAGTATAAACAAATTAAATCTAATGATTATTAATTAATTTAATCTAAAGAATAAAATTATACCCATTAAGCAAACTCAAAGATATGAAAAATAACTCCTATTAAAGATTTTAATCGTTGTTGGTGTGATTATGTATACGTTCAGACAATTAAACATTAATTTTTAATTCTTGTATCCTTTTCTTTACAGAGAAGTGCACTGTTCGTCGTGGCGCTTTGCGCTGTGGCACTGGCCACCGCATCGGCCGACACCCATGAGGTAAGTGATCCTAAGCCACAGCACAGCTCTTTCAGAAGCTCATCCCTCGCTCCAACTTGCAGCGTAAAACTCGTGCCGCCGAGGGTTACTTCTACCCGCAGCCCAATGTGCCGTTCGAGCTGCCGCCTCGCACCACCTCCCCACCACCCACCAGGCCGCCCACTCGGCCACCCACTCCTCCCCCGACCAGGCCACCCACTCGTCCACCGACGAGGCCACCACCCACTTACTTGGCGCCCACCAACAAGCCTCTGCCGCCGGTGACCACCCGTGCTCCACCACCACCGCCGCCACCGAGGACCCCTCCTCCAACTAGGCCACCAACCAGGCCACCAACCACCCGTCCCCCGGCAACCTATCTGCCACCCACCAACAAGCCACTGCCGCCAGTGACCACTCGTCGCCCGACGCCTCCTCCGCCACCAAGGACCACCGTTCGTCCTACCACTCCGGCTCCCACCTACCTGCCACCCACCAACAAGCCTCTGCCGCCAGTGACCACCCGTGCTCCACCACCACCACCGCCGCCAAGGACTCCTGCCCCAACCAGGCCACCAACTCGGCCACCAACCACCCGTCCCCCGGCAACCTATCTGCCACCCACCAACAAGCCACTGCCGCCAGTGACCACCCGTCGCCCAACGCCGCCACCCACCAGGCCACCAACCCGCGCTTCGACTCCGGCTCCTACCTACCTGCCGCCCACGAACAAGCCTCTGCCTCCAGTGACCACCCGTGCTCCAGTGCGCACCACCCAGCCACCGACTAGGCCACCAACCAGGCCACCAACCCAGCCACCAACCAGGCCACCAACCAGGCCACCAACTCGTCCACCAACCAGGCCGCCAACCACCTATCTGCCACCCCCGACTGTGCGCACCACACAGCCCACTAGGCCACCAACTCGTCCTCCTACCAGGCCACCAACCACCTACCTGCCACCCCCAACTGTGCGCACCACGCGTCCTCCTCCACCACCCACTCGCCCCCCGACTGCACCACCAACCACTCGTAGGTTGACCACCCCGGCTCCTACCTACCTGCCGCCCACCAACAAGCCTCTGCCACCAGTGACCACCCGTGCCACGACCAAGGCTCCACTGCGCACCACCCAGCCTCCTACCAGGCCACCAACCAGGCCACCAACCCAGCCACCAACTCGCCCACCAACTCGCCCACCCACTCGTCCACCAACCACATACCTGCCTCCCGTAACCGTTCGCACCACTCGTCCTCCTCCACCACCCACCCGTCCTCCCACCCGTCCCCCAACCCGTCCCCCAACCCGTGCATCCACTCCTGCTCCCACATACCTGCCACCCACTAACAAGCCCCTGCCGCCAGTGACCACCCGTGCCACGACCAAGGCTCCACTGCGCACCACTCAGCCTCCTACCAGGCCACCAACCCGCCCACCCACTGCTCCTCCCACCAAGCCACCCACCCGTCCCCCAACCCGCCCACCAACTCCTCCTCCCACTTACCTGCCACCCGTGACGGTGCGTACTACTCGTCCTCCGCCACCACCCACCAAGCCACCAACCCGTCCCCCCACCAGGGCTACCCAGCCACCCACTAGGCCACCAACCAAGCCTCCCACCAGGCCACCAACCCGTCCCTCGACTCCGGCTCCCACTTATCTGCCACCCACCAACAAGCCCCTGCCGCCAGTGACCACTCGTGCCACGACCCGTGCTCCAGTGCGCACCACCCAGCCTCCTACCAGGCCACCAACCAGGCCACCAACTCGTCCTCCCACCACCTATCTGCCACCCCCACTGTGCGCACCACCCAGCCCACTAGGCCACCAACTCGTCCTCCTACCAGGCCACCAACCACCTACCTGCCACCCCCAACTGTGCGCACCACGCGTCCTCCTCCACCACCCACTCGCCCCCCGACCGCACCACCAACCACCCGTAGGTTGACCACCCCGGCTCCTACCTACCTGCCGCCCACCAACAAGCCCCTGCCTCCGGTGACCACCCGTGCCACCACCAGGGCTCCAGTGCGCACCACCCAGCCTCCTACCAGGCCACCAACCCGCCCTCCCACTCGTCCACCAACCACATACCTGCCACCCCCGACTGTGCGCACCACGCGTCCTCCTCCACCACCAACTCGCCCACCCACTCGTCCCCCAACCCGTCCTCCTCCTCCCCCACCCACGTACCTGCCCCCGGTCACCACCCGTGCCACCCGCCCGCCACCACCACCCACCGTGAGGACCACTCCTTATGTGCCACGTCCCACTGTGAGGACGACACAGTATGTGCCACCGGTGACCGTGAGGACCACGCCCTACGTGCCCCAGACCACCAAGCACCAGGGCTACCAGTACCCACCCCCCAGCATCCCCTTCGAGTTCTAGGGCGATGAGGTGCTCCCCCACTCCTCCGTCACCGTCTAGCAGCGCAGTAGCAGGCACTTGTCCAGGGCTAGATTGGTCTAGTCATACTCGTACAGTCTAATGTCACACGATCACGATTCCGGAAGGACGACACCTGTTTGTTTTTATTTTATTTTTGTAATGTAATTAATGCCCACACAGCCAGGGCTCACTGTCCATGGGTCCATTAAGGGCAGTACCAGTACCAGTACCAGTACAGTACAGTCTCTATCCAACTCTTGCTATGTTCTATGTTACCACGCTACACGATCGATGGGCCCCGTCGCCTGTGACGGGCGCCAGCTCAAGACTATATAGCTCTATATTACGATTAAATAAACCCTTTATTCGGATCGCTGAAACCTGAAACAATAAAATAAGTTTTTCAAATATATTTATGCTGTTTTCATTGGGAAATTTTATCTCAGGGTCAGTCTGTTGAACCTCAAAGTAAGTCCGTAGTTCGTGTGTTAGAAACATTTATTATCTATTTTTAAATGTAAAAGTTTCTTTCCTTGTTTTAAATGAAATTAGTATAATTTGAAGAAGGATTGTGTTAAGATATAAATAAAATTAAACTAGCAGTTGTTTAATTTTTTTTAAATCTTAACAAAATCCTTCTACTGCTACTTTCTTATCCTTATATATACTTTTAAACACGATAAACTACTTTAAGTTGCCGAGCTATCACTTTCACTTTACTGGGATTACTGAAATCTTTAACAATAAAATACGTTTTTTATATCTAGGGAAGCGAACAAAATTGTGGCATTTATTTTATTTTATATAAACCTCAACAATAAAAACATATTTAAAGTATTTCCACTGATTTTCCTTTCCGTTTTTCCTTCCTACAACAGGGAAATGGGAGCATATCATGTCCGGGAGATCTGGTGCTCTTGTTAACCACACAGACATCTTTTGGCTTTTTCATGCAAGTTGGCTTTTACGACTATGCTAAGAAGTTTGTTGCTTTAAAAGGCAATAAAACATTAGAGGTTTAGGTTAAAATTATAAACATTGGCATTCACTTTTGATCTCAGCTGGTTAAGACAATAATCAGGAGGTTAAACCTGGTCACGTTTTATGCAGCGGTTAATCTATATTGATTTAAAAGAAACTAATGGTTATATTTCTTCTTAAAGGAACTTGACACAAATGTTATTTTTAGACTATGTACTTTACAATTAAGTTAAGTATCGAGGTTATAAATTCTTTAAATACATACATTTATGTTTATTCTTTTATAATGCATCAAAGTATATGTCTAAGAATAAATCTGTGATTACCACTACCTGTTATTGATTCTAACAAAGATAAATTTTATCTTTTGGGTAAATTCTGGGGGACATTTAAGTTTATAACTTATTTTCAGAATAGTAAATTATGTAATTAATTTGCTTTGAGGAAAATTATTACATTATTAAAATGATTTTTGTAAATATCTAATGTCATTTGGTCAGCAATTTATTCTTCCAGTAAACTTCATATAAAATCTTTCTTAAAGTTATGCCTTGAATCATTCTTAAAGAAATTCTGAAGTTTATCTGATTTTTCAAAGAACCCACCATTTATTATCCAATAAAATCCCGCCGTTAGAGAATAACAACTTCGGATTTATTGCCTTCGCCTGGCAATTTCTAGTTACTTCGCTGCGATCTTCAGATTTTCATGGTCACTGCGTTTATTAATATCTCTTTCTTTTTCACTCAAAGCCTCGAAGCACGAATTCGCCTGAGCAATTAATTTATTTGTCTGCAGTCGGCCGTTTTGCTTTCGCAGCCAAACTCTATCAAACTTTCTAATTAAGCTGTTGCACTTGCGCTCCGGCGATATAATCGCTGCTTTTTAGGCGCCGCCAGCGCCCGGCTGCACTCAGTCATCGCCACGATCCGCGATGAGGCAGAGGCCCGTGTCCACATTCACCCAGCGATAGGCAAGCCGAGCGGTCCCGATTCGGAGACCTCAAGATGTCCATGACGCCAGCCCCAAGACAACGACAAGGTACAGGACAAGGACAAGGAGCCAGGGGCACCAGACGTGAAACGCGATCCAGGCAGGATTTAGGATCAACCAGTGGCGGGCGGCAGATAATGGGCCTGATCCTGGGGTGCACAATTGTGAGTTCACTTTGCGATATATAAGCCAAAGATAAGTCCTTTTAATTTCTCTAAAATCTATTAAATTATCCAATCTCCTCTCTTTTCACATTATCCTTTCCTTGGCAGATGTCTCTCGTGGTAGTCAAGGTCGCCTCCGCAGCCACTCTATATCAGCAGCCACATTTACTCCAGCAGCAGCAGCAGACGCAGTCCGTCAACGACATTGAGTCCTCCGCAGAGGAGAATCAAGCCACCAAGGAGTCGGAGCAGTGGAATCAGTCGGAGAGCGACAGTGATATCGAGAAGATGAGGGCCAAGTTGCAGCAGCTGCAGCATGAACAGCAGCAGCTGTATCTCCGCCAGCAGCAGCAACAGTTGCAGCTGCATCTCCAGCAGATGCAGGCGGCGCAGGGAGCTGGAGCAATAGGCGGGGGAGGAGGAGGAGCTGCAGCAGCTGGAGCCGGAGCTGGAGCTGGTGGCGAAACCGCCTACTTATTGGAGCGTGCCGACAACCAGCTCGCACCCATCTACGGGACATGGCGCACGAAAGCGCGACGGCAGCCACACGCAACCGCGTCACACGAACTGGACGACGCCCATGTGTACGAGCGTCTGCCGAGGCGTTCGGCAACCATGACGCCTCTGAAGGGGCTGCTGCGTGACCAGATGCCCCGCCCGCCGCGTCTCTCCACCCAGGAGATGTCCCAGCTGTCCTTGGGATCACCCTCACCGCCGCCCACAACAGCGCTGCTGAGGAGGCAATATTCGGAGACGCCGGGCACCAGGGCTCTGAGAGGTCAGGCTCAGGCTCAAGCACAGACACAGAACACACAAGAGGAGTTCAAGCCAAAGCCCTTTCACTTTCCCTACGATGGCCCACTGCCCGAGCAGTTCACCAAGGGCGAGGCAGTGCGTCCCGAGCTGAATAACATCCAGGACATTCTGCAACACTTGCACATAGGAGGAGGTCTAGGACCGAGCAAGCTCCCGCCGATGGTGATGATGCCCACGGGCCTTCACATCGCCGGCACCTTCAAGAACCTCAAGTCGAGCGGCATCGGGAACTTCTTCCGAGGCAAGCGGCACAAGAAACAGATGCAGTTCACCATTCCAATGGGTCACATGCCTCTGATGCCAATGGCCATGCCCATGCCCATGTCCATGCAGTGGTATGCTCCCCCGAGTCATCAGCGAGTGGCCATCGAACAGTTGTATCCGTACAAGCCCCGGTCGCCACAGGATGTCAATCTGCTGGCCATGCAGCCGGTGGTCGGAAATGGAAAGCCCCTCTCCAAGAACAAGAAAAAGAAGCAGCAACAACAGCTGCAGCAGCAGTTGCTCGAACATGGTAGCCAGCAGCACTTCGTGGCCGATCCTTTCCTGCAGCACTTCGCCCTGAATGCCACCCGGCAGCCGCAGCACAAGCGAGTTCCCTTTAAGGTCAATCTGGACATATACCCGGTGTTACCGCCTTCGCGTCCCTCCTCGGTGTTAAGGCATCCCTTCCAGCAGGATTATGCTCTGCCATCGGCAGCTGCCTTGACAGGAACCACGGCGGCAGCTTTCCAGATGGGTCACGGTCAGCATCCTGGCCTGTACCAGCAGACATCCTTTAAGTTCCCCACGCAGCAGTCTGCTCCAGTGGTATTTCCCGACCAGGCCACCAGATTCAGCCAGCAGCAAGCCTTGTACCAGCACAAGTTTCCGCCGCCTCCGCCTCCGGAAGATGCCATCTACGGACAGGGTCAGGGACAGGGTCACGGTCCAGTAGAGAGCCAAACGAATCCCATTATGCTGCACTTGAATGTGTTTCCCAAGCAGAAGCCCACGGCCACGATTCGTGCCTCTACGAATCCCTTCTACAACCACAATATGCAAAGGAACACCGTCAATTCGAATGAGCTGCCGCCTCCCAATCCGCCGAGTCCCATTGAACCACGACAGGCAGTTGGTGGCAACGTCAGTCACTCTCAGCAGCCGCAGCAACAGCCACAGTCACATCAACCATCTGTGAACCAAACCCAGCAGCAGAACCAGCTTCCAGTGACCACAAATCGGCCCAACTCCATTTCCCGTAGCGACCACGTGCCGCTCATTGACTTTGAGCATCCCATTGTGGCGGCCGAGTTACCGGATAGAGCTTCCCTCACAGGATACCGGCAGGATCATCATCAACGCTACCGGAAGACGCCCGTGGATGAGCACTTTCGCTATGGGAAAAGCGCCAATATCGAGCAGCTGGCGGCTGAGGCCCAAACCGCCTCGCTTTTCCGCTTTCCCGTCGAGGATTTGATACAGTTCCAGGTGGACGATGCTCTCTAACTGACTATAGTTGTACTTAGACTTATGTAGTTAGTGTAGCACTATTACTTAATATCGTTTTCATCTCCTACAAGCGATATGTTTGGAAGTTAAATGAAAAGTAGGTAAATTGAATGTTTTACATAAATACGTATCTCAATTAAAGGGAACTGAGTTTTTCTTTGTTAAAGTGGAACTTGATTGATTAAATATATATATATATAAATATATATTTTAGATTCAAATGATGGGTTTTGTGTTCTCCTTTAAGTACTCTATACTTTGCCTCGAAAATACTTTTTTTAAGCCGCCTAAAAGCCTGCTTTCCATCACCTTTCGACTTGAGTTTCATTGCCAATCTCATTGCGCGTGCGCAAAAACAGAACCGGCATCGGCACGAAACCAGTATTCAAGTAAACCATTATTCCGAGCCAAGCGGCTCTCCGGCCGAGAGCGCCATCCGAGGCTAAGCCACAAGAACGGGCGGCGGCAACAGGTAAGTCCGGCCAGAAGGTAAGCGAGCGTCGCTCCGTCCAGACGTTGTCGCGGTTTAAACTCGCTGTGAGTAGTCGCATCGGGCATATCCGTGAGATACAAGATACAAAAGCCAGACACACAAGAGCAAGATCAAGTTTCGGTCACTCGGCGTCATCCGTTTTGCGGTCCCGTGTGTGTTGTTGTGGTGTGTTTTTTTGCGTACGTTCGTCTGGCCAAAAAAAGCGAGTCCCACCGAAATACCCGTTTAAAGTGAAATAGTCTTGGCTAAAATGGTCATTCCGCGACAGTGTTAATTGTTATTTTCGCCAGAGCTTGTACTTGCACCGCAACCCCTTGGGTTTCCTGAAATTTTTGCATTTCCTTCTTACCGTTCTCTACCTACATTTTCCGCCTGCTTCTCTCTCTCTCTCTCTCTCTCTTTCTCAGTCGCTCCTTTTCTTATTTTTTTGGCCAAAACAAGAACTCATAGATACAGCGAGCGAGATATACCTGCGAACCAGTCTGTTTTGTGACTTTATTTGTTTTTGCCACTGTCGCCTAGTGTCTGCGTGTCCGTGTGTGTATATATGCGAAAAGAAAGCCATCATCACACCGGATCGCATCGCATCGCAACATTTGCCAATCGCCAAGAAGTGCCCAATGATCGGAACTGGCGGCCAGCAGCCGCCTCATCATCATGTGCCACTTTTCGCATGTGCATAAAGTGAAATCTCCAGTCCGCTCCCTCGTCGACTGAATTTCTTTCCATTCCACCCGTCTTTTCTCCCTTTTTTCTGTGGGGCCCATCATGAGCGGAATGTGATCGAGTGCTGGCAAAAGTTCAAACGCCAAGGCTAAAGCTAAGCAAACGCGCAGACTCAGCTGAAATCTCAGCTGAAATCGCAGGCATTCTCGCTCAAAGACAAGGCCAACTGGGGGCGGCGGTGGTGCAGTTATCTGTAGCTGTATTAGCATTGAAAAATCATTGTTTCTGGCCAAATAAATAAGCCCAGTTTGTTTTGCATTTCTGCCAGTCGAAGAACGTGAACGAGCGAATAATATAAGAAAAGTTAAAAAGAAGTAAAGATTAAAGAAAAACCAAAAGTAAAACTGTGTCGACGTTCTACATGTGCTAAATACTAGAGTAAACACCATCGAAAACTCGGACCTAACGGATACGAATAGCTAACGGCTCTGCAATTAGCCACGGCAACATGTTGCCGCCATGGATGTGGCTGTTGCCGCTGCTCTCGGCCAGCTTTGCCGCCGGCCAGCTGCTGAATCATCCGCCGCAGTTCGTCCCAGGGACGGGAGACATGTCCCGCTTTAGCCTTTCGGAGAACACGCCCGTTGGGAGTCCGGTTTATCAGTTGAAAGGTGAGTTTCTTAAGATACAAGAGGAAAAGTTAACAGGAAGTTTTCCAGGCACTTACTGGGATATTTATTAAACCTGGAGAGTACAGAAAGTAACCTTAAACCCTTATTAATTCTTATTAACTATACCTTAATACAAACACTACTCCATTAATATCTAAAACCTGACACATTTGATATGATTGCACTCTTATTCTTAACTCTGAAGACCAGTAGCTGGTGCTCCAGTTGTTCCACAGGTGTTGGCGGGGGAGTTCTACATAGTTGGCTCACATTGCATGCTCGACATTTTATCAACATGTGTAGTACCGGGAGTACTGGGAGTACGGGGCCATCACGTTTCATAATTTTATGCGGAATTGCTTCACGGCTTTCATTGCAGCAGCAGTGAGACAATGTACACAAATAGCCCAATTCCCACGCAGTTTGTGCCAATGCCTTTCACTCGCAACAGTTTGTTTTGTTTTAGCCCGAAAAAATGATGGCTCAGTGCCAGAGGGGGCTGTGGGAAGATCAGCTGATTAATACCTATCAGGGAAGTTATTAATTTATGTGCTTTACTCTGTACTTAATTAGGCCAAAGAACTTTTATCTTCACGCCGAAAATTTATATTTTCCCAGTAAAATGATAAAATGGTTAATCTTTACCCCAAATAAGTCTAGGTTAAGTTGTCAAAAATATAAAGTCACAGATAAACTAAAATCTTCGGTAAGTCACGATCTTGGGTTGATTATCAAATAAGCCATTAAATTGTTTATCTCTGAAGAACGTTTATGCATTAAATTGCTTAGAGTAACGATGTTTAAATATAAATGGGAGCTAGATTTGTTCATTATATAATTGTATCTGTCAAAAGATTGATGAACGGGAATTGATGGCAATTTAAATAGTACATTTATTTATTTGTTTACAAAGCAAAGGCTACTTAGAATTCTATCACCGGAACCTATGAATTATTTCAAACATTTTCTTTAACAATAATTCAATTTACCAGCTTGTATAATTTACCAAAAAACTAAAGAGCATTCCCTCTTCGATTCAAGTTTCATATCTCACTCCACAACTGGCTTCAATAATTTTGTAATTTGGCTTTTGAACATACCTCAAATTACCAATGCTGACTTTCATTTCTTGGCCAGCTCTCCGGCTTTGGGTGGGCCACCTACTTTGGGTCAACCTTGTGGCGGGGTATTGGATTTTTGCGGCTGCCGCGCACGTTTCCAGCACCCTCGTATCTCACACTCGCCAGATACAGATACACGCAGATACAGATTGCATAATGTCAGTGCTGTAAAATATGCAGTGCGGATCTGCAAGAATTCACGATAAACCTCAGAGGAAAAAAACACAAGATATTAATTTTTTCCCATTTGCTGTTTCTGGTTTGGTATTTTTTTGGAGTTAGCTCGCTTAAGAATGCAGTTAACAAACAAAAACAAACAAAGACAGGCGGAGATACATATGTATCTGATAGGCGGGCAGGCGGAAATGCATTTGAACACGTTTGTGCGTACCACCAGCGATAAGTGTTAGTTCCCCGCCGATAATGGCGATGGCCGGCATGGTAATGGTGATGGTAATGGCTTCCATTAGATGGCCACCACTTTTGCTCGAGAATGGCTAGTGCACTTTTACTCGGAACGAGAGTGGCAATCAATCGAAAGTTCGTTTGGACAATCTGATAATAATTTATAAACTCTCCTTTGTAGAACTTAAAGTTGGTATTGACTTAAACACTATACATATATAGGATTTAAAAAAATATATATACAGCAATATTAGTTGTGGAGATAATAAAGTTAAGGCTTATACTCTTTCAGGTTGTCAGAAGCTGGTGTCTAGTTTACATTTCCCATATAAATCTAATATATATCTAGTTAAAAACTCCCCCTTTAATCTGGCCAATATCTAGTTACAAACTCCCCTTTAAGCTTTAATAAACTTAAGGCGGCACTCCGACACTCCCCCTAAAACTATGATTTAACCAAGTCTCGCTTGCACCTGCCTCTTAGCCAGTTGACACCCTAACACAGATACGAATACAAAGATATTGAGATACAGAGGTATATTTAAACCTGATATATGTGCAGTTGCTATTTGAGTTCGTAGACATCGAGAGGTCTGCCTGCAATTCGATGCCGCGGCACGGCAACTTCATAATCAGATGGCGCATTGTCTCAACTGGTTGCCGAGCGTGTGCCAAATCGCCTTGGATGATGCCCGCTGCTCGCCCAGTGACTCCGCCTGGCCGGGTTATGGCTTTGGTTATTGTATCTGCATCCGAATCTGTAACTGAGACGCAGATACATATATAGGCGAAGACGGAGACTGGGCGGCCTCATAGCCGGTTGGCTTTGGTTTTGCAAGCGGCATCCGTGAGATACGAAACACGTTTGCTGTGGTGCGTTCGAAATCAAGAGTGCCTTGGAAAAGCCAAGTGGTAAATGGAAAAACTGACCGGGCCAGAAGGAAATTGCTCTCTGCCAAAACGGGGGTCCAGGAAGCCAAAGCCATAACGAGCGCCACAAAATCCGAGACTGCAACTCAAGTCCGAGTGCCAATCGTTGTTGCATAAGCATAACTCCAGCGACGTCCCCTGGGATCCAGCATTTAGTTGGTGTCGAAAATTGAGGATTTAATTGCATGGAATTTGGCGGGGAAACTCCTATCACTTTACCATACATACATTTCCATTTAACTGCGGCTCTTCGAAAGTCGAAAAATAAGCCAACAATTGTTGCCACATGGCGGGCGTTTCTCTCGCTTCGTTTGGGATTAACCACTGTTCCATGTGTAATAATAACCAAAATATTAACAAATACGCTCTGCCAAGCATGAAATCACAAATTATTTCTCCCGCATCAACAGCAACAGCAGCAGAAACCACAAACAATTACGGGGGTACATCCTCCCTTGTGCTGGGCATAAAGTGAAAAGTGTACGAAAGCTTTTCCACAGCTTGCACGTACACGCAATTACAGTGTTCATTCAGCTTTTCCACTTTTCCCCCAAAAACCTCACTCATATGTACAATAAACACACCATCTCGGATCGAACACGAGAATTCATAAAGAGAAAACGAGTAAGAATCGAAAGGTGGTGGTGGAGAGATATAGATACCCTATATTAGAATGGGCTTAGGAAATGTTTAAAGGTTCTATTAAAAAGAGAAAGATATTTTTGTAATGATGGAGATGATGATAATGGAGAAAAGAGAACTAGCTGATTTATAGATTTGATAACAATAATTATGTTTCTTAGTCAAATTCGAAGATTTAAAAATTATTTTCCATTAAGAAAATAATATATAAACATCTACAATGTAATATATAAATATAGGTATTCGGCCCAATATACCCCACTTGCACCAGGAATGCATAAGACCTACAAAAATGATTATGTACATTGAAAATTTAAAATGGTCACTCACGCGCCAAACCAAAGGGGAATGGGAATGGGTTCGGGTTTGGAATAGAGTAATAACCGGGGGTTCCCCGGGGAGGTATTATCCGAATGTTTGTGTTCGCTGTTGGAGCCGAGACTGAAGCTAGAGGAGCGGCTGTGCCCAACTGCTTGCTTCCCGCTTTGAGCCATGTTTTGTTTGTGGCAGTCGTGCTGCAATTGTCGGTGCACCGCAGACCCGCTGCTGCCACAAACTTGAAAAAAATCTGGCTAGCAAAAGCAGTTTTCCGACCGCTTATTGGTCTCTGTTTTCTTTTGTTAGCCCTTCTCGGGTTCATTTGTTTTCTTTCTTCTCTCCACAAATAATGATTCGGTAGAATTTCTAAAGTAATTTCCAGTTGCCCCCAAGCCGGAATATATTTTCGGCTGCCCAAGTTAAATAAATACTTGTAGATATATTTCCTGTTATTAGCAGGGAAAGAGAAAATGCTGCGGGAATGACACAATCCACTTAGGGTTGGACCCCATAGTGTCTAACTAGTTGCTCTAGTTAAGACTCTGTTCAGGTAGTTCACAGGGGCCCGGGGAGCTGCACTGGAGTGGAAAAGTTGTGGGAACCAAATTAGCATTTTTCACACGCTTTTACATAAACCACATGAGACAGAGGTGGTGCCGGCGGTGGCTTTGGACTACTGAACGACTTCCACGAAGTGACAGCCTATGACGCTGTCTCGGATTACCCGTAATTAAAGCAGTGAGCGTGTCAAACGTCGGGACACACACTGATCTGGCCGACAGAGCAACAAACCGACAAGCCCACAAACCGTCGCCAACTAATTTGTTACACTTTTTCCGGCCAGCAAACATCCATCAGATTTCACGTATTTATAAATAGGGGAAAAGTAGTATTAATGTAAAAATGATTATAAATAGGTAAAACCATGTTTAAAATATTTTAATTACTTTATTTATTCTACAAAGTCTTTAAATACAGTTTTCCTTTTACCTTACAGGCACCGATCCGGAGGGCGGACGCCTTAAGTACAGCATCAGTGGACCCGTTTTTTCCGTTGACAGGGAAACGGGAGTGGTGCGCCTGCGCCAGGAGTTGGATCGCGAGACCCAGGACACTGTGGAGGTGATCATCAGCATCACCGACGAAGGCATCTACGGCACCGAACCCAACACTGTTTCCCAGCGAAGAGAGATTCCTGTCAGAGACTATAATGACAATCAGCCTACATTCCTGGGAAGACCCTACACTGCCAGTGTCAGCGAATCCCTACCTGTGGGAGCCGAGCTGAGTGTGGAGCCACCAATCGTGGTTGTTGATCGGGATGAGGGCATCAATGCCGAAGTGCAAATTAAATGCGTTGAGGTGGGTACTTTAAACAGAAGACTCAAGTCTTAAGATCTTGTAATCCTTATATAATACCAATATCTTCTAGGAGAATGACATCTGCGACATCTTCGAGGTGCGAGCTGTGAAAATCTCCGATGGCAACTACACCGCCCGAGTGGCTCTGAAGCAACCCCTGGATTTTGAGAGTCGTCCCTCATATATTATGACCATCTCGGCCTCAGACAGCGCCTTGGACAACCGCCTCTCCTCACTGGCCACCATTTCAATCAACGTGATCGATATTCAGGATCAGCCGCCTGTCTTCACCAATGCCCCATACTCTGCCACAGTGGCGGAGAACACACCCGCCGGTGTGAGCATTCTGACAGTCAAGGCCATGGACGGGGATGTGGGCATTCCAAGGGATATATTTCTGTCCCTGGAGGACGAACCCTTCGGGCACTTTGAACTGGTACCCTTCGGAGATCCTCGTGAGGGAACCGCCGTGTTGCAGACCACCTCGGAGCCTCTGGATCGTGAGAACGCTGAGATCCTGCAAAATGGCGGCGTTTACGTGTTCTCCATTAGGGCCACAGAGCTGATTGATGGTGCCATTCCAGCCGAGTACTCGCTCACTCGGGTGACCATCGTGGTGACCGATGTGGATGACCACCAGCCAACGTTTAGCGGTGATCACTTTAATGTTTCCATTACCGAGAACCTGGCCAATGGAATGCCCCTTCCAGGACTCTCGATCTTTGTGGATGATCGTGACATGGGCGACAACAGCCGCTATCAGCTGTCCTTGAGGGATGTGGCCAATGCCGCCGGTGTATTTGCGGTGTCTCCCACCGATGCTCAGGGCAGGACACCGGTTGTGGTGAAAGTGCTGAATGCCAGTCGCTTGGATTACGACGTTGCAGATCCCGCGCTTCGTAAGTTTGAGTTTGATCTAATAGCATCGGTCAAAGGAGTGGAGAAGGCCAAGTCCCGAGTGGAAATTCATCTACTGGATGCAAATGATAATGCCCCGGTGTTTGAACAAGGCACCTATCGCTTTACGGCAGCCGAGAATCTTCCCGTGGACGCCTTGATAGGTACCGTGAGAGCCAGTGATGCAGATTCCGGAGAATTCGGACACGTTCGATATGTGCTGAAGGGTTTCGGAGCGGATAACTTTTATGTGGACCCAGAAACTGGAGGTCTTTATCTGCTGAAGCCATTGGACTACGAAAAACAGAGCAGCTATAGCCTGACAGTGGTGGCCATTGATGGTGGTCAGCGGGAATCGAATGCCAATCTCTTCATTGGGGTCACCGACGTAAACGACAACCATCCTAGCTTTGAGAGCCGTGAATACAGTCGCACCATTCGCGAGGGAGCTGCCATTTTTGAACCGCAGTTCTTTGTCCGGGCCCACGATGCCGATGGTCCCACACAGGGAAATGGTAGGGTCAAGTACTCTATCGTGTCCGAAAACAGCATAGCTGGAAATGTATTCCGCATCGAGCCGGATACGGGTGAGATTGTAATCCAGAAAGCAGCTCGATCCATGGACACTGAACGTGGCGAATATGAACTGGTGGTCTCCGCCACAGATTTCGGTGAGTTAAAGTTAAATCTCTTTAAAAAATATGTATCTCTTATAATTGGGACTATCTTTAGGAATTCCGCCTTTATCGAACACCACTCGCGTCCTGGTTCGTGTGGGCATCTCCGGCAACCAGCGACCCATCTTCCGGGGACACTTCCAAAACATGGAAAACTTGCCAATAATTGGGCCTCCGAGCTACAGGGTTTCCATACCAGAGAATGCCGTTGCCGGATCGAATGTTACCTCGGTGTCTGCCCACGATCCGGATGGGTTGGACAGCCTGCTCCGCTACAGAATTGTGGGAGCCAATGACAACTTTGAGATTGATGAACAGTGAGTATTGGTTCTTATTGAAAGAGATCCTTACTTACATTATTGTTCTTCCCTTACAGCTCCGGTTTGATTACAGTGTCACCCCAAGCCCGCATCGACCGCGACTCGAATATGAACAGCTTTGAGATTATTGTTAATGCCGTAGATTCCGGCACTCCAATTCCAGAGACAGCAACTACCACGGTATATGTAAATGTGAAGGACATAAACGATGAGCGCCCCAAATTCGAGCAGGCCAGCTACGCTGCCTATGTCTCTGAGAGGACAGCTGTGGGAGAAAGCGTGCTTCGGGTTAGAGCCATCGATAAGGATCTCAACTCGAGATTAGAGTACGGATTGGTGGGTCCCGTGACAGCTACCACCAAGGCGGGAGTTAACATTGCCAACCGGAGCAACTACCGTCTACAGGAGGCCTTCCGCGTGGATAGTCAATCCGGAGAGATCTTCGTGAACGGAACCCTACGGCATGATGTGGCTGCCATCATCATCTTCACAGTGGGAGTGAGGGATCTAAATGCGGAAGTGGATCCGGAGGGGCAGGTGGATACCACAGAGGTGACCGTGTATGTCCAATCCTTCCAGGACACCAACCCTGTCTTCAAGAACCCCGGCTGGAGCAGCTCTCGACCCGTTATCGATGTAAAGATCAAGGAGGAAATGCCCATCGACAGCGCCTTGTTTATTCTCCAGGCCGAGGACCCTGTGACCCGACAGCCAATCACCTCCTTTGAGTTGGTGGAACCCAAGCAAGTGGAATACTTCCATGTGGCAGAGCGAACAGGAGAGGTAATCCTTAAAAAACGGCTAGACTACGAAGCTCTGGGAGAGAGCGGACCCGACTTTGAACTCCAGGTGCGGGCCAATAGCGCCGATCGCCAACGTAGTACCGTCAGCCGGGTGAACATCACCGTGGAGAACGTGAATGACAATAGTCCGCGCTTTGAGCAGAGTTCCTATAGAGCCACCATAATCGAGAACCGACCACATCCGGAGCGAGTGATCCGGGTGAGAGCGTTGGACAAGGACGCCGTCTTAAACGCACGTGACGAGCGTTTGGGATACCACAAGATTATCTACTCGCTGCAGGGCGAACATGCTATGCTCTTTGAGATCAATAACACCACAGGGGAGGTGATCGTGGCAAGCGGACAAATCATTGATCGGGAGCGCACCCCAAGGATTCAGCTCCAGATCAAGGCAGAGGACTCGCCGGGCAGGCCCACGGATGCCAAGCAGAGCGTCGTGGATCTGCAGATTGAAGTGTTGGATGTTAACGATAATGCGCCGGAGTTTACACAGAAGAAGTACAGTACGGTGATCCCGGAGAATGCCCAAATCGACTCGTTCGTCCTCCAGTTGGAGGCCCTTGATGCAGACGAGGGACTCGGAGGTGAAGTGCGATACGAGATGGTCAACGAGGGCGAGGCCAACGGACTCTTCAAAATCGATCCCAAGAGCGGTCTGATATCCACACGCCGCAATCTCACCGGCAAGGGTCGCTCCGAACCGTACGATCTGATTGTCCGTGCCCAGGACAATGGGAACCAGCTGCCCAAGCAGCCAACTCTGTCTACTGACACCGATGTTAAGATCTTTATTGGCGACGTTAGTGCCAACGACGGCGTGCCCTACTTTGTGGCTCCCCGCGTGGGCCAAATGGCGAATGTCACAGAGGTTAGAGTCCTTTTAATTGTGAATATATTCTCTTAAATAATCTAATCTTTGCCTTCTTAGAATGCTGTAATTGGAGCCCCAGTGTTCCAAGTAATTGCCAGCGATCCCGATGACGAAAATACTCCCTCCGGAACCATAACCTACCGCATTCTGCCGGACACTCCGGACGCTGAAGCCTTCACCATAGACACCCACTCGGGACTAATAACTACCAGGGAATCACTGGATCGTGAGACCAAAAATATGTACAAGATCTTGCTGGAAGTGAGTGACAATGGGCAGCCCAAGCAGTCGGTAACCAGAATTCTGCAAATAGCAGTTTTGGATGTGGACGATCACGAACCACGATTTGCAAGGGAAATTGTAAGTATAAAAGAGAATTTCCTTGATTCTAGCATAATATTTTAAAATATTTTTAAAAGGATGAAGGACCACGCACCATGTCTGTCAAAGAAGAGGAACCCGCTGGCACTGTGGTTGGCAACTTCACCGCCGTTGACGAAGATCTTGGCGAGAATGCGGCCATTGATTATGTGATCATCGAGGGAAATAACGAGCAGCTGTTCACCATCGAGCGGAACAATGACAGCCTGGCTATCCTCAAGACCCAGAAGCCTATCGATCGGGAGCAGGTTGAATCCTTCACCCTGACGGTTAAGTGCTTGAAACTGGGCGAACCTGGCTTCAAGTTCATTGGAGATCCCTATGATCGCCGGGATACCTCACATCTTCGTATCACTATCCGAGTCCTCGACATTGACGACAATCTGCCGCAGTTTGAGCAACCGGATCCCACGGTGGGCATAAGGATTAACGTGCCCATCGATACCGTGGTGACCACTCTGCGGGCCAGCGATGCAGATGCCGAGGCTCCGCCCATCGGACTCTCTATCGAGAATGTGACCTTTGTGCCGCAGTTCTACAAGCGAAGCCGCAGTTTGGCCGTGGGTAATCTTCAGAACCTCTTCACACTCAACAACCGAACCGGGGAGTTGCGAACTGGAGGCTCCTTCGCTGACTACGTGGACGGGTATTTCCTGATGCGGCTGATGGCCAACAACTCGGTGGAACCTAAACGCCAGGCTTACAGTAACCTCAAGGTGTTTGTGATCCGGGACAAGTCGCTGCTGAAATTTGTGTTCGCCCGTCCGCCCAACGAGATCCAGCACAACATCCGGCTCTTCCAGGAGCAGCTGCAGAAGAAACTGCGGCCCCTGGGTCTGGAGCTGCACGTCCTAGACACCCAGGTGTTCACCAGACCAGACATGAGCCTTGACTTCACTGCCACCAGCTCCTGCTTCCAGATGTTCAAGAACGGCGCAGCCCTGTCCTTCAATGAAATGCAGAAGCTGATGAACTCGCAGCAGCTGCGCCAAGAGCTCATCGACACGTACGCTGCCTACGGAGTGAGCGAAGTGGAGTCCTGCTCCGTCCGGAGAACCCACACGGCGGCCCTATTCGCCGGCATGCTGACCTCGGCGGGGGCATGGCTGGTCTTCCTGGCAGCCCTCATAGGCCTGGCTGCCTTGATATCCTTGTGCACTGCCTGCTGCCTGAAGAAGAAGTAAGTAGATCTTAGAGGATATTAAGGATGCAGGAAAGAGTACTATAATATCAAAATCTCTTTCAGGCTGAAGCGGCACAGCAAGCGGAGCCTTCAGGCGAGTCTGCGAACGCCCACGGAGCACACGCCCACCTCGTACAGCTACTCAATGCCCGCCGTGCTCTACTCGGAGCCCATCTATGGGCCATTGTAGCCGCAGCTCATCTTCTGTACGGGGCGGTCCAGGTTCAACCACTGACCACATAGACGTAAATGTAGACGTAGACTAAGAGTGCCCAAGACTCGGGCCCCCTTTGCACCAGCGGAGATCCTTAAGAGTCCCCAAACTCGATCGGATCTCCGCTCGGCCGCTGCGAACCGGGACCTTGCAGAGATTGGTAGTCCGTGGAATGCCAAATCAGTCCATATAAGCTTAAGCATACTATGCGCGTGATCTAGTATGTACGTGTAGAACCATTTAGAGTTAGCCTAGGTTAGTCTGTAAAAAAAACATAGCGATTATCCAATTGAAAAGCGTAGCCTAAGTCGAGTCAGTTCTCTGTGTCATCCGCGCCAAAGTGCAGGCTGAAGTCCTCTCGCTGACTCTGCCCTTTGGCAGGTCTGGAATGCATTTATTTTTACCTATATTTATCTTATCGTCTATTTGCCAAACACATGTCGAACAAGTGCAGAATAAATAATGCTTCAAACGTAGTCCAATTCCAGGTCCGCAACCCAATTCAAAATCCTATCCTATCCTCGGCCAGGAGTCAAAGTCAGGCCCCATGTGCGTGTCGCCCGAAAATGAGTGTTTCGTTTTCAAACAGAATGCATATGGTTTTGCCGTTAAGTAAATATATTTATATATATATATACCTACGACTAAGTAGTGTGTCCAATGTGAACATGTGTGCAAATAAATTCTATTAACTATGAACTACGTAAAAAATGTGAAAACAAAACGCGAGCACTTACTCACTGAAGTGATATGCAAATGAATAGTGAATTCCCTCTAATGTGCTAAAATCCAGGAAGGTACGGGCACCGAAAGTGGGTTTGATCGGTTAAACCTGATATTTATGGGATTTTTTCAGCCAGAAAATTGTTGGGATTTAGTAGGCGGCTGCATTGAAGCAGCGCCAATTATCTGCATTAAATCAAGAACTCTATAACTGCAAGGTTAACATATCTAAATAAATAAAAGTTGATACAGGATATTAGTCTAAAGAAATACTCTATTTTCATTAAAATAAATTAAAATCTATTTTTTTTAAATTTTGTATAATAATCAGTGAGACTTACCGCTTTGTTATCTACACAGTATCATCAATTTAAAGGCATCCTTGAAGAACAGATTATCTTGCATGCATCTTAAACTCAAGCAAAATAATTATCATAACTTTTATATTATTACTTCTTCTCAATTTCAGAATAAGGGGTTATCATATCTCATATATATAAAACCGCAAAAATAACTGCAACCATTATCCCTTTTGCCCATTTCAAGTCCTCTTAAGTACCAGCCGATCCTGACTCAAGTTGTTAACGAGCTCCGCTCCGGATTCGAAGTTCCAATTAAACTTGCCATGCTTAAAGTAATTGCAAATTCCCATTTTAAAATCGTTTCGAGATCTGCGTCACTATACAGGCAAGTGTAAATGTAACGTGAAAAGCAAATATCCTGGCACTGGCAGGCTGCAGGATGCAGGCAGCAGGAGGCAGGCGGGGGTTAGGAAAACCCATAAATAATAAATGTTGTTAAAACTAATGTGCGGCGCTCATTAGCCCCTGGCAACGAACGGCCAGGGAAACAGGGGATGATGCTGGTCCTGCCCCGGTTCCCCTGATCCTGGCCAAAATCAAAGGGTGCATGATGATTTCGGGGGTTGCTGGTGCTCTCGTCCTCGTACCCGTACTCGCAGAGCTCGACTTATTTTTATAACTTTTTAAAGCGAAACAACATCAACAACGCAAGACAGAAAATCAAGTGCGTTCGGGGGTCAACTGAACCTTTGAGCCTTTGGGGGTTGATCTTCTCCCGGAGATGGAGTGTAATTAAACTTGTTTCCCTCATGATTGCGCCGTGTTTAAGGCGAAATTCTGAAATTTACATAAAGACCGACTAACCTGGATTGCACTCGCCTTGCACATTCAGGCTTTGTCTCCGCTAAATCACCTTCCACTTGAACAGTGATTGATGGTCGGCAGCAGGGCCATCCTCATAAATCACACTCCAAAATCGAGTGACAAAGCGGCTTGATGGAAAAGCAGTCACGGCGCCAGCCATCGAGACCTCGTAAGTTTCAGTAATCGTCAATTAATACCAGCGGATAGAGGGTTATTTTTTGTGGGCGCCAAGAGCTTAACTTACAAAGACCCACAAGTGTGGAGCGTTATAGTTGAGATATACAACAAATATCATAGGTCTTTCAGTCAAAATCTAAATATATAATGCACACAATTCTTTCGAATTTTTTATTATTATTATTTAAAAAGGTACATTAAACATTTAATTCATTATTGGAACTATTTCAGCTCAATTCTGTATTATAAATCATTTGTAGATATTATCGCTCTAATAAAATGCAAGCAATTAAAGAAATAAAACCATTACTTATGATTTTATCTGCCTGATTGTTTAATGTTTCCTTGGCACAACTGAAAAAAGTATACACATATGAATTTATATAGAAAAGTATGTGGGAAACCCCTGTGCAGGTGTGCCACAAGTCAAGTTTTTTACCCCAGATTCAATTCAATGACAGCTAACGCTCTGTTTGTCGAGTGTCAAATAGTTAGCCAGATGTCCGGCTGTCAGAGCGACAAACAATGCCAACAATTAATGGCTGAGCCAGGACATTCCCTCGTCCTACTGCTCGGGTGCAACAAATAGTGAAAAAGCCTTGCGTGCATACCAAAAAGTAAAAAGCGGGACAGGAAAGTGAGGAAAGGAATCATAACGGTCGCTTGCTGAGGTGCCAGGACTATAAAAAAGGACCTAGGACACACCCCGAGTTGCGTAATTGCAGTTAACTTGCCGCGTACTTTTTTTGGGGTAATTTTTGCTATATTTTTTTGCAACGATTTTTTCGCAATTTTTCCCCGCATTTTTCCCGATTTTTCCATTTGTTTGCTGTTTGCGGAAACGCGCACAATGGTAGAATTACCACGGGATTTTCGCGCGAATTTCAGAACTAAGCCGGAAGTGGAATTACCAGAGCACGCCGGCTTAGGATCAGGCGAAAGGATTTCTCCTCTATGTATAGTAAAACCCCATTAGATCGATCGTGCCGTGTCCGTTGTTTACATTTAACAATAACTGGGCATGAAACCGGTGTTTTGCCGACATTTTAGTGCCAGCCTTCCGATTCAATTTATGCACAGCGAGCTGAAAAAAAGAAAATTAACAAATATCAACCATAAATTAGAAATGTCAGCTTCATTATGCACATGGCGCTGCATAGTAATTAGGCAGCTTCGCGCGTCCACGTAGCTCTCTCCAAACTACATGGAAATTTATGACCACTTGATGAACTGAATCCCCGAATCCGCGTCCTTGCCTGGGGTTGCAAGGCTCTTCCATTTCGTCCTGGTTCTCCTGGTCTCGCTGGCTGATCTCATTTGCATAACAATCAACTCATCGTTTGTGGTACAGCTACCATATCTGCCCTTGCTCCTTGCCACAGGACGAAGGGTGCAGCTGAGGCCGTCGAATGCCTTCCTCGAAATGTTAATGTTTTTCGTACACTGGCAGCGGGTGTGAAGTTGTAAAGTTTAATGTATTGTTTGTCTAACAGTTTATTCATTTGGAAAAGGAATATATTAGAAATGGGTATTTTTCAAATGTGACTGGAATAAAAAACGGCTCTTCTATGGGGTTGGAAGATAGCATTGTCCTTTAAATAACTGATTCTATAAATCTTTCTTCATAATCAGTCGTGTGTACTGCAACTTATTTTCTTCGCTGATAATAAATTGGTAATTAAATGTCAGGGGATTAAATAGTATTCACGATTTTGGGAACAGGTTGAGTAAGTATTAAAACATTAAGTTTATTTTAAGAAGCTACCAAAAGTTTACTTGCTTCTTTACACATTTTCTTAACTTTATATTTAATTTATTTAATAAATCGAATCTCAATCAATTTCGATTGAAAACCATTATGAAATTGTAATTATCACATATGTCCTATTACTAAAATCAGTACCATTTAAGGATCCATGAAATGTCCTTTAGCCGTGGGTCCACTGCATTCACTCAATTTTCCGCAACCTAAATCAAATTTTCTGGTTTTATCGTTCGTGGGCATGAACATGATCTCAATTCGATTTGCCTAATAGAAGACCAGCAAGGACCAGGATATAGTTATCTGATTCTTGATTTACATGTGTTAACATTTTCGTTTTTGTTTTCCCTCAGACGCGTACCACTTTCTGGCTCAACAATGTGACATAAATCTGCTTAAATTTGACTAAAACCGCTTTGATCGGATTAAAAATCAGAGCTCGCACAACATTTTACAGTTTCAAGCGAGCGAATATCGAGGGTTACATACACCCAGTGCATCCGAATGCGACAGATTGCTGGCCTTCTCCGGAATAAATAGGTCCGAGCATCGTACGGGTACTAAATGTAACAAAATACTCCAGCGGCTGTTTGTTTATCCAATGTTTTTCGGTTAGATGAGCACACAACTCGAAAGCGACAAAGGTAGGGCACGGGCTCTGCGTTTTTTCGAACAGTAACGAATACGACGGGGTCGCACACCCCGACAAAGACCAGGGGAACTTCACAGATTTCACAGATAAACCAATTCGAGCAGGGCAATGAATGGGCGAAAAGGTCGTCCAAGTTGCCGCCAAAAAGCGAACGTGTATCTGTGGCACCAGGACGAATCTCCGACGCGAATGTTTGATCAGGACCAAAAGGGGTAATAAAAAATATAGAAGCAAGGGTTCAAGTATTCGCACGTGCACCGGCAAAGGGTTACAACGACAAAAAAATCTGCACCGACTTCTTGCTAAAAAGGCGTAAAACAATCAATTCGGCAAATAAAATTCGATTTGCGAAATGGGAATACCAAATAAAAAGGCCAAGGACAAATTGGCGCTAGGTTGTCCGGAACGGTGTGATATATGATCTTAATATTTCATGCCTGCCGACACCACCATTCTGATTCTGTTTTTCACAAGCATATCGAATTTATTTGACCCAAAAACAAGCTGCGAATTAATATTAAAATAAGTATAGTTTCATTTTATAATTTGCTATATGTTCAATATATTTTAGTAATACAAAAATGGATTAATTAATTATTTATACTGCGAGCAAAAGAACGATTCGGAATAGCCATTCATACCACCTCGAATCTTGATGTTGATCGTATAATGAAAGGTTCTAGCTTTATTTAAAATACCCCTTATTTGAATTTAACAAGAAGAATTGAAAATTGTATTCCAGAAAACCTTTGCAATGTAAAATGAATGCATTTTTGTTTTAGTTTTAATTGGTTTCATATTCGTCTTCCAAAATTGATTTTCCCTTCTTGTTTTCTTAACAATTCTTTTTGTAAATAAACCTTTTGTTCAGCAATCTTATAAGTAATCCTTGGACATTATTTATGTTTTTATTATATCTTCTCCTTAAGAGATCCCCAAGTGGACACTTGTGTTCCTATCGATAGATAATCCCCAAATATTAACGAAAAATTGTTTCAGTTTGGGTATCTGGGACCAAAACCCTCCTCTACCAGGCGCAGCTCGCTTTGTGCAGTCTCATTGGACCGCACATCAATCGCTCTCCAAGGACCTGCACTTGCCGCATCTGAAGATGCCATTGTGTTTGCGCCTTTTAGCATGTCCATGGCAATTTGTTTCCATTTCGGTTTCCTTATCGCCTTATGGCCATCGCCAAATTGTTTTCCCTGCCACGCAGTGCATTAGCATCCCGGCGAATGGGAGTGGCAATGGTAAGGGAGCGGAGATGTCGTCATTGATCCGCCGATAGCCATCAAAACGCAGCCACCCTGTCCCGGAGCAGCCCGCTGCTAATGATGCCGGGGTCCGTACTAGGTTTCAGCCTAGTCCTCATCCTCATCCCTGCTAGAGTCCTGGAAATTCAATGCAGCTTAGCTGGCTCCCCGCTGCGTATTTGCGCCTTTGCCACACAACGGAATAAGAGAATAGCGAACCCATGCGGCCCAGAATAATGATTATTGTAAAGATAAATCCCAACACCTCCAACAAAGCTGCACAAATGACAAACGCCGGCTTAGCAGTTCTACCGAAATTCTATTCATAAACCCAAAATATATAGTAGTGGGATTTTGCAGTGACTCGAAAGAGGAAGTAACTCTAATCTAACTCTTTTTCAACTTTTTGTCTAAGTCGAGAATATTTCGTGATGCTTCCTTGTAAGCTCATTTTCTTTTCAACCCATGTATACTCTTTAAAACTCAAATTGAAACAATTCCACCATTACCATGTAAGAAGATTTCGTGTGAGTCTTAGATACCGAATTTCAGCATCTTCTGCACCTTTTCACCCTTGCCTCGTAACGGAAAATGTCAGTCAGTCAGTTAGGCATTTCGGAGGTATGTATAAAGCAGTTTCCCTCGACTCTTGCCGGTTCATTCAACTAAATAATTTGAGTGGCATTCATGCAGGTCCACTGGCCCACAGCTCGCAGCTAACGGCTCATGTTTCAGGATTGCCGGTCCTGGCTGACTGCTGCTGCCGCCTCGTTGCCGTTGGTACATTCGTTTTGTAATTGTGTGGCAGGTGACGGGCAATCTTCCATTGTTCGTACTCCGTGCTCCGTACTCCGTATTCCGGAGTTCAGTTTCTACTTGAACTCACCCCATGTCGAATCGTAAGGGCGCAAAATGCCCCCTACAATAAAAACAAGCTGCAGTGCACACACACACACACACACATACAGAACCATTCGCTTTATGTGCACTGCAATATACAATATTTATTTGAATTTAAGTCCTTTGTTTGGAATCTGAAATCCGCACACACAGAACCATAGAGATTCTCGCCATTGAGTCTCCAGGGTTGTTTGCTTTGGCTACTTTTTTCTTTTGACTTTACCCTCTTCCCATTCCGATTGATTTCAATTTTCTGCCTCGTTTTGATCGTCAACTTTATTTGCAAAAATAAATCTTTATGGCTTTACATCGAATTTCAATCTTATCACGATAAAGTTCTGGCCCTGACTAGCTCGCTTTCCTTGCATTGCAATAACTGATATAGAGAATCTGGCATTAACCTACTTAAGTGGTCCATCGATCGTACAATTAAATACAGCTAATACCTGGTACATGTCGGAGATGCTTAAGTCTAGGCTTACGTCTACGATGGCAAGGTACGTATCCGCTTAGGCTAAATGGACAACCGATTTGTACTAAATAGTCGTTAAGATGTGGAATATTGTGAGAAGAAGAATGCTGGTTCCTGACAAGCACTCTTAGTTCAGATATTCCATTGAGATCCACAAAAAAGAAACCAATTAAGTGATATTGAAAGAGACTTCTGAGACTGATTAAGATTCGAAAAGGATCCAAATCAATTTCAGAAGTCTCTTGTGGCTGGTTGTTTAAAAAGAAATTGATTTATCTATTGAAGATCCCTCATTAACATGGAACTCAACTGAGTGCAAAGATTAGCATTGACTTAGAATAAGATTTTCTATATCCAAAAGAATAGATAAGCTTTGCAGTCACTTGAGACCCTCACTTACTACCAATATCAACTGATTTCGCACAGCTCGAGGAAAGCAAAATAGGGAAACCCGGAGATGATATCTGCAAGTAAGTGTTGAATAACTCACATGATCATCTACTACAAATTCTCCTAAGTCAGTTTCCTGCCAGCTTGCGGTATCCTCGAACATATCACGCTGAAAAAGAACCCTAGATCGCAGCTCTGGCTCCCAAAACTGTGCTACACCTGCGGGGCAAACTGCTTGTAGCTGTGGGGATGTGGAATCGTATGGGCATGGTCGTGCCCAAGGGCTCCCTGATCTTCCGGGTACTCCTTCCACGGCGGCGTCTGTGTGTAGAAGCTGCTCTGCTGGTGAATCTCCGAGCTCGCCGACTGGATATTGGCAGCTGCCTCGAAGCTTCCCCGGAATATATCGTACTTCTCCTGCGAGAATTGCTGCGGAGGGCTGGAATCCTGCTTAGGTATGTGCTGGACAGACTCCGGCTGCTGGTGCTGCTGGTGATGGTGATAGAAGCGCATGCTGCCGGTAAAGTCGAAGCCTGGTGGATGCTGCGGGTAGTCCATTCCCTGCTGGTAAGCCCCGCCCCCCATTGGCGGCTGGTGTTCCGGAGGATGCGGATTCTGAACCAGCGGCGTAGCTCCCTGACCATAGGGGAACATCCTGCCGCAACCAAACATGGGAAAAGGTTGCGGATTCACGAAGAGGGCGTCGAACAGCTCCTTAGTGATCCGCTCGCCACTCAGGGTGAAGTTCTGCAGCTTCTCCAGGTCAAGGTTGATCGTGCCGCCGCTCTCGAGCACCTGCTCCAGCGCAAAGATGTAGTTGTGGGCGAAGCGCAGGATCTCGATCTTGGTCAGCTTCGTCTCCTCCGGCAGCGATGGCAGCGTCACCCTCAGCCGCTCCAGGGCATCGTTCAGCGTGTGCATCCGATTTCGCTCCCTATCATTGGCTTTCATCCGGCGGAAGCGCTTGATCCGCACAACCTGGGTGGGGCTGCGCGAACGCGTCACCCGGTTCTTGCCGACGGCATACTTGCGCTTCTGGCGCGGCGCATCCGGATCTTCGGGCGACTTCATCGGCGTGCTGGTCAGCGGGGGCTCGAAGCCTCCGTTCGTGGCGCGACTGTTCAGATGCTCCACCAGCGTCCTGCCGCTCCGAGTGCTATGGTTGCTGCTCGTATCCAGCAGGCCCACGAATCCGGCAGTCGCCGCCGGCGGTGAGTTGAGTGGCGCGCCATCCCAGGCTCCAGGATACGGCATCTGCGGCGCCAACGGATTGAGTGCTGCCTCATCGAAGTCCAAGCGCCGGCGGGAACTCATCTGGGCCTCCGTTTCGAAGCTCTTCTCGTAGCCACTGTCGAAGGAGGCATCATCATCGTCCTCGTCAAACTCGAAGGATTGCGATCCCACGCTGTAGGCATTGTAGCAGGCGGCCATGGTCTCTAGAGTGTGTGTTTGTGTGTATGTCCTGTGAGTCCTGAGAATCCTTGGAGACTCACTCTGCGCGCATTTCCGATTTCCGCTTTGAGAGTCTGACACAGTTGAGAGTTCGTTTCTTCGCGTGCCCGCACCAACTGAAAGCTGGCCAGGAGTGCGCACCGGTTTTATGTGCCAGGCCAGCCATTAAGCCCGCTGATTTGCCTCCGAACTCTGTACCGCCAGCAACCCTCGGCGCATTGTCGTCGGTCGTGGCGGCGCCATGCCGCACAGCACAGGGTATAAATCCCAACAGATATCGCCGTGATTGTCGCCTGGGGGTGGCTTTTACTCACACACACATACCCCTTGTACAACTCGCAGAGCTCTACCGGGGAGCTGGAGTTGGTATCGGAGGAGATTCGTTCTAGCAGACGGCGCTACCAGTCAAAATACGAGCATTATTAACGCTCTGGCGGTGAGCGACGTTCTCTAAGCCAATCGGAAGGATGTCTGAGGCCGAGGATCAGTGATGACGCCAAAGCGGAGCACCATCAAGGTCTGTATATATTCTATACCCTTCTATAAGCTATACTTATTTGTATAAATATTAAACGAAAGACTGCCGCAGCCACAAAATGTGGTTAATTAATTAAAATTTATGACTTTCATTCAGACAACAAATAGGAACGTTTGCTTTTCATCTTGATTTAAAATCAAATAGTTTTTTATATATTGATTAAGTTAATCTGTCAACTAGGTTTTTAAAATAAAACAAACTTTAAATGAGCAATAATATTGTAAATATATATTAAATAAGAAGGGATGCGAACTATCAGAAGAACGAATGATATGTAGTTCTTTAATACGTTGTAAGTTTTTGACTTAAATAATTATATTATAAATATGAAGATTAGGGTTTTTGTCAAAACTGATTTGAATGTACAGATTATTATTTATTTATAATTTATAAAGTTACGAAATTGTAATTATATTTTCATGATTTTAATGAGAAAAATATTTTCATTTTACATTCCTTAGTATATCAACAACGACAATTGAAATAAAATGAAAAATTTAAAAAGGATTAAACTTTATTTGTAAAATACATATTTATTAGTAGTTAGAAACTGTCTTTCATTATCCGATGTAGAGTATATAAGAAGAGGCTCTTGTACGAAAATAAATTGTTATTTTATTTATCGCAACATTTAATTTGCGTGGGCTTAAATCGATTGCAATTCAAACGATTCAATTTCTCGCAACTCTTTCGTTTTCGCCACTAAACCGCAATAATCGTTTAGGGCTTACGCCTGTCGCTAACCGGGTTAGTGGCACGTGGCCAGGACACCGCCACCGCTTCCGAAAAAGCAACATGTGTAGTCAGAAGGCCGTCACTCCTCCGATTCCTTTGCCTGATGAGAAACCGAGGCGTTGGCACGTGCCCGCGGTCTTAGCGGCTGCTCAAGTGGCCAAGTGTGCCGGGGCTTCTATCAGTATCAGTTCAGAAAGGAGGAGGAGCTATCAATGGAGATTCAGTTTCAAGTGGCCGACGGGTGCGGGTGACACGTGCGGAGTTGTTATGATAGCCGGCAATCGCCGCAAATTGCCAACACGCGGTGTTCCTCAATGGGGCTAATTGATTAATTGAGTAAATTATATGTCAGATTTATGGACGTTACCAAGCACAAGGCGTATGGCTTTTTATTAACTTGAGAAATCACACGCTACAAACAGAAAATAAGTATATGAAATAATCGAAATAATTAGAAACTAGTTTAGATCTTTGAGTTTGTCTTAACATCCAAATAGGGCCTAATGTATGCAGGGAACATATATAAATAATTAGCTCTTTAGTTACATCTTAATTCAAATTAGACCAATCAAGCAGATCCAAGTAATACAAAATGGAAAGTTTTACGGAACAAAAATTAATTCTTATGTTTAACAAGCTTATCTTTTAGTTACTAGCTTATTTATTATTACGGATTTTCAGCTGCCCACCAACCGCAGGAACCCTCCCTTATTGATATTTGTTCGAATATATTGCCACCAAAATTCACACCATCTCGGCCACGTGTCGAAGGCGGCGTCCTCCATGTTCAAGAGCTCCTCCAACGCGTGTACCTAATTTCGTTTTTTACAAAAACATAATGCATATCAATTAGACAGTTAATTGAAGAGCGGATGCGTTTGCGTTTCCCATCGGAGAGTTCTTTTTTTTTGATAGCCTGCGGGTCTCGACGTCATCGTCACAGTCCAAATACAAACCGCTATACAATGCCGAAACCGGGGACTTGAACAAACAGATGTACATGTATATAATTTCATCAGAATCAGAGTCCGGCTAACGCAAATACTCGTACCGGCACATAGCCCCAGGCTAATTGCATTCTAACAAGCAAGACAAACTCGATTTTCCGAACCGCTGTTCCTGCTTTTTTCCCTCTCTCGCTCTCGATGATTCTCCACCAAATTTCGCTCTGCTCAGTCTCATTGTGCAACCCCTCGTCTACATTCGTTCCAAGCACGTAGAACTGCGCCTCCGGCTGGGAATCCAGCTTAAACCTACTTGTTAGAAGGGAACAATCTCCTCCTCGTACAGCGGGTCCATCTCCAGCGCCGAAAACTGGTGCATAGGCTGACCGGCTGCTGGCACGGATGAAATGGAGGAAAGGGAGTCCGAGGACAGCTCGATCACATCCGGCGAATAGCGCGGAGCCCTTATAGTTTGCGTCTTACACCTCGGCCCGGCACCTCTTCCTCGTCCGCGTCCGCGCCTTCTCACCACTACCACAGGTGGAGGCACTTCCTCCAGATCCGTTGATGAGTCAGATGTTATGTGTTTAAAAAGCGGCTTGATGTCAACGGCGCGAGGATAATGCGATGGCGATGCCGAATCGGACGTGATGTGGAAAAATTTCTTGTAGCGTCTCCTGCCCGGCTTCTGGGCATCCGAGCTGTGGGTGGACGCAGTGCTGTCCTCGGTGTGGGAGCAGCTGGGACTCTGGCGCCTGCTTGTGGTTCTGCGCTGCTTGCCCATCGTTTGCTCTCGGCAGAAGTCCACCAGATTGGTTCGCTTAACCCGCACCCGGACTCCGCGCAGCTTTTCGATATCCTGGACCGTCAGCATCTTGAGGCACACGCGAGGCAATCTGTTGAGACACTCGTTGATAAGGCGCTCCCTTACTATCTTCTCTTCGGCAGTTTCGTCAGGGGGCACCAAGGTGTACAACGCACTTCCGATTGGCTCCAGTTTTAAACGCTTGAACGACGGCTCCTGTGTAATGTCGCCGCACTTTGTTTCTTCCGCCGTGTCTGTTTCAGTTCCGGTTTCCGAGGTCGTTTTGGTCGGTTCAGCGCTTCGTTTACCAGCTTGCTGAGGTGCATCGATTAGCTGCGGTTCCTTTTCTAGATGTTTTGTGTCCTGGGGCTCCTGGGTTGGTTGCTCATTTCCTAGTGGCTCCTCCTGTATTTGTGTGCTTGCGATAGGATTCTGGTTTAACTGTGCACTTTTCATGAGCCCTTCTTCTATATATTTGGGCTCCTCTGCCTCCTTGGTTAGCTGTGTGATTTTCGAGGAATTGTCGGTTAGCTGCCTTACAGCCAACGCCTCTGCGGTTAGAAGACTCTCTTCGTTTACCTGTAACTTTATCGTTGGCTGACTAGCTTCAATGAGCTCCTCTTTTAGCTGTCTCGTGTCTAAAGGCGCCTCTACTGACTGACTGGTTTCTGAGGGGTGGTCAATTTGTGGTGCGGTCTTGGGGCTTGGCTCCTCAGACAGCAGTGTACTAGATCCAAGCAGCTGCTGTGTCAACCCGACCTCCTTCGCTTCTGCGGGCTGCAACACTTTTGTCTCCAAAGTAAGTTTAGGAACAGGCGGGAGGGGCGGCGAAAGCGTTAGCTCTTTACTTACACCGGACACCAAATCGTTGCTTGGCTCCTCCTCGTTAAAATAGTGCGTGGTCATCGATGTGGCTTCGGAGTCTATGGTTTCGGTTTCAGAAGCAGTGCGCGTAGTCCTTCTGGATGATTGTGGCTCCACCAGGGGCAACTTTGCTGTCACGGTCTCCTTCAAAGACTTCCAGCTTTTAAACTTGCTGAGCACTGAGCTGCACTCCATCAGACTGTTGCCCTCGCTGGCCACGTTCTGGAGCTCCTCCTTCTCAAAGCTCCAGATGTCGGCAAACGCCTTGAAGCCGCCGGTTTCATTGCTGAATTTTGTGCGCGCCTCTAGCAAATCGCCGATTGTACGCTTTTCGTCAGCGATGACAGCATTCTCCTCTGGGGACGAGGGCATCGATGGCTTGGTATCGGTCTCAGGCTTGGCCTCCATTGCCGTGTGCTGTGGGTAACCCTTGAACTCATCGGATAATGCCGGAGAACTGGAACGTCGACCACAGCGCGCACTGCGATCCATGTCGGACAACATGGCATTCGCCACCATGGCCGCAGCCCTGATCCGTTTCCGTCGGCCATTGCCCGTGTAGTAAGCTTCCGAATCGCTCGATTCTGCCTCCTCCTCTTCATCTTCCGAGTACACTGAGATGAGATAAGAAAGAAAACATTATAAGCCAGAGTTATACAAATTCAAAGCGTTGTATAAAATAAACACTTAAAAAATAATAACATTAAAACAGAGTTCTGTTCTTACCTTCATCCCAGAACTTGCGTGGTGGACGACGCTTTTTCTGCTGCTTGGCCTTCACGTCCTCATCCTCCTCCTTAGCTATGGAAGATGGCTCTGGTTCCTCCTCAGGCTCCGGTAGATTCGCCGCGTTCTCGTAGCCCTCCTCGATAGTGCCGTAGTCCAACTGCGGTCTGTCCCGGTACTTGGCATAGTCGATCTTTAGATACTCTAAGCGGTCGCTAGCCTCAGCCATGTTGAGGGCAACGAACTTGTTCTTGAGGTCGCGACTTTTGAGTAGAGCATGGCACCGCTCATGCAAGGTGAACCAATCCAGCGCCCAGGAGTAGCGCTTGTTGCGCGGTTGGAATACCACCGTCAGCAGGTCCTTGATCATGCTGGGGGGCAGGCGCAGCGCCTGCAGGGCCTTGTAGATGGGATCGTAATCGCCCACTGGGGCATTGTGGTTAGTCACGGTCACGATCTCGTCCACGTCAATTGTGGAGCTAAGCAGTTCGTATTTGATGGTCTGCGATGCCGTCGCTGCCGGGGACCAATGGTCCTCCTCTTGGCGCTTCTTCTTAATGCGCGAACACCGACGGACCTCGTTGTAGTTGGCAGATATAGGATTGAGGTAGAAAGCCGTTAGCCAGAACTCGGCCTCCATGAATGCGTGGTCTGAAAAGACCTTCGCCAGGTCGGCATAGTTCTGCGACATTTTTTGCTCCAGATTAAGCATAAATTCGGTGGTCAGGCCAGGATGATAGCGCCAGATTTCAATGGCGTTTAACTGCTGGCCAATGATCTTCAGCAGGATGGCAATCTTGGCAAACTTCCAACCGCTAAACTCCTGTTAAAGAGCATCTATTTAAGGGTCTGATGCAATAATTGATTGATTGTTGTCTTACCCGCTCCGCCAACAGTTTGTACACAAAATCTAGAATTTCCTCGTTGTTCGGCACACTCTGAAATACCGGATCTATCTGCCTGTCCTGCTCCTCGTCTGACTCGGGCGGCAGGGGTTTCTCGTCGTCATCACAGTTCTTATAGTTGCCAATGTTGCTAGCTCGGTTGCCCTTGCAGATCTGTTGTTGGTAGTTGATGTTCAGCTTCACCACATGCGGCTGGAAGTGGCTGTTTCGCTGGTTCTCTAGCTTCTTCAGTTCTTCCAGAAGGAAGCGCTCGCTGCCCTCCCGTTCCACCACGTATCGGTGCATGAGCTCCTTGAACTGCGACGAATGTTCCAGGAAGTCGTGCTCGTTGAGGGTCATCAGTTCCACTAGCTGGTTGCCAAGAACATAGCTGGAGTAGGCCTCCAGCATGACGGCGAAAGAGGTGACCAGATTTAGCTTAAACTTTTTGAAGCTGATCTGCTCAAAGAACCCGCTCTTGCCCATCCGCAGACGCACACAGACCTGGGCAATGAGGCGGGCTGGCGTAAAGTGGGTGTCTTCGGAGATGGGAGCATGCTCCTGCATACTCTGGGCATAGAACCGGATGTTGTACATCTGAGGAGAAGGTCTATGTGATTACTGTCTGATTTGATATGACGTAAAGCGGAGGTTCCTTACCAAATTGTCAATGGCATAACCACGATTTTCGTCCATCGCGAACACAGTCAATAGGTAGAGGTGACCCACCAGGGCGATCGATGTTTTATCGCCCTCTAAGTCCTCTAAAGGAAAGAGTTCATTGGCTTTCAACCAAGCGGCCAGCATGCGAAGGGACAGCTGTTTGACAGCCTCAAAATTGCCAGCATTAAAGAGCTGCATGAGTCGCAACAATATAAGATTAAGGCCATCCTCCTTCAGGAAAGTGATATCTAAAAAGGGTGTACCGGCATTTTGTTAAATTCTAGAAACCGAGATATTCGCGATGGAGTATTACCTTCAATTGTAGCCACTGGCACTGTATGCTCGATACCATGATGCTTGTTCTGGCGCAGGCTGGCGAACAGCCTCTGCAGGTACGGTACACTCCAGGGACTCGTCTGGAACCTGAGCGCGTATGCCCAGTTAATATTGGCCAGCTCCTCGATGCGGTAAAAGGCCGGCACCGCCTTGGTGAGGCTGTAAAGTAACATGTGCTTGAGGCCCTCGGAGCATGTTATCCACTCCTGACTGAACCACATCTGCAGTGAGTGGTGAGTGAGCACACGGACGAGGTGACACAATGCCGGCTCCTTTAAGGCCACCACATCCCGGCTAGGTACGCTGCAAACCTCCCAGCCGTAAATTAGCTGGGCCAGTCGATCGTTGCCCATTAGCTCGAAAACATCCATGTCGCAGTGTGAGTTGCAGAACACAAACATTTGCTGCCAGTTCAATGTTCTTATTAGTAAAAGTTATATTTCTAAATGAATCGAAATGCTTACCGCTGAGAACTCATCATAATCCAGTTGCTCGGCGTAGGACAGGAACTTTTCCACGTCGTGCACATCCTGCGGAAAAATTATCTCCATCCTTCAGCCTTAATTCATGTCAACTGCGCCGGAAAAATACAAATTTAAAGCGGTATTAAATTTGTTTATAAAAATGTTATATTTTGTTTCGAACGCAGTATGACCGAAGTATGGCAAAATAAAAAACTTAAAATATCTATCGATCCTATCGATATTTTTCAGAAAGGCACACGTTTGTAATTGTACAATTTCACCCTTCAGACATACTAGAATAAAACAAAAATTCTATGTTTAACTTTCTGCATTATATTTATATTATTTTATTATTTTTCATTTTAGTAAAAAATTAGAAATTACATATTTTATAAGTGACAAGCCTAAGGCGCTCATGCTAATTTGAACACATGCTATAGCTGGTAGCTCCTGTCAGGCAGTAAATTACCGCCGAATTTGATTCTGATTTCAAGAAATTGTATTCTATGTTTGTTTTGACAAAAACATGTATACTTTTAATTTCCAATCTTGTTATAAATAATACAAAATTATTAAATTTTAAAATTTATATTAAAGACAATTTTTTATTCAGAGAACTTAATACTAGAAAATGTTTTATAGATTGAAATTTCTTGTAGGAGAAGTAAACAGCAGAAGGTGTGAGATATTTACCCCGCTCGCCAATAAAAAACTGTAGTAAAAAAGAGGCCCTTCGTTATTGGCTTTTACTGAATTGCTTGTAAAAAATATATCTATGTACATATAGTTTTGGCTTAATTTCACTATAGCCTTGACCCCTCGGAAATTGTGTGTTCCCATGGCTTCCTCGCAGCCTGCCCTATTGTTGGCCAGATGGCATATGCAAAGTGCAAACAAATTATTATTAGCTGCCAACAGCGCCAGCTACATCATCTTCACAATGGAATCACCAAGGGATTCCCATTCAACTGCTAGGCGAGCAGAGTCATCGCCAGGGCGGGGCTTCACTGCACTCTGGCATTGTGCCACAGTTGCAGTTCCGCCTTAAAGACAAACCCACTTAATTCACTTTGTCACCATGCAAATGAAACATTAGTGGTGACGTACTGGAATGGATCGCTCAAAGGTCGCAATCGGATGCCTGCAATTAGGCCAGACACGTAAACGGAAATGATTTACAATCGTTGCTGCTCCCGTTGATGAGCAGTCTGCACTCCACTCCCCCAAAAATGTACAGAACAAAAAATCCCAGTAAGTACGTAAATATATTAATTGAATAAAAAAAGACAAACATATAATAAGCAATGTTTAAGAGCCTGACTTTGAAATATGCCTGACAGTTTATTTATTTTGCACAAATTATTCTGCAAGTATTTTAATTATAAACAACATTAAATCCTTGCCTTGTCTCAATTCTCCTTTATTATATTGAATTTGAAGTAAACTGATTTAATTAAGATATTTGTCTTTTTAGAAAATTTTTCAAATCTTAAGAAACCATTTTTTATTGATCAGAAATAAATCTATTTTTTCCCACTAATAATTTCCACAATCGATCAAACTTCTTGCTGTGTTGCTGAGGAACGGACACATGTAGCTGTCAGTGGGGCTGAGAGTCCGCAGCGATTTATCAGTAGCCAAATCAATTAGTAACTACGTAGCTTATCGCCGACCGATGGGGCTGGGGCCTGGGACTAGAGGTCGGGTTAGGGGGTCGGGTGGCATGTCCCATTCATTATACGCACCACCGGCAGAGGAGTGTCATAAATATTCCCATCATCGTTTATTCGGCGAGCAGCCATCAAATGGCCGCAAATGAAAACCTGTTGATGTCCCCCCGAGCACACTTGGATACATATAGAGAGTCGTACAGGGGCGACGGAATGCCTTGCGACGCTTGTAATTGAAGAAGCTCCTTTGGCTCGTTTTTTAGCAACAAAACGGGAGGCAGCCGCCCGATATCGCCATAAATATTCATGAAGCACTAAAAGGGTTCCCGTCCGGATGCTTAGGTCCTGTAGCGACACACGCCCACAATGAAAGGTGCTGGAAGTGTTTCGTATTTGGCGTGCCTGGTCAATTGCCAATGGCGGTGACAAAGAAATGCAATATGCAATATGCTCCTCTGCGTCCCATTTGCTCCATTGTAAGCGCCTGAGTGTGGAGTGGAGTGTTTAATTTTAAATGCCCCAAGGAGGGCGCATGTACCTGAATTTGAATGAGTCCAAGGCTTCGGCTCCCCGGGGGCCTGGGATCTGGACTGGGCAAGGGTAAGGTGAATAAACAATCGCGCATGTGTGCCATACAAACGCCCCGCTAAGTAGGCAACACAACTCACTTTTCGGCCACTTCCGTTGCACAAACGGCGACAAGCGGATATCCCCCTGCCGAAGTGCCTGCGTGCGCAGTCCGGCACACACACGAGGCTCCGTTCGTGCGGACTCATAGATTCCCGACTCGCTTCCGTTTTGATTTATAAGCGACCGTCGCACCGGGCTCCGAATCATTAGCAGTTGATCAACAGGTTAGTCCACAACCAGAACACAGGACAGAAAACACAGAGCCGAGAACTCGGAACGCCGAGCCACTATCCCGGAAGTCAGATTCACACGGGCCGATTGAGTGCGCTAATTGAATTGCAGTTGGGCCTGCAAATCCACTTACGAGCTCCATTTTCTTCTGTGAAAAAAATTACACAAAACTCAAAATTCAATTGTGAACCCTTCGGCAAACCGCAAAAACAGTTTACGAAAAATAACCAAAAAATATACGCAGGTGAGTGGATTCGATATATTCGTAATTCGTTTGATGGCCACAGGAAATGCGTTTCGAAAAAGCACTTGTGGTTATTAAAATCATTTTGGTAACATGTTTTAAATTTAAATACTAAAATTGAATGTTGTTTTAGTTAGAAATAAGTATTTAATGAAAAGATAGCATGGAATTCGAGAAATAGATCGATTTTCTTTTTTTAAAAGAGTGAAAAATATAATAAATAAAACTACAATTTAAACAGCAGTTTTTTACACACCAATTGATATTTGAAAATATTATTTTGAAAAGTTATATAATTATAAGAAAATTTGTAGGTGGAACAATAGAATATAATTAAACTTGTTCCTTAATTTAAAATATTTATATTTAAACAAACGTATATCCTTTGTATAATTTATTTAGCTAGGGTATCCAGGCAACCTTCGGTTAAAATCTGTTCAATCATTTTAGCTTGCTCAGTGAATTAATTAGTAAATGTTTCCACACTTCATTTTGTGAATTTCAATGCCATTAAATATTTGTGCCTTCCAGAAACACCTTGAATTATGCATTAAAAATCAATGACCTAATTTTGCCCCAATAATGAGTTTTGAATTTTCAAAAATAGCCCGTTATTGCGCAAATCTATTGACGAAACATGGCTTAATTATGCAGAACTCCTTTGCCAAACAATGGCCCAAAATTGAAGTGGAAAGCGGCTAGCAGACCCACGGCTAACCAGCTTGAGACGAGCAGTATATATTTACTCTTTTGCGGATATTTTGTTTACTTACGAATTTTCGTTAATGTCCATGTCCCCGAGAAGATTTCCATTCACACTCAGTAGCAACAGGCTGGCGCTGGCGGGCTCCTTGGGTCCCTCTGCGTGGGTGCTGCTTGCCGGCAGGAAACCTATTTAAACAAAGTACTTATGGACAAATGCCATCCTTTGGCAAATATTTGGGCTGGCTATTTATCGAGACATACAAAGAATATACGATCTGCTGAGCAGGCAAATTCGATTTCCAGCGGTCTGTTTAATTTTGGCGCGAAAATTTCGTTTCAATTTGTTTGCCCAGCAAACTTGAAGTGGTCGCCACCATACGGCCGTAAAGGCATGCCTCATTCCTCCCCTGACAGCACATGAATTATTCCCCGGCCGACTGACTACCGACTGGCAAATTAATAATGGAGCAGAGTAAGTCAACTACCAAATTCCGAAGACTGTCATCCGCAAGGGCCATAAATATTTTCAGTTAATTTCAATTACAACTTGACCCGGCACGTTTGCGTGGTCTTTGTTTCTGCACAGTGGATGGATTTGCCATTAATAAAAATTTAAGGGATATTTCTGAGTGACATGTTGTTTGCAATATAACTATTTATTTGGTGAGCTTAAAGTTAAAAAACTATTCCTTGCAGTAGTTGGCTTACTTGGTTTCAATTTCTACAAATAGTAATCGTACCTTTCGTGAAATTATCTTCCCAAAATATTTACCTTTTGACCACTGTTCAGGAGGGGGCCCATAAAATTCGATGCGTGCTCTATCATCGCGGTGGCTATATATTATAATTTGGCGCCAAGCCGCTAAAACTTTCATCTGGGCGGCGTCAATCAATCAACGACAAGCGCACAAATTAAGTCCAAGTTAAGTCGGAAAAAAGCGGCCGAGTCCTCACTCGGACAATCTGTCAGGAGACGCGGTTGGGAGCTAGGGGACATATCCGTATCCGCATTCAACTGGCAACGGGTTGGCCGAGACTCCTCAATTAGTTGGACAGGCAGCAACATCATTTAATCTGGAAACCCGCAGATAAGATATCGTTGCCCTGCCTCCAGTTGCTCCGGTTCTGGTGGGCTTTGCATACTATATTCCCGGCTACTGACTTTCCATGGGCTCCATTATGGCGCCCAGCAGCTGCTGCTGGCTCGCAATGACCAGAAAATCTGACGGGGATTACAGCAAATGTGATAATTCAAATGAGAGCTCGAGGCAGATAAAGGATTGCATTTGCTCACTTGGCAAATTGGGATTGTCCTAATCACTTTAATTGCCTCGGAATTCTATTAAGGTTGAGGTGTTCAAAATAGGTTTGTTAATATTTTTATTATAAATATCAATAAGTTTCATTTTAAAGTATAATTAAAGCGCTCTGAAAAAGTAAGAGTTCGGGTTAAAATGATTACTAATAGGTTTCTCGTTTTCAATTAATGAATTAATTTTAGATTTTCATTAAAATAAATTTTTTTACAAAATATAAACTTATATAAGAAGAAATATGTATAAAACCGTTTCAAATTACCCAATTTACCTTTGAGTTTATTTATTTTTAGCTGAGTTATCAATTTCAGAGTTCTGAGAACCCAACTCAAAAGGCAGTAATTAATTAGTTATTTAATTAACAAACCCGCTCTTAGTTCAGTCAAATTTAAGTTTGAAAGAAGCGAGAATACAATAGCAGTATTGGTAATATAAAATGAATACATTTGATCTTTCACAAACAAATATTTGTAACAGAATCTCACAAAATACATATTTCCCGGATAATGCGCTGGCATTTCCGCTTCCTTGGAGTGTCCTTTAAGCCGGATGCGGCGTGTGTATGCAAATCAATATGGTGAAGCTGCTCATGCGAGCGCATAGGAAAAACTACTTTGGCAGGAAGAGCAAACAAAGCGGAGCAGATCCCGCTCCCGTTTCAGCATTTTCCAGTGGCTTTTGTCTAGTTTGTCGAGTGGCCGCAAGTGCAATCGCAAGGCACTTAAGCCATTCCGTAAACATGCCCATAATCTTGATATTAGCGTTTCGAAGCATCATTATCGACTGGGATTCCGGCTCGAATGGCCCATTCCCAGCTACCGTTTCCGCCATGGGTCCAATTATTCCGCTGCGTTGGCTTTTGACCCCCTCCAATCGAAGGCTTTTTACTCCACTCCCGTCGTTGTTTGCCGCTGGGCCTACGTACATTCCAAGGACCTCCGGCTCCTGGAATGCACCCCCCTCTGGTTGCTACCTTGGAGGGACATTAATAGGCCATAAATTGTAACTGTTATGCGCTGCTGCCTTTTAACACAGCGGTCGACAGACGGCATGACCTCAGTCATCCTGCGGAGCCGGGGAATCACCTCATTCCCCTGTCCACGCCCACTCAGCGGCCCCGCCGCCTTCAATTAGAGAGGTTATTTAGCTAAATCGTTACGCTTGTTCCCCCTGTTATCCATGTTCCTGTGGCTACTGTTTCTGCTCCTGCTCCGAGCGTGTTGTCTAATGCCGAGGCGCGGGCGGAAATGATTGCCGCAGGACTCCCCAGCTCTTCAGAGAAACCCCCAGGGAGCAGTCGAGTGGAGCCGCCGACAGCGGCTTAATTGAGCATTCCTCGAGGCCTGCGGTTGGGATTCGGCCCCAGGATCAGTCTCCCAGCAGGCATTTATTCATTCATATTTACACCTTTGCACTGAACGCAATTTTATTAGATGAAAAAACGACGATTTGACTTGGCCAAATGTCACTGCCAGGCCAGAGTTCCATCTGCTCACATATTTATAGTGAATTATATAATTTGATTTATAGCTTTTTAATTATTCTAGTTGACAAACAGATTTTAAATGTTCATTAAACTGTTCATTAAACTAAATGTTCATTAACTCTGAACTGTGAAAGATATATTTAATTTTTAATTATTTCGATGAGTTTAGTTTGCCTTTAGTAAAGAATAGAGGCCATCGCTATATTATTAAATTCCAAATTTTGTGGAAAGAATAACTCAAACAAATATGTTTCCAGACTTTTTAAATTGAATTACCAAAATTATCCCTTTCGAGAAAATATTCATATAATGTGCTTTCCTTTCTCTGATTAGTTTTGAATATTTTCAAGATATTACATATTTGTACTTCTATTTAAACAGAATTTACTAGGATCCAATACTATGAATTTATTAATAGAGATTTAATTATGCCAGCTTTAATAAACTGTTTTACTTTGGCAGAGTATTATAATGTTAGTACGAAACTTGAAACGCAGTTAGAAGTCCTTTTCGACCCTATCATGTTATAAAAGTTTTTTCCCTATCTGAAAAGAAATTATGCATTTTTGGTTTATGAAAGATAATCAAATGGCAACGTAAGGGTTTACAAACTTTTGCTTCTCAAAGTTTATATATTAGTTTCTGTAAAATCTATATAGGATTCGACCTTTCTTAAAATGATCCACTTTTAACATAACCATTTTCGCAGAGATGGCTTACACGAAGACACGGAGAACCTATGGCTTTCTGCTGGTGCTACTCATCCTGGGCAGCGCCTGCGGTAGCCTGGTGGCCAGCGGCAGTGCCACCAGCTCCGCCACGGCCAACGAGCCAGGAGGCGGAGGCCTCTCCGAACAGGTAGTGGTGGACCAGCTCAGCGAGAGCGACCTGTACGGCAACAATGGGAACAAGCGCGCCTGGCAGTCACTCCAGAGTTCGTGGGGCAAGCGAGCCTCCGCAGGGGACGCGGGAGATCCGGACATCTACATGACCGGGCACTTTGTGCCGTTGGTCATCACCGACGGAACCAACACCATTGATTGGGACACATTCGAGCGGCTGGCCAGTGGACAGGCGCCGCAGCAGCAGCTCCAGCAGTCACCGCAGTCGGGCGAGGAACTCGAAGAGCTCGCCGGCGAGCCGGACGTGGACAAGCGGGCCTGGAAGAGCATGAACGTGGCCTGGGGCAAGCGGCGACAGGCGCAGGGCTGGAACAAGTTCAGAGGGGCCTGGGGCAAGCGCGAGCCAACCTGGAACAACCTGAAGGGCATGTGGGGCAAGCGCGACCAGTGGCAGAAGCTCCACGGTGGATGGGGCAAACGTTCCGCCCAGCCTCTCAACTAATCCCCCACGAAATTGCCCCCAAACTTAGCCAGACTAACTAATCCAACTGTATCTAACCGTATATAGCATGTGTGTTTCCTCCACGGAGGGGTTCCGTTCTCAGTGTCCATCTCGCGGAAGGCTTCCCGGGATGGGGCCTATCCCCGTCGCCCGGAAGTCCTCCGAAAGTCAATTCCGAAAATGTATGAAAGCGCTCGCCAGTTGCCGGATACTGATGACCCGCGATTCAGATGTCGAAGTCTCGATCAGCCAGTATTATATGCATTATATCAGTATGTCTAGTAAACTATCCACCTAGCACCTAGTCTCCAAGTATACAAGAGGATCTTTCGGAAGAATACCGCTTTAATTTAGAAACGTTAACTAAGTTAATGAATTGTGCATATACATTTATATTTAAATATACATCCATGCATACCAAATGGCAAAACTATCGATATAAAATGCAAGTACGTTAAAGAAAATCTTAAACACTTTGAGTTTAATTGGGTTCACATTTGTTTCAAGTAGCATTATTTTCAAAAATAAATGTTTGCAGTTTAGGAGCAAAGTCGGCGCCTAAATAATTGCTAAGCAAAATATGAAATTTAGCCGGTTGAAAAACATAAGCTCATTGTAAAACTATTTCAAAATGAAAATAACCAAGGCCAATAGGAGGAACATTGTATTTTGTGCATTAGCTATTTTGATTCTGGCGGTGTGCTTCATACTGATTGCCCATTTCTCAGGCTTTCAGCATGAGCCCAAGGAGTTCAGAACTATGCTAAAGACATTGCTATTTGTGGTGATCCTAGATTTGCTCATATGGGAGCCGATTAGGTTCATTGTGCTTGCCATCGACCACGCCACCTGGCCGTCAATGGACATGTCTTACGAGTCGGACGTGGGAAACAAGCCCACTCTCTTCGCCTACCTGAAGACTCGGCTGAAGAGTCGGCGATCCGAGGTCCTAATCACCGACGAACACCGGAACGAGGCCCTAAACCAGAAGTACAAGCGCATTTCCACCGATCTGATACTCTACGGATCATTCTTTTTGACGCTGCTGCTGATTATCCTGTCTTCCCAGGACCAAAGCCTTTACTACGCAACGAACATGATGAACAGACTATTTAGGCTGGATACCCCGACCACAATGGGCCTGTCGGGAATAAATTTCCAGTACGAGGTAGGCAACCTTGCGTTTTAAATGACAGCACCATGGCCTAAACACCATTCCACAGATTTACACGTTCTTCTCGCTCACCTTGGTTGAAGCCTTTAATGTGAACAATAGCGACTACGGCTATAATGGTTGGTATGCCATGGAGCAGTGGAAGATGATGGGTGCGATACGGTTGCGCCAGTTGCGCACCCCGTCCAAAAATGTAGGAACGGACAAGCTGAAATGGGACAACAAGACGTATGCGCCCGAGTGGAAGCTGCCATACAAGCGCTTACACTACAGAGATAGGTTCTGGCGGGTCTTTGACCCCTTCACTCCGATGGATGTGGAGCCCAGCTTTATAAATGGCCTGTTACTCAACTTTGACCACCTCGGCGATTTAATGCTCTACCCGGAGCTCGGCGGCTATATGGCCCTGATGATGAGGACACAGGTAAGAGTGCGGTAGGTTTAGAAGACAAATCTATTCATACTCCCATAGGTGAGCAATCGGATGCAGGTTAAGTACCTACACGCCTACAAATGGCTGGACAGGAAAACCGTGGCCCTCTTTATGGATTTCTCAATGTACAACGCGGACGCCAACGCGTTCACGATTCTGACGCTACGGGTTGAGAACAGCCCGTTCGGAACTCAGCTGACTAATGTGCAAGTGGACTGCATCAGGATACTAAGCGGTGGTGACCATCTCACTTCGTATCAGACGATTTTGTTGGCCATATATTTTATTCTCGTGCTGCAGTTCATACGCGTTCTGGGGAAGAACCTATGGTACGATCCAGCGTCCATAAAGCAGTTATGGAACTTGGTGGACTTGTGCATTTTCCTGCTGAACGTGTTTTTGCTTATTTTGTATTGTGTGCGCGAGCTTTTGACAAATGGCATTCTAGAGACGGTCCAGACGTCTACCATGGAGCAATATCTGGGTGTCCAGCGTCCGTTGCAGCTGCATCGTTTAATAGACATCACCTTGGGCTTACTTATCACCATCACCACACTGCGACTTTGGAAGGTGCTGCAGTTCGCCTCTGTCTTCCAGCACTTCTCTCAGACAGTGTTCTCCGCCTGGAAAGCGACGATCAGTCTCGGAGTGGCTATCATAGTTATCCTCATGGGCCTTGGGATTGCTTTGGCCGTGCCCAACGGTAACAACGCACTGGTATGTCGTCATGTCGTTCATGCGATCATCACCTGTCTTTGGTAAGTATGGGCAGAGGAAAAAACAAACAGTTCCTTATTTATATTCCGATTCCACAGGTACTCAACGGGTTACAGCGAAGGCATAAACCCCAATGATTTCTTCCACGGTGGCGTTATTTTTGGGGTTCTGATTTTCCTGACGCTAGTCTTTCTTTTGGGCATCATCCTTTTAAATGTGTTTGCCTCAGTCATCTACGACTACTTAATAAACACCGGGAAGATTCTAAAGGAGAAGGGAAAGACCGAGAAGATCAGCTTCTGGCAGTTCCTGCAGGTGGAGTATGGGGAGCTCGTACGCCGCTACTTGTTCTGCTTTTTCAAGCCCAAGAAATACTACCGCCACAAACGCACGGTTGCCGAGAACGTAGCCATGGAGCTGGACCGTCTGGAGTATAATGAGCTGCTAAGGTCACGCGGCCGGTACTATAAGCCAAAACGTCGACTCACTGATGAGGAGCAGCAAGCGGATTACATGAGGCGCGTGCATCGTGTTATTAGCCTTAATGCTGTGCTAGAGGTTCAGCTGGATCTTTTGGAGCGCTATCTGTTCGGTGACGAGTATGGAAATATTTCGACACCACCGGGGTCTGACGCGGATACCGACATAACTAAGTGGGGAAAGCCAAATCTAAGGAAATAAAAGCATACTGGACGTCTCTAGATTTTTAGTGCAGTAGCAAGAACACAACTCTAATAAAGTCGTAATAAAATATAAGCTGCCTGGGAACAGAACCATCTTATACATAGATACATAAATATGTACAGTGACTGGCTGAACTTTCTTTTAGTCAACCTTTCGACTTAACCTCTCCATCGTTCCCCTTCGTTACCCAGAAGCCGCTGAAACAAGCGGCGATAAATGATTTAATTAAGCCGGGCTGGGGGCTGGTAACTGGTGGCTCCTGCCTTTCTGCAGGGGCGTGAATAACTCCACTAATTTCGGGCCGCTCACCTGCCGTGGCGGGTCTCTTGGCCGCAGTATTTCAATAATCCCGTAGAGGGACAAATTGGCAACTACACGCCCGCTGCTCCCGCTGATGCGCTGATGAAACGCTTGACGAAAGAGTTTGGAAAGAACTCCACGTCGCAGCCAGAGTTACCAGCTGTGGAGCCCACTCGAGCCGAGCTCCCAAGCTGGCGGCACTAATCGCTCGCGGGGCACATTGCACGGCGACGGACGTCTCAATGCCAGCAACCAAGCGGCGACGACAATTGTCTGCCTGCAATTTGTCGCCAGCGCCTTTAATGCCACCCACTCCAGGTGACGACATGGTCCCTGGCAGGTGGCTTCCAGCAGGCGGCCCCCCACTCTATGGGTATACCTGTATAAAATCCGTCGCTCTGCAGGCGGCGCACTCAGTGGAAATGTTCGCGATCAAGGGAAAACTACTCCCGGGCTGCGCCCTTTATCTCGGTCTTTTCGTTACTTTCGCTACCGCGCAGGCGCAGAATGCCAGCGAGGATTCCGGGTCCGCCTCTTGGAAGCCACTCCAGCCGCAGAAGCGACAGGCTGTGGTGAAGCTAGACACCCTAGGCTCTGCTGCAGCCAAAAGCTACGATCCTCCGCCAGAGTTCTATCGCGGCCCGGGCTCATCTACCAAGTCTACCTCCAAGCTGGACAGCCAAGCGGCTGGTTTTATATCCAAGCCGATTGGTTCACTGCCTCCAGTCGGTGGCATCCATTCTCAGATCGACAGCGTCAACGACAATCTCAGCGAGGCATACGACAAGTGGCGTCTAGGCGGCGGAAATCTTCAGGATCGGATCAGTGTGGGTGGGTTTGGAGTTAATTTTTTTTAAAGAACACTGGATCATTTTAAACATGAAACTATTCTTAACATCCAGGTCACTATGGAGGTAGTGGCAGTGGGGGCAAGAGCTACGCCTATGACAGTCATCCGTATCCCTACGACTACGGGCCCAGCCATGCCAATGGATACGAACCAGGACCTGTCCAGGGACACGCTGGATACTCCTCGAGTGGAGAGGCGGGAGTTCCATACCACGTGTACAGACCTCGACCAGAGCACGGTCACTTTCCGGGTGGACCCGTAGACTACGGCTACAGCCCCTATCTGGTGGACTCGCATGAGATCGTCGCCCACAAAGGATCGCCGGAGCTCTCACCGAAAGCCTTGCTGGCCAAGAGTTTCCTCATCCCGTTGGCGAGTGCCACCGTACTGGGCATAGCTGCCGCCCTGGTCAGCAATCCCCTCCTTCTGCAGCTGGCTCCAGTGCCTGGTATCGGTGTCGGAGTGGGAGTCGGTCCTCCCGTCGTAGGCAAGCGAAGACGGAGAAGGAGGGCTGAGCAGAAGGTTCAGAGACAAGGGAAACTCTAGAAAAATATCCGAGGAGTTCACTCCAATGACAGTTGGTTCCTTTCTTAGCCTTTGTAAATCAGGAAAACTAATATATTAATCAATAAAGTTGCGAATATATTTTATTTTTAAATTAAATTTAAATAATTAAAATTTCGCTTTTCCGAGCAAAAACATTAACTGGTACTAATAGAAAAGTACAAAAAACAAATTTACTGCCTTTTTACGCATTCGAATTTTGAAATAGGGAATAGTGCGGTAGCCAGGTTTTCCGTTTATAGTATTGAAACCCGTAGCGTTGCCAAACGGGGCAAGATAAAAATGTAAATTTTTAACGTTTCTAGCAGCGGTTGGAGCTACTAAATATGAGTTCGTAACCATGTGGTCATGCAGGAGTATACATATTTCGGGGGGGAAAAAATAACACAGGGAAACCCCAGTATAAAACTTCAATTTTAGCAGAGCTCTGAACCGCGGACTTAGTTACCAAAAGGGTGTGACCAGCCACATGTTTTGTTATCAAACGTGTAAAATTGTTCAGCACACGTGTAAAATGTAAAATCTAAATCTAAACACTGGGATGTAACATTTCACGGTCACACTTGCAAAATCAAGCGCCAATTTTCAGCATTTTCTTCGGATTTACACATTTTTAGTGATATCTTTTGCTAGACGGCCATGAATTTCTCCAGGAGCAATTGGTAAGTATCTTTAAAATACGGTGATTCAGATAATTAACCCTTAACTGCCCCCCAGCTCGCCGTTGAGCAAAAATCCCGTGGTGCAGCGGAGCCTCGACCTTCGATTTCGAAGCGCCCAGGCACGCTATTACCTCAAATGGTGCTCAATCAACGTGATGATCCTGTCCCTGCTCCTCTTGGACATTTGGCAGGCATGCCGCTCCGTCTACCGAACGTACTTCTTTATGGCTGAGTGCACAGTAACCGCCGTGGTGGGACTAAGTGCGTTGGCCTGCTTCGGCAAGTATTTGTGGTTATGGTGCGGCGGCGACCAAGTGATGGGAACGGACATCCAAAAGCGGCTCCTGGATGGTCGTGATGGTAAGAGGATGGCATGAGCATAAATGCGGCCGTTGCTCATCTTACCCTATGTTTTTCCGTCGTAGACAATTCAGTAAGGACTGTCTACTCCCGACCAGCGATGAAGGCGCCCAGTTATGAGCCGGACACAGATGAAGAGGATGACATACCCATCATCAACTGGCACTCCTCCTTCGATGACTCCTGCTGGGGCACGCAGTCGGTGCGACGTAGCCCCAGTCCCGCCAGGACGCCAGTGACGAACCAGAATGCATCCTATAATTCATCGATGGTGCAAAATAGCTCGCTAAACGCTAGCAATCTGAGCAGCGAGTCCACCTACATGTCCCCTACGCCGAGGTGCGTCGCGAGGACTTTATTACCGATCCCCGCAAACTGCCTGCGATGATGAAACAGGCGGAGCGCGAGCGCAGCATGGTGGACAACGCTGAGGCGCCCAGTGTCCAGAGCATGGGCTCTGCCAACTCCTTCTGGAACTACTGCAACAACGCGGCCTACATGCTGAAAACCACAATCTACCAGTTGTCGCCAGCGCCGGCGGTTTCTACGGAGAACGCTCCCACTTCAATCGAGGAGTTCGGCGGGTTCCAGTTCAAAGATAGCAACTCGGAGGTCATCAAGCGCATCTCCACTGACAAGTTGTCGCAGTACGTGGCAAACCTGAGATTTGTAAGCGGTCCATAGAAGATTATACTGACTTATACTAATATGCATGCTTCCCTAGTGGATGTCTACCACCATACTCCAGCGATTGGTCAAAGAGATTAACTATGTGGACGATGTGTTCCGTCAGCGTGGACTCATCGACCTCAAGATCGGAGCCGTGAGCCTGGAGAGGCTGCGCAAGACCGCCGAGAACCAGCAGTTCGTGCAAACCTGCGCCCCTATGCTGCCTATGCTGCTGCCGTTCCTGGACACCTTCAGTAACCAGGAGTACGTAGTGCAACGTATCAAGGAGCTGGCGCAAGGCTCCTGCATAGCCGACTTCCGGTGGAACTCTGGCAACGTGCACAACGGCCAGGAGTGGGGCGAGCACCTGCCCACCGATGCTGCCGTAAGTTTGAATCCTATAATTGATAAACAGAGTGACTGTCATTATTGTGTTCTATTCCTTAGATCCTCTTCCATTTATTCTGCGTTTACCTGGACAGCCAGCTGATGCCATTGCCGCAGGGCGGCGGACGACCCTTCCACTCCCGTTACGTGCTAATCCGCGACGAGAAGCGCTCCACTAAGGATATTGTGAGCGCGGTCCACAACAAAGCCCATTGCGCCATCCTGTCCACCAGTAACCAGTTAAACCCCAAGTTCAACTTTATCAGCGAAAAGGAGCTGCACAACTGCGTCTACGACCGGAACAACCTTTTCTATGTGATCATCCAGTTCCTCATATACATGCGCCAGCACCAGGAGTCGGCCCTGGAGGGCGTCAATCTGGGCAAGAGCGGCATCAACATTATGTGCGTCGTTGAAGACTGAGACCAGGAAACATAAGACACTCGTTATTTTTAATCATCACTTTTTGACTCGGCTATCCAGTAACCAGGCCTGCGTAGTTCTCATCATCATTCGTCACTATTAAATTATGCATTTGCAATTATTAAGTTAATATCCTGGCTGTAAACAAGAGGAGCTGTGTTGTGGTTTCGCGGTCATCGTATGTCATGAAGCCTGCGGTAATTGCGGTCTGGTCTGGACAATTAACTTGTGTGGAAGTCGGGCGGTAAGACAGGTGCACAGGTGGCCGCTTTAATTGCCTTCTCATGATTTTCACTATCGCCCGACTGGTTGGTCAATGGCCCTGGCTGCAACTCGCACATGCTGCCGTCGCATGTGCACCTAGCCGCCTTACACTTCCGAAAGTGACAAAATTAATGGTTTCCGCCGACGCTGTCGACAGTTTGTCGAGTAAGAGACATTGAGAAAACGCTCCAAAGAAGCCGTCAGAAGCCCTCGAGGAAGTGCCACGAGCTGGTGCTGGAGTGGCATCGGCTCTCGACCAGCCGCATTACCATTTCTCTTGGCCATGCTCATTTCTGGGCTCTGGCTTGACGTTGAATCGGTTGGCTGGTTATTTTAATGCGCCCCCACCACCGACTGGCTGGCACCTCGGGTGAGTAATGTGCCCGGGTTGTCAACTTTACACTTTTATCCCTCGCATTATATTTGCTTTACCTACACAGCCGCTCACTCACTCACAAACAGCAACCAGACCACCCACTCAGGCTGCCTGGTGAGTGTGTGTGTGGTGTGATATGTTTTCCTGATACTTTTTCTCAAGTTGTAAATTGGCTTAAAAATAATTTGTCAAAGCATTTCAGCTGGCGGAGATGCGATGCCTAAAATGGGAATTGGAGTTGGAACTTGGCACTTGGAGCCGAAAGCCTTGTCTTGAGCCATTTTCTTGTCACAATATTTGGACCCTCGGCTGATGGAGTGAAATTCCTTTAAAGAAACGCATGTGCGCGTCTTCATATCCAATTAGAAAAGTTTTCCTTCGACTGCTCCGTAATTGTGTTGATTAGTGCGGCTCGCTGGGTTGGGATTCTCCTTGGGTGTGACTGGATGGCAGGGTGGATGGTTTCTGGGTTGGGTGCTCCTCCAGCTAATACCCCCGTTGCTGACAAAAGACGCCTTCCCGGGTTGGATGGATAGATGGATGGAGGGATTGTTTGTCCCCAGCTGCCTGACGGCACTTTAAAAAGAAATGCGCATTAAATTCGATTGGCAATCGACGTACACTCTCGCTCAATGGGCTTTTTCTTTACGGCTTACACAAATTTTCATCTAATGTCGCTTTGAAGCAGCTTAACTATTCTTGAGATGACGAGAGGCGTTTCTAGGATGTGAAAGGAGGTGGATCACTTCACATCCTTTCACGTCCTAGAGGAAGCGGCTGAAGGAGCAGTGTGTAACTGATGAAAGCGAAAGAAGCTGTGAATGAGTGTGAACTATTTGAACTTAAATTAAATATGTGTATTGGTTACAGCCCAGAATCCATTTGATACGATTAGCATTATATTAGTTATTCGAATTACTATTTTTCAAATGAATATTGACTTAATTTAAATGAATATATTGATTGGTAAAAAAATCTCTGCATATAGAGAAAAGATATACATTTTTGAAATACTTAAAACCATTAACTACGAACCACATCTATATATAAATATATAATCAAGAACTTTTATTTATAATAATAAACATAGTACATATAAATATGTACATATATTATTGTTAAGTCGTTAAGTTTGTGCTATTTCTACCTTCATGGCTAAGGTGTATGGATTTTTTTCGTACCAAAACTATGAAAATCGTTTGGAAAATGGAAATGAGTTGCCTTTAATGAAAATCATTTTAATGGCGTTGAGCTCGATAAAACCCGATCAAACTGCACGCGGGCAAACTATTAAAATGAATTTATTATTCCACCTCCACCGCAGCCGGCGGCCAGTCACTTAGCCACCAAACCGGGCTCCGTTGGCCTGGTCAGCCAAATATTGACACACAATAAGCTGGTCGGGAGTGGGAGCTTTTACTTTCCGGCTTTCCTTTTTGGCTCTGCTTATTTATTTATTTTGCCATCTACTCCGTCGGGGCCGAGGCCAGAACCAGGAGCAGAAGCAGGGCCAGGACCACGACCATGGCCAGGGACATTAATGAAAAAAATATTTTTGCCCATTATGCGCCAATATGGTCAGCCATATTTCGGTTTATTTAATTTTGCGCAAATAAAACGGAAGTGGCGTTTTTATTTTCCTCCGCGTCCAGTGGCATTCTCAGATCACCCCGCCCCCTTTGATGGCATAGTCGTGCGCTACATAAAATCCTGATGCTGATGCCTTGCGACATTGTTCAAGTGCCAGGATACGAAGGATGCGAGGATGTTGAACAAATACGGGAGTTTTTTTAGCGCATATTTTAAACAAGCAATTTGTGTAGTTCCCGTTTAAAGACTCCTTCAGCTGGACGCGCCAGTTGCGAGCTTTCCCAAGCGCCCCTAAAAATGGAAATGGCTGCTATTTCCTTTGAGGCGGCGACTCCTGATTTCGGGACTCGCCTTGTTACTCCTTTCATTTCGTTAATGTCCATTCTTACACAGCAAGAAAAGATTAAATTATACGGTGATCAAGTGCAGGTCTCCATGGGTACTATTAATATGCTGATTAATTCTTTTAAATCTCATAAATAATATAAGCAAAATATATTATTAATAATGTAGAAAATAAACTAAAGAAACATTTGTCTTCTTGAGAGGTAGAACAGGACTCTTGAAAGTTGGCTAGACAGTAAATTAATTTCCAAGCACTCTCCATTACTACAGGTTAATTAATATTTTGACAGAAAGGATAAACAGCAAACATAGTTAATTGGGGTAACTGCAAAATAGCCTTACAAAATATATAATATAAAATATAAAATATTCAATATAAATCTTTTGCTCTGTGGAAGTGCAGTTTTGAAGCTTAAAGCCTCGCAGACACACGCAACCGAATGGGCAATTGAAATATTAATTAGCAGTGTGAGCTGGGAATGGCTGCAGTGTTTGCTTGACTGACGATTGCTGCAGTGCAACCACTCAGTCCTGCTCCCACCTGCTCGGCAGTTGCCTCTGCCTCCGATCCTCCACTGCTGATAACTTACGCAACTAATCTGCGCTATGCTCTCCGGCATGTGTGCTCCTGCGTGTGTATGCCCAGGGATGCGGGGGCATTTGCATTTAATCGGATTTGGCCAGATTTCAGGTTGTTCTGCCGATTCCAGAAAAACGAAGGAGCAGACCAAAGTCCATTTGTTGTGTAATTTCCGTATGGGCGATGAGTATTCCTGGCTGGCCGACGGATGAGTGGACCACAAGCAGAGCTAGTGAGCAAGTGGCATCATGACAAATTAACATGGCCCAGCCGGCTCCACTCCGGACTAGACTCGATTGCTGCCGCCCATCGTCCCTTGCCGGCTACTACATTGTCTAGGACCTCCGTTTGGGGAGAAGCTGCCTCCAGGGCGGTTGCCATGGATCGCAAACAGAGAGAAAAATCACACAGAGATACTTAATTTACCTTGGGAATTACTCTCCATCTGCTACGAGCTTACTGCCGAAATAATTAACGTTGCAACATCCCAAACTTACTTGAATCTAAAAGAGCAGAGAGAGATATCAGGAGAGACACCAGCATTTTGAGAGATAATTTAATAGGTTTAGGGAAGTTCTGTCAAGGGAATTATTTTAAATTAATATAGTAAACTCGTTTATATTTATACATTTACCACAGGATAATATCTCTTTTCAACATTTTTCCAAGACTTACAACTTTAGAGGGAGTCCAACATTCGTAGGCAAAGGCTCAACATTGCGCGTAGGTAACGAACCGGAAATGTCCTTAGCATTTCCGCTTTATATCAAATATAAAAAATGACTGCTTTTAGACGTATTTGACAAAAGTTGTCTGTCACCCACACTCACTGCTGTTTGTGGCCGTGGACCTCATGGATACACATGCTCCACCACGCATATAGAGACATATAATTGCATAAATCAAACTCAAGCATGCAACATGAGAAATCGCATTAATTTATCTGCTCACAGCTCGTGCAGCCGCCGCCTATGTGGGGCACTACTGGCACGCCCCCAGATGCTGCCGGATGCTCCTGGCACGCCCCTGCACGCCCACACACGCTCCGGAAAGGCGCTGGGTAACATATCCGCTTATGTCAATTTTTTTGCTTCCACTCGGAGCGGGGCAGCATCATCAACGCTCCTCTGCCACTGTGCTGCTCGACTCCTTGCTCCTTTGCTCCCTTGAGCCTCGCCCTTGCTCTTCGTGTCCCCGGCACTTCAGCCAGTTGTCACTGTCAGTTTTGGCTTCCAGTGTTTTGTCACAGCTCCTGGCCTGGGATGTCCCGTCCCGCTCCTGACTCGAGTCCTGATCTCCCCCATCTAACTGTGCTGTCGCCTGGCTTGTTTGTTTAAATGCTACATTTACTTTATGGATTGTTGCTATATTTTTTCTTCAACTCGTAACCCGAAAACGGGAATGGCGTATAAATTTCACGTCAATTTTTATACAGTGAGTGAGGCGGGAGGCTGGGGACTAGGACCTCAGCTGGGTGAGCCCTTGACTGATTGTGGCCCGTCAGAACTTGCTCGCCTTTAATAACTTGGCCACACAAAGCCGCCCCCGGAAACACACCGCACCCACTAAGACCTATGTGCGCAGTATATATCCGCTAATAACCTGGCTTTTTGTCCTTCTCCCTTTTTCCCACTTTAAGTGTCCTGTTCACGCTACATAGTTTAAAATTCTTTATAATTGGATTCCCAGCTTCCAAAGCCCACTCACTCCGCACATTTTTTATGGCCGGCCTTGGCCAAGGCAAGGAGTAGCCGGCTGCATGTCAAAAGGATTTTACAGTTGACGCGTGCAAACCAAAGCTCCCATTCCCGGACCTTTTTTGCTCGGCACCGGACAAGGATAAGGCCGTAGTCCGTAGTCCGTAGTCTGTGGCCCCGTCCACCGACGCCCGCACACATATGGTTGGCATGGAGTGAGTGTGTGTGGGGCCAGGGATGTGATGATATGTTCCATTTCACACGGCGGCGGCAATCCTTTCGACCGCACACAGACACACTCGCCCCGGCCACAGGAGCCGAGATTTATGCTTTCTTGTAAACAAAATAACGGACATGCTTGAGGCTTTTCGGCAGGACGTCCAAGGTGGAAACGGAAGAGCGGCGTCAGCCAGCCTAGGGCCATCCGGCTGACAACGGGATTAGGCGCATGTAAACCTGCGTGTTCGATTTGCAGCTTCCTTGGCCCCGTCCACAGTTCAATCGGATCATCGAGGATATGGATGTGGATGTGACCCATAAGTGTTTGGGTGCGGGCATGTGCGTTTCCATAGGCACTTTAATTATTCAGAGCCTTTTGTGAGGAGTTCGGGAATCTGCCTGGAGAGATGTTCATCCTCTTATTCCCTTTTTTTCCCCGGCCTTCGGCCCATATACATATTTCAAGTGACTCCATTTATGTATCTTTAATGGCGGCAGATCATGCCCTAAATCGGAAATCAGGGCGTATACTTGATATGAATATAAAAGGCTTAAGGGGCGAGACTCGTAAAGCAGTGCAAACAAATCCCTTAAAGATCTTTGCATATGAGGAATTTCTTTAAAAATATTAGATAAAATAAGTTTATGAAAATTAATGTCTGAGGCTACATAGCAAGCAAGTTTAGTTTTCTCAAAATTCTTAAATAAATGACTTTTAAAGATGACTTGTCTATTCTGTGAAAAACTCTGTCTTAGCCAAGAACTCAAAGTTTTTCTTTAGCTAACTAAAAGTATAAAATGTTATTCCATAAACTGATAACAATGTCTTTTGAGAGACAGTTTTAAGCAGATATTTTCTGCTGGCTTGGGTGGTTTTAATTTTATGAAATCCGAAATTGAGAACATTTTCATAAAATTAAATGATATCAACCCCAGTATTTCATGGAATTTTGAGAAAGAAAATACCGACATTTTGACCATCAGCTCTTTTGGCCGGCTACCAAATTATGTCTAGACAATGCCCAGCCCCCGTTCCACCCACTCCCCGATGCATCAGCATATTTTGTATTACCTTCCTTTCTTGCTCTTTACATTTCCCCCTGATGCTGGGGCGACACACGCTCCGGTGTCCACTGTGCCTTAGGCCTGCTGCCATATGAAAATAAACCAATTTGCATATACTTTACATTGTGCGAGGGCGTTGCAAATTTTCGGGGAAAATATCTGGTCACTCATACGCCGCGTGCGCCACAGGTGGGAGCGAAAGCGAAAATAAAACAAGGAGCAGCGGAAAGAAAATTGCCCGGCGGATATTACACACAGCGGGGCAACATTGCAGACTACACTCTGATAGATTTACATTTATTTTAGAAGATTTCAAGTAATTTATATTTTATAAATATTTAAGAAAATTATTTAAAATTAAACAGCATATGTTTAATTTATAAATGCCACTTTCTAGTTTTAGTTTGCTCCGTTAGCTGTAAGAAATCTTGAATTTCAATTTGTAAACAACTTCTTTAGGCTCTTGTAGGCAAAGTTTTCGGCGATTATTTTTCTAGTGTGGTTACGACACAAATGGGCAAACCATTTGGACTGGATGGCCGTTTCGGTCTCAGTTTCGGCTTCGGTTTCATGTCTGAGTTGGCTAATTGAGAAAATCCGCCAAAACGGCCCACTTTCGGCCGCTGCTGGTGCTCGTAATTATAAATCAATTGCTCGGGGTCGCGGGTTGTAGGGTCGCAGGGTCCCCGGCCCGCAGGTTCGGTGTTTGGTTATGCCTTTCCGGCGGAAAGTTGCGTGACATTTGACCAATCTCCCTGGGCGACACTTCCCAGACTCTGGGTGCAGTTCGGCCCGGATTCGTGCCTTTTCGCAGGTCTCTCTCTGTTTGCGGGCATCCGTCCGTCGTTTGCTTTCAATCTGTGTCTGGCTGTTTTCAATTTCTTTTGGAATTTGTTTTCACGGCAAAAATAAAAGGAAAAAAAAAATAACCCGGTAGAGTCAGCAGAATTCCATAACCCATGCCACGAACATCTGCAGACACAGATACGGATTTATATGTACCCGTAGCCCTACGTATAATGTTTTTTGTGTGTTTATATTTGATGCGTTTGCCGCTGGCAGGGATTCCGTTTGCTCCGTGGGTTCGGCTGACTTCTTGTAAATATTTTCATACCCGTATGTACTTGGACGCCTTCTGATTTATACACAGAGGCACAGATCTGTGTCCCGCCCAGCAGAGTTGTCAAAGGTTTATTTTTTTCTTTAATAGATAATATTTTATAGCATATTTCACCGGTTGAAATTATTAATAACATTATAAACTACATTATTTTTTTTTTTTAAACATGAAAATATATTGGTTGATAAAAACAGAATGCAATCTTTATAAAATTAAGATCATCAGCATGTATCAAAAATATTACCCTCCAAAAAGTAACATAAATTTATTCTTTATTTTGGCCACTTCCGACTGGCAGCACTGACGCCTGCGGCGGCTGTGGGAAATGGCCCCGTAAACGTTTAATAAAATATGATTTCAATTGATTCGAAGCTCACATTTAAACCGAGTCGTGCTCCAGATATCTACGTCCCGCCGGCAATCAATAAAGTAAAAACAAAATGCCCCAAAGAGAGACTCGTCCGCATTCCCGCCCTCATCCACAGCCTCATCCACAGGAGCGTCGACATCGACATCCACATCCTTCGGCTTGTCTGTCTGTCCCCGGAGGCATTCGTTCGCCTTGACTTGGCCCTCGGTTATCCGCTTAGATCACTCAACTAAAAAACTCAATTTGCATATTAATATTATTTGGGTTTTTTCCTGTTGTTTGGCCTTTGCACCGCCTTTCCTCCGGCTTTCATCCTTTTATCAAACAAAAAGAACAACAACGGCGACCGACGGGGAGAATCAACAGTAGTGAATTGAATTTGCTCTGCTTCGACGCCCTTTCGTTCGTCCTTTGATATGGCCAGGACACGGGACTCACAGCCCGGAACCCGGAACCCGGAACCCGGACCCCGGACCCCGGAATCCGGGACCCACAACCCAATACCCAGAGCCCAGGATATGCCAACGTTGCCACACATGAGCAGCTGCTCCCAGGTGCATACTTTGCGGAGCTGCTCGAAAGGACTCTGCTCGGTGCCTTGCCCCAGCCCTACCTCCCTCACTCCCTCCGATGCGTCCTTGTCCTTGCTCACCTGGCGGACAAAGGCAGAGCTGTCAGTCAGTGTGCCAGGGCAATTTCATTTTTATTGAAATTATGTCAGTGTTATTTTAGCATAATCGTAAAAATGATTGTTTGCGGCGGTCCGCCGGGAGGGAAATGCAATGAAGCGAGTCTATCAGCAGAATGATTTGATTTTTAAGTGGACCAAATCTGCTCGGATAATTACGCATATTTATCTACGCATTTCAGCATTGGCAACCAATTTCAAATTTAGTGTTGCGCTCATTGCTAAAGGCTTTTGCATAATCAGAAATCTGATTGAAAGCGACATTTGATTTTAAATTGGTTTCTAATCCAAACTGAAAATAGCAATTGGTATTATCATTAATCGGACATGAAGAGGCATGTGTCAATGGAATGAGGTCCTTGAGCTCGAGTTTTATCAAGTCGAACATATTATTATTCATTATATTGTATATGTAAATGCTGATTTGCCAAAGTTCACAGCTATGTTATATATGGGATATTAATTTCTTGATTGGAACTTACTGTAGAAAAGTTGTCCAACTGCTGACTCATCGATGTTTAAATTCTTTTTAGGTGGTTTAAAAGTATTACTGACACTTTTTCCTATAATAATAACAAGTACAATATTTTTACAGAAAAATTGTAGTACAGCCAGTTATTAATGTTGTATTTAGTATATCATAACAAACACTTAATCAGTTTGAATGTTCTTATTTTTTCAGCTGAAAGTCAGTTCTTAAGTCAAATTGATTGCTTTGCTTTAAAAGAATCAACCTTTTAGTCCTTAAGGCTTCAATAATTAAACCACAATTAACCGGAATCTTTAGCATTCGAATGGAATTCGGAATCGAACCGAAATCAGCATGCAGGGGTAGGTTTCACGTCTGGTCTGGGCCATGGTGTTGGCTTTAGTTTTGGTCTCGATTTCGGGTTTATTTTGACAAAACGCAAATGAATCTGAATAATTTACGATTGGGTCATGAATTTAATATTTCATCAGGCCGGCGGCAATTAAAATTAGAATATAAATGGGGTTCCGTCCGGGCGGACAGTGAGCAGTCATGTCGTCCCATCGCTACCGACCCCGTCTCCCGGACGGGGAGTTGGCCCCGCTGCCCTGGCCGGTGGCGCTGTATCGGATCCTGAACCACATAGCCTGGCCGCTGGAGGAGGGCTGCGGTCGCTGGACCGTGTTCCTGGAGCGGGTGATCATCTTCCTCGGCTTCCTGGTGTTCTGCGAGCACAATGAAGTGGATTTCCACTACCTGATAGCCAACAGGCAGGATATGGACAACCTGCTGACGGGCATGCCCACGTACCTCATTCTGGTGGAGATGCAAATACGCTGCTATCAGCTGGCCTGGCATAAGGACCGATTTAGGGGGCTCCTGCAGCGTTTTTACGCGGAGATCTACGTAAAGGAGGAGTCGGAGCCGCAGCTCTTTGCCCGAATCCAGCGCCAGATGCTGGCCACACGGATCAACTCCACCGTTTACCTGCTGGCCCTGTTCAACTTCCTGGTGGTGCCCATCCAGAACGTAATCTACCATCGCCGCGAGATGCTTTACAAGCAGGTGTATCCCTTTGACAACACCCAGCTGCAATACTTCATCCCCCTGCTGGGCCTCAACTTCTGGGTGGGCGTCATCATCACCAGCATGCTCTTTGGGGAGCTGAATGTCATGGGCGAGCTGATGATGCATCTGAATGCCCGCTACGTCCAGCTGGGCCAGGACCTTCGTCGCAGTGCCCGCCGCCTGTTGGAAGCAGGAGATGGAGGTGGGGACTTAGCTAGCAGCTACCGACGGGCACTGACCCACATCCTGCGGCGAAACGTGGCTCTGCGGGATTTTGCCGACCGTGTGGAGGAGGAATTCAGTTTCCGGATCTTTGTGATGTTCGCCTTCAGTGCTGGACTACTCTGCGCCCTGTTCTTCAAGGCCTACACGGTATTTCATTGAGTGTTAATACGAATTTTTAGGTAATTATTACTTCCGCAGAGTCCCTCGGGTAATGTGGCTTACATTGTATGGTTCCTGGCCAAGTTCATGGAGCTGCTGGCCCTTGGAATGTTGGGCTCAATTCTTCTCAAGACGGTGGGTTCATCTCTTACGACTTTTCTATTGTTTTTCTTTGAAATCCTAGAAAATCATTCTCTGATCCTTCAACAGACCGACGAACTGGGCGTGATGTACTATACCTCGGACTGGGAACAGATTGTCCACCAGTCGGAGGATGTGGCCGAGAACCTCCGGGTGATGAAACTGGTCACCTTGGCCATCGAACTCAACTCGAGGCCGTTCTTTATCACCGGCTTAAAATACTTTCGAGTCAGTTTAACGGCTGTGCTAAAGGTAGTTTGCTTCTGGCTGGGTTTTAGACTGAGTGACCCATTGGTTTCCATTTCGCAGATAATCCAGGGCGCCTTCTCCTACTTCACCTTCCTGAATTCGATGCGATGAGCGGACCCGGATTGTTGGGATAATTGTGTTGCCAATCATTTGGAAATTATGCGTTCCCTGTCATCATTTGTGTGTGGCCTGACCCATCGCCATTTGTCCGCCCCCCAAAAGGGCACTCCTCCCCGGGACACCTTCCGTGTGCCGGATATCCGCTGACAACAATGGAGCTTTAGAGCGCTTTCAAGGATATTAACACGTGCATGACTGTGATTTATGCACCTCTGACTGCAGACTACCACTGCAACTGCATCTGCCAGTGGAACTGGGGCATCATCAATCCACTGGTCTCCACTCCACTCCACTCGACTGCTAAGCAGCGCTTTTAAGGCGGGATAAATTTGCTGCTGCGTTGACAGCTGCAATCCGAAGACGTTTCCCCGGATATATTCACATCCACCTCCATATCCATATCCATAGCCATAGCCATAGCCATTGCCATTGCCATATCCATATCGATATCCATAGAGCCATAACTGTCAGCCATGACTGAGTGGCAGCAATTGGCAGGGGAGAGCGCTGGAGGAGAATCCCTGGCACTACATAGGCACGGGGAGTGGGTTTCAAGCTCATCCGCTCTGGCAGTGGTACAATGCAATATATTTACTATTCCAGCACAGCTGTGTTTCAAATAATAGTTGCAACTACACTACATACGTTCAATATAAGTTTAGATAATACTCTTGTATCTTTCGCGCTACTGATGATGCTGATCAAGAATATATATGATTTATTGGATCGAATGTGATTTGGACTCTTTCGATTTGCTGCTAAAAGTAATAAAGTCACTTTATTATAGGATTTTTTGTACACTTTACTAAACTGAATACTATTTTTTTGAGCCGAATCGTATGTAGTAATCATGCATATTCCTTGTGTACTGGTATGTGAGGGTGGATACATAAATCGGGGAAAATGTCGTTACAAATATTTTATAACAGGAAATCCGTTATTTATACGCACATTGTGTTGGCAATGGAGGCTGTGGGTTGTGGGTGGTGGGTGGTGGTGGCTCAGCATTGAAGGAGATCGGCAGAATGCAAAGGCAGCTTCAATCGGCACTTGGCAAATATGAATGAATGAATGCTGTTTGCCAGCCGCTCGCCCATCCTACAGTCCTGCGGTCCTCCAGAGTTCCGATCCTGCCACAGGACCCCTCTTTCAGACACCATCCATTGCCTGATTGAAGCGACAAAATGCGAAATCCTTATGAATTGGCTACAATTTTATTTATTATTACTCGTTCTATTTGCTGCCTTGCACTCCGAGTGCCATTCTATAATGTTTTCTGCTTCTTCGGACAGAGAGCGAAATAAGGAGGAACATATATAAAATGTCCTTGAATTAATGTGACTCTATTTTGCTTATTTTTACCCCAAAACGCTCTTCCATCAAATAACAACATATTCGATTTTGTTCCTATAATACCGTCAGTTTCATTCAAGTCTCATAGTCTTAGCTTATACTATTTTTCTGCGTGTATTTCAATGGGAACTTTGTCCCCTCAATATTTCCAATCTTCTCCAGCGTCTACACAACGCCATCCTGTGCAGTGCTGGCGACGAACGACTTGTTTTGAGCCACACAAAATGACGTTCCCAAGGCGATTCCATTATGATGGCCTGCAAAATGCTGGCAAATTGCAAAGGCGCAATTGATATTGGCTCTGTGTATTGTGCGAACAAAGTGCCAATACCGAGATGCGGCACAGAAAAGGAGCCATCGAGGAAGGACTCGGAGTGCATAAACTTTTCCCATAATTTGAATTGACAACTAATAATTGGTTTCTCACTGGCAAAACAACATTAAATAATTTGTGTAAGCGAATCTTATTAAAGATCTCTAAACAAACAGAATTTTGGAAAGCTTTAACTTTAATTAAAAGAGAGTTTTAAAAGTCGATTTCGGATAACAATAACTCAGAATCGATAATATTTTATTGGGCTTTATATTAATTAAGTCTTAAAAAAGAACGATTGTTTGGCATATAAGTTATACATTTGATTAAAGTGGTCACTGATTCTTATGCTATCTGTCAATCACAGAAAGTAATAACTTTTCATACGAAATTTTCATTTTTACATCGGTCTGGTTTCAAGGTAAATTGTCTTAATCTTCTGTAGATTCGTCAGTATTCGGTTTCCAAAATTTGTGGTTAAGTCTCAGCTGTTCCCGATGTCCCACGAAATGGCTAATTTCGTTGACAGCTTCGCTCATCGACTCTGGCCGCTCCGTCAGTACCATTGTGTGGTAGCTAAAGCTTCCCTGCTCGGCCTGATCCTGTTCGGTGGCCTGGATTATGGGTACAAGGTTCATGGCATGGACCTGCTCTACTGGCGTGGCCAGTTAGCAACGTTTAGTCCACTGTCCATCCTGTTGTACATCATCGCCGCCAAGGTCTCTGTCATCCTGGCACTGGCGCTAGTGAGCTGCATTCGCTTGGCGTTGGTAAAAAAAGAGCCCAGGCGCAGGGAGATGCCCTTTTCGTGTTTGAGAGAACGCTATATCCGTTATGTTCTGATGCAGCTCTTGGCCGACTTGGACGAAATGGTCCTGGAGCCGGAGACTATGGACCTAGCGAACTACTTGCATCGACACGCAGACTTAAACGAAGCTGTGCGTCGCTTTCGCTATCGAGCTCGCAGGATATACGAGAGGACCGATCTGCATTTCCTTGTACCGCAGCACGTAATCCTGAACGTGGATGACCAGCAGGAAGCGGAGCTGCTCAGCCTGGGATACGCCGATAGGCTAGAGGGGCTCCGGGAGGAGGATTTCTACCGGATGGTCTTCGGCAACCTCACCTGAACGGGGAGGAGGGTTGGCATATTCTCGAAACTTTTTAATTGGCTTTCGGCAACATTTTTCTTGGCTGCCGTCGGTAATTTTCACTTTGCAAACGTACTAATTATTATGCTGTACACGCATGTGCGTGGATTCCCCAAAGTGGCCAAGTGGAGTCGGAGTAGGAGTCGGGATATGCCAGCCTCGCCAGCAGCTTGGCTTCCACGTGGCATTAGAGGGGCTTGTTGTTTCGTTGTCACTAGAATCAACAATAAATTATTTATTTTTCTTCTAACTGGGTTTATTTTATAAATATTTATTTTATTTCTTATGTACACTTATAATTAAGATATAATTAAGGATTAATAATAAGCATAGTTCCTCATCCGTAGTCGTGGTGCAGATCGAGCGCTTTGCGTTGATCCGGCAGCAGGGGATTGTGACGTTTCATTTGGAACTTTTGCAGCGAAGGAGTCCCCGGTGGCTTTGGTGGTCGCATCCCAGAGACTGGAGGAGGCGGCATAGGGGATTCTAAGGCATCCTCCCGTCGCCAGTGGCCGCCTACCGGTCGGAGCTTCACCGGTGGAGCCGAGTGCACCGGCTTCTGCTGGTAATAGTGCTTGTGGATGGTCACCGGGCGCAGTCCCAGCTTCAGCTTCTCGGCCTGCTTGTTGGCTAGCCACCGCTTTCGGTCGAAGGCGTCCACATTCCTCTTGACCCCGAAGACAATGTGCAGGAAAGGCTTGACAAGCACACTGAGCGCCACGAATCCCAGGAACCCAAAGACGGCCGGAGAGACAAGGGTGAAGAGGAAGACGCCCAGCGTGAAGGGATTAAGGACCGTAAAGAATGCCACAAACTTGACGAACGGATAAAGCACCTGACCCACATGGCTCAGGTACTCCTTTTTCTTCTTCTTAAAGATGCTGTTGTGCCGCAGCAAATACTTAATCTTACTAAACGGTTTGTGGGTGGTGGTGGCCTCTGGTTTCCCCTTTGGCTTTTTGGTGGTCAACGCCGCCAGAAGAGCGGGTGGAATGGTCTGGACTTGCAACTGGTTGGTCGGAGAATAGGGATTCCCCGAAGGATAATGGTGGTGGTAGTAAGGCTGCTTGGTGGGATTCGCGAAGATCAAGTGGGCCGGCTTGAAGATGGAATGATCCTCGTGGTCATCGTGCTCCGGCTTCGGTTGCTTCTTCCGCTTTCGCTTGCCTTTCTTCTTCTTTTTCTTTCCGCCCTTTTGCTTCTTCTTCTTGCGCTTCTTCCGGCGCTTCTTCCTCTTCTTGCGACGACGTCGACGTGTCCTTTTCCTTCGGCGACGAATCCTTTTGCGTCGGCGACGAATGCGTTTGCGCCTCCTCTTCTGGCTTTGCTTAGCTCGGCCCTCGGGCTTTAGCTCAGCCTTGTGCTCAGCTATTGGCTCCAGTTCTCCATGGTTGGGCTTCTCACTCAGATATCCTGCCTTCTGGTCCTTTCTAATGAAGTCCTCAACAAGGGCACTCGCCAATTGAAAGGGCTTCACGGTGGTTGTGCGCCTGTTCGCCTTGATTAAATCGTCCTCCAGCTTTTGCAGCACACGAAACGGCTTATGGGTCGTGGCTTTCGCTTCATAAATCCTCTGATCCTGGTACAAGGTTTCCAGGATATCGAAACTGGTGTTTGGCCGAGAACCCAACCTATGGGCCTCCTGCTTCTGCTCCAAATCCAGCTGCTGCAGGATGCTGAATGGCCTGGCCGTGGTGGTACGCCGCCACTGAAGCTCAAAGTCCTGCTGCAGTTGGTCGAAAACATGGAACTCGGTGTCCCTGCCACGCCCTTGCGCCGCACCCAAAGTTTCGTATATTTTCGCAAAATTATAAACAGGGCGGGCCCGGCCGCTAAACTCCAACTTTGCTAATCCATCACGCCCGTGGCTGCGTGCCCGGCCACAGTTTTGCGCCAGCAAAATCAACAGGAATGCCGCAGAGTTGCTAACACTTTTGGCACTGCGTCCCTGCCCCATTGCAATTCATTTTGGCCCCCCGGGCTCTAAGTCCTTTCCTGCCTCGCTCCTCGCTCCTCGCTCCTCGCGTCTCGCTCGTTGCTCTTTGCTGTTTGATGTTTGATTTAATTCCAACTTCCACCGCTGGCTGGCCAACTACAACTAAGTCCGGCTCTTGGCCATTGCCACTTCATCAGCTCGGATGGACAACTTGGCAACTTGGCCACTTGTTGAGCCCGTTGACGGCAAGTGCTGTCATAGCAGCTATGTACATGTTCTTTTTTAGCCAAATTAAGCAATGTACAAAGTTTATCTGTTCCTGGCAACATTTTCAGCTAAACAATATTATAGTTAACATTAAGTTGCAGCAAGAAAAACGATATATTTTCGAATATAGTTCTTGTATACTTCTTTAAGTCTCACAATTAGTTCTTAGCTTTTGTGTACTCTAAAGTTAGAATCTCATCTGAAGCCAGAACTGTCAACACTGGCCACAGGAGGTCAAAAGGGCAGGAGCCGGGCCCATTTCACTTTTCGCCGGCACTTGATTTCTGACTCGGACTTGTTTTCGCCTCGCCCCAGAGTTTCTTCGCTTGTGGTTCTCGCATAAAAGTAAAATTTATTACTACTTAGTACATTATCAACGGTTCTGCTTCTGGTTTTCTCGACATTTCCTCGGTGCCCTCTTCGCATTATGACAAATTCCCCGCACAGTCAACAACTTGGCGAGAGCACTTAATTATGTTTTGGGCACAAAAACCGAAAACGGCTGTGCGCCCAACTTCTCCGGCTTCTCCAACCAAGAACCGGAGCAGTTTTTGGGCGAAAACGAGGCCGAGACTATCACAACACGAATTATGTGAACTGCCATGCAAAAGACTTTGGAAAGTACTTAGAGGCCAATTGCAGTTACCACTTTGTTGCCGCTTGTTGGGAACACGAGACTTTGCCTCCCCAAACATGCACAGAAAAACTCTGCAAATTTGTGGATATTTTTGGGCAGCAAAATGTGGGTCAAAGGGCTCAAAGGAGTCTTGCCTAAATTGGAGAAGCTTTTATCCATTTACATACTTTACCATAGGTTACATACTTAACTTGGGACTGTATCTGTATTAAGCAACTTTGGTAATATTAAGTTAATCACAACAAATTTTAAATATAATATATGGCAGGGTAATGTTAGTCAGAAGCTTGTAATGCTGTGTAAAATTCATTTCCGACCCTATAAACCATATATATTCTTGATCAGCATCAACAGCCCAGTCGTTCTAGCCATGTCCGGTCGAAAAATAAATTTTTGAAATTTTTCCGAAAATTGAAAATTTTATAAGGGGTTACATCATTAAAATTGCCAAAATTTGACAAAAAAATTCATTTTTTAAATTTGAAAACGGAGTATGCAGCTTTGTTAATCTACTAAAAATTAGCAAAGAACAGCTTTCCGAATTCAAATTAATGATTTTTTGGCTTAGTTTGAGTGTTTTTAAACTATGATTTTTGGAAAAAATTGTCTATTTTATACCTTTTGGCTGGTTTTTATAATTATAGTCAGATACGTATAACAGCATAAACAAACGAAGAATGCAAAAAAGTTGCACATTCCGAATTAAAATTAGTGCTGTTTTGGCTAAATTATGATGTTTGGAAGAGTATAGCTTCAGTCAGAAGCTTAAAACGTAATGAAGGAGTCATTTCCGACCATATAAATCATATATATACTTGATCAGCATCAACAGCCGAGTCCATCTAGCCATCTCCGAGAAACAAAAATATTTTCACGTTTTTTCGATTGGTTTATGGGGTTACATCATTAAAATTGTTTAAAATTGATCAAAATTTTAATATTTGTAAATTTTAAATTGAGTAAGCAGATTTTTTATATTCATAAAAGCTATCATAGGACATTTTTCCGAATTTAAAACAATACTTTTTTAGCTTAGTTATGAGATTTTTAAAATTTTGATTTGTTGAAAATATTGTCAGATAAAAATTTGATAAAAATCATTTCAAAAAATTTGAATATTTTAAGTTAAGCTGATCCATTTTTGATTTAATTCTATAATTCGATTGTAAAATTCAACGCTTCAGAGTAACTTGCCCGTCTTATTTATAAGTACATTGTAAAGAACACCCTCCGTCATCCCATAATGTGATTTTCAACATCTTTAATGCGGAAAAAGGTACATTCCCTATACTTTTGGTCTCTCCTGCAAAAGAGCATTTCGGCCCGCTTTTTTTTGTGGGCCAACCAACATGTGCCATTGGCATTAGCCTATTATATGTGCTTACAACATTAGCGTTATGCTATCTGCAGTCAATGCCACTTTGAATAGCCATTATCCTAATTGTTTGTTATGGATTTCGATCGGATACTGCGCTGGCTTAATGCCTGCGTTTTACGATCTAATCTTTTAGGGCGTGAACATGCACATTAATAACCCGTAATAAAAACGCCGTAAATGAGCCAAGGGACAGGTGTTGATAACTGAGTGGCAACGGGTGTGAAGTGCCCGGGGAGTCCTTGGGGCTCCTTTATTACACCGTCGTCCTGCAACTCACTTATATATTGACAATTAGGAGAGGCATGCAATTTCAACAATTTGCGGCAGGGCGACTTGATTGGCATGTTGTGAGCTCGCACTGTTCGTCGTCCGTCTCCTTTGCCGCCAGCTCCTCCTCCACGTTGTCATGACGAGAAGCTCCTCCAGCTGACTAACTTGATTTGATTGCAATTTAGCCACCCACGCCAACTTTCTCTGACACACAATGGGTAAATGGGAGGGAAAACAGGACAATTAGCTAGGTATTCAACAGATCTGATGAAGATATGTATATGAAAATAACAAGTTCTAGATCGAAATTAATATATGAGAGATAAAGCATAAAATGTCTGACTTCTACGTTTATATTTAATGTATTTATTCTAAATGTCTTAAATTTGGGATTTAAAATAATCTTGTTCATTTAATGGAATGCCTATTGTATTGGTTTTCAGTATAATAATATTCTTTTTATAATTTATTTTAAGGTTTTCGGGATATTAAAATATATTTATCTTTTATACTTTTATTAATTTTATACACAAATTTCCCAATGCTTTAAGACTTTAAGCGTAATTAAGGATATAAGCAGTTTCAAGGGCTTTTATTGAACGTGAATTACTATACGTTCGTTGGTATTTCATTTGCCATTAATGCAATTAAATTACCAGATATGTATTTATGAATTCACAATTCCTGGTCACTTCAATTAATTTTGTTGTATATTATTTCCTCTGTGTAATACGAGAGGAGAGTTTCACAGAAATTGGAATTTGAATATTGCCTGTTGCCAGGAAATCCAAAGAGCAAAATAGGAAAACTCATTTCAAGCCATATTGCAACGCATCTGCACCATCCACATGGCATCCTCTGCGCCTCGATCCTTGTCAGCTTCAAGAAAACTTTAAAGATGGAGCCTGATCAAACTAGCTAGCAGCATATGCAAGGATCTGGATAAGTAGAGTGAGGCCATTCTGGCGGTTATCCTAGAACCGCCAGCGAACAGAAAGACGGACCGACTCTGAAGAATGAATCTTTGTCGCCCGAGTGTGTCTAGAAATGCCAGTAGCCATTGATTAAGTTTTAAAGCAATAAATTCCGCCTGCCAACGGGATGCAGGATTCAAGGCAGAGAATTCCCTGTGATGAGGTTAGGAGTTCAACAGCTGTTGTTTTGCTAAGCTCCTGTTCAGCCGCATTCTCGCGTCCTCCGTTCGCTGCCATTGCACTTTATCCTGGCCAAAGGACATGCCTTGGATTTCTGCAGTGCTGGCACAATAAACAGACAGCACAGCGGCAGTGACAAAACAGCAAGGCAACAAGGCTGAGCCTCGGATTTCAGCTGTGTTCGCACTTGTTGTACCCTTTTTTTATTGGTTCTTAGTTGTCTTTCTTTTCTTAATTTGTTTATAAGTTTTTTATCGGGGGATTTCAAGAGAACCAAGTATTATCTTAGGGAAGTGCAAAATCTAAGCTGTAAGGATATCCTTAAATGCTTTTCCATCACTTTTAGGTCAACTGATTTGAATAACCTTGTGGCAAGGGTATTTTGCAGCCCTTGTCGACCATGCCAAGCCCCATGTCCTGTCAGCCATTGCAGCAAGCAATCAGCTTGGGTCTTGTCCTTCCCCTCTCACGTCCCAATGACCTGTTCCACTTGCCACTCCCCCAAGCTGACTCCCCTCTCCCTCTGCGGTTTGACCCCTAACCCGGCCTGCATTCTAATAAAATGTTGCCAACAGCGAACAGCAACGAGCTCGCGCAACTGTTAAAAGCTGGCGGCGATGGCAACAACCCGATATTGTTTTGGCCAAAATAGTTTTAATTGTTGCCCGCTCCCCAGCAGCAGCAGCAGCAGCAGCGGGATCCCAGTGACCTCCACTTCGCTCCAGACCCAGAGCCACAGTCGCTCCTTTGGCACTTTGGCGCACAGTCAAATTACAATGGATATTTTTCAGTTTTCATAAATCTGTTTGTCGCCTCACTTCAATGGCCATCAACAAGCGGCCATCCAGCTGGCAGTTCTCCCTACTGCTCCTCCTGCGTTTTCCCAGTCCCACCGCCTTTGCTATTTTCCATTTTCCACTTGCCAAACCCTACAACCCACACCTCATCCCTCGATGCCTGTCCCAGCGCATGGTGTTGAATTTTTAAATGAAAATTGTTGCTATTGAAAGTTTTTAATTTGTGTGCGTGCGTTTTAATTTTATTTCGCCCTGCTGATATATTCATGCAAACTCGGGGTCCTCTGGATTCGACAAGGACTTTGGCAGGCTTAAATAAAATAGCGTTCTAAGGGGGAAAGGATATTAGGAATGTTACAAAAGAATTTTCCTATTTAATAAATTCTTTAAAATAATGAATGGTTTATCAATCTATTAAAGTAAATTCCTATTTATGTATTGTATCTCTGGTTCATGTTTAAAAGTAGTTGCGAACATATTTTAAGTGCAAAGGTAATTTGCCCAATTTTATGTGACAC